AGGAGCGAAAACGAGAGGAGAATTATCATAGCCGTTGTTGTCAGTATGGTAGTTCTAATCCTCTTGGCTGTCATTATCAAAAGGAACTCTGTTGGAAACTACTTGATATGGATGAAGTGTCGTCCCGTTTGTAGGTCTCGCGATTCCGAGCTCGGTGAAGGCACTGAGAGTAGCAGTTTAGACGAAAGCAGATCATCAGCCGTGGTTGTCCCTGATATAAATGGAGTTCAGGGAGGTAAGTGCAGTTTTCTTTATGTGCTTTCTTCCATTCTTTCTTTCTAAATTTCCGGATTCCAGTATAAAGAGATTATGGATGGAACTTGGTCGCTTTTGCAATCGCTTTATGTACTTGTATGGTCTTACAAATGAAGCTTGTTGTTGTTGTTGCACAAAAAAATAGAATAGGCGATATGCTACGACTGGAAAAAATATGATGCAAATATGTGCAGCGAAACAAAGCCTGTATCTATAAGGCCGCAAAAACAGAGAATACTGCATCCAGAAATACGTTTCACTCTCTCAGGAGACTTCTAAAAGTTTAGTACCAGGTGGCAAAAATACACAAGAGACTTCCGTGGAAGTGAACTTCCAGCATTAACTTTACGTGGTACCTTTTTTGAGGTTTTAATCATTTCATTTCTATATTTCTTACAGTTCTGTCTCCTTTGAATACACTCAAATCTCTTTCATTAGACGCTTACGAAAAAGTCTGGAAACGACTGGACAAACGGCCCGAAGGAACAAATAAAGGTGACTTTAAAACTGTAGCTCTAGAGTTCGGGTTTGAAGAGGAAAACATTTGGGAACTAGAAAAGGAATTTAAGACGTCTGGATCAGGAAGTCCTTCAAGACAGCTGCTAGAAGCCCTAGAAACAAGACGACCTAAGTTAACTGTGTTTGAATTTATCATAGTGATGAAGAAGCCAAACATCGATAGGGACGATATCGCTGACATCCTTCAAGATTACCTTTTCAAATGAACATCACTTTTTCAAAACTGAATACCTTCACCCTCTGTAATTACCATTCCACATAGTAAAATTGTATCGAAACTGTAGTACCGTCCAGCTGAGTACCATAGCTATCGTAAAACGGTAAAGCCCAAAAAAGCAGGGTGCGTTCCAGTGTTACGACAGCTCACCCAAAAACAAAAAATCCAATATGCCGACGCACATAAGTCCTTCAAAGAAGCCGGGAGTTTGTAAACTCTTTCTAAATGTTATCTTTCGTTTATTGTCATGATTCAACGTTTTTTTATGAACAGGAGCTCTGCTTTAATGTATATATTAGTTTTTCATTTAAAATCGCCATATCATAACCAATGAGTTGCTTGAACGGTGGTAGTGCTGGTCACTTCCCTCCTGTCATGATGTATCTCTTTTAAACAATAAATAAACAAGTTACCTGACATTTAGAATTTTGAAGGAGTTTTTTCCTCGTACCAAGATCGGAGTACCGCCTTTCACAGACCCTTTGTTAATCTACGGATAGAGGTTTATTTAGCTTTTTTTAAAGTTAGCTTTTTATCTCCTTTAACAATAACCTAGTTACTTGACACTTGGATTAACTTTAAAAAGCAGTTTTCTTCTTGTGCCGAGATTAAGGCATCGCCTTTCACAACTTCTTTCTTAATCTACGGACAGAGGTTTATTACGTTTTTTGTCTCTAAGGCGAAACTAACTGTTTTAGCGTTTCGCGTCCTTGATTTAAATTTTTAGGGTTGAGATTACCCCTGACTGGATCAAGGAAAGTCCTCTTTTAACTTTGTTTGCAAGTACGATCTTCCTTTTAATCAAATGAGCCGCGGCAAGAATCGAATTCCTTCTTAGAGCGAGATTTTACTGATACGAATTACATATACATGTATAGTAAATCAGTGGCTATATTTAGACCCTGTTTACATAGAGTGGGGGACCCCGGTCTAGTAGGGTAAGTTTCTTTTGTTTTGTGTCCCCCAGAGCGTAAAAACAAAAGAAACCAAACCCACTAGACCGGGGTCCCCCACTCCATGTAAACAGGCCCTTAATGACTTATACCAGTCCTACAAGTTTGATCCTGTTTGCGACATGACTGTCTGACGTACTGCACGAACCATAAAAGGTGGTTAGGGGAATCCCCAACGGAAAAGAGCATTGCGCTTTCGTTTGGGTCAATGTTGTGGGTGCTGATTCTATGCCCAGTCCAAAATAGTATTGCACCCTTAAATCTTTTCTAACGACGTTCTTAAAGCTGCACATATTAACTTAACAACTTTAAGAGATGTGTTGTCAATAGCCTGTAAACGACGTTGTTTTATTTTTCTTTTCGAAAACATCGTCTATTTTCTTCCTCCCCCACCCCTACCCCCTTGCGCTGGCGGTCAATAAATCCCCGCGGTTTTTATTTTTTATTACGCGCGCTCGACGAACTTTGAAGAGAAAATAGAGGGTCTGTGAACAGGCTACGTTGTCAATGTTCCGCCGTGTTTCTTTCCAAAAATATGCTATGAGGTCATGAAGTCTCACTAGGGGAGATAGGCGTTGGCGAGGTCAAATTTCCCTAAGGTCAGCTGGAGTTATTAGAGAATATTATTAGACGGCTATGGTTCTTTAAGAGTTATGCAAGCAGTTATGCATAATATTCCGATAAATCGACTCTACTGCCTATTTTTAGGAAGTTCCTTATGTCGTAACGCAACGCTCCTTCCCACAGAAGAGAAGGGCCGGAGGGAGGAGCGTTGCGTGACGAACGGTTGCCCATATGAGGCTAGATTTGGTTGTTTGTTATTTTTATGGTTTTCCACTTTTTGTTTTTGTAACAAATATTCCGTGCACTGGTTTTAGTGTCAAAAATATTACCCAAGTCACATGTTCGTGAAGCGATCGCAATGAAGCAAGTTTTAGGGGTCATATCTGACCCGACTGTAGCCTGTGCCAGGCTCTCAGATAGTATAGTCCGGGCGTAAGCGAAAATATGACGCGCGCGACTTGGAACGACTTTTCACCACTATCTCGGAGCTTAATCTCGGAGCCTGGAACAGGCTAACCCGACTGTAACACCGGTGTGGGCACGTCATATAATTAGGCGTACATACGCAAAACATAACATCTGAAACCTTGAACTACGATAAAAATATTCAGCTATAAATCAACTGGTATAAAATGATGACTTTCGTTTTCGTTATTGCAAATAGATAAGGGGACCTTCAGAAAGTATTTGCCGTGACTCCCACGTAATCTTATCCAATCAGAAGTCAGTATTTACGCACGTAGCCTGCGCCGCCGACGAAACTCAATAACCGAGGTTAAATTACGTCCACGACGCAGGCTAAATTGTAGTATTCACACAACTTGCAACTACCTGATTTGTTGCCAGGGTCAGGTTAGTTTTAGCGTGAGTGGTAAAACGCGTACTCCTTTTGCAGCAATGTTACAAAAACAAGTTGCAAGTTTTTGTCGCCCGTTTTACCGCACCTTAACACGTGCTCGGTTGGGGGTGGGGGGACGGATACTCCCTTATTTTTCCAAGACGAGTATGTGCCGCTGAACAGGGTTTGGTTTTCAGGGTCTCGAGCCTTAAACAGGGTATACAATTTCACAAGTGTCCTGACCGAGGGTTTCTTTTTGGACCGGAGGCCTTTGAACGATGAGCGCTCTATACTTGTGGTACATATACCAAAAAATGTTTCTCGAAAAATCTTATTCAGTGATGTCAGTTTAGAAAATTACTTTACTGTCTTTGTGGAACGGATTGAAACAGGGTCATGAAATAAGGTCTCAAGTGAAATGAACGACTATTAGGGGTCAGGGCCCGGGGAGGGAGAGACTGCCATATATGGGCCATATATAGGTATGTGCCGCTGGGAAGGGTATGGTTTTCAAGCAGTTTCAAGCTCTGAGATAGGGTATATAAATCAGAGAGCTTGGGTCTAGAATAGGGTATCATTTTCCAGGAAACGGATCAATTGGTTGAAGATTTTAGTCTTTTTTACTCTAGACTAGGGAAAACGGGAATTACCTCTCAAAAATATTAAAACAATCAAATCGGTTTTGTCAAGAGCTATGGCTCTTGGTTTTGGTTTGGCTGGACTGTGCTAGTGACCTCAGTAGTTTCTGGAAAACAGCTACTCTAGGATAGGGTAGGGATTTGGGGAGTTTAGTCTAGTGTAGGGTAGCAAAATTCAGCTGAACTAGCTCTGGTAAAGGTTAAGGGTTTCAGGGTCCCAGCGGCACATCCCCACCCAAAAGTTCCTAAAATACCCCTCGGGGGTCAGGGTTTGAACGGCTCGGCGGTACACCTCTACCCAAACTTCCCTTGAGTGTTGATTGTTCATCTGGTATGAACTAGACCTTAGAAGAATTTTTTGCATAACAGAAATATTATTGGGCTCTGTAAACACTAGAGAAGCGTGAATGGACAATCTTTAATTGGTAAAAACGAAAAAAATGCATCACGAGTTTTACTAGCCTCCCCCGCGGACATTCTTAGGCGTGCGTCACGCGTTCCTTCCCCACTCGTTCCGTTCGTGGGGAAGGAACGCCTAAGAATGTCTGCAGGGGAGGCTAGAGTTTTACTGGCCCTGAAAGTCACGCAGTATACGTTATGAATTGAAAAAAGCGCTGTTGCTAGAGACGTTGAAACCCTTTCAGAAATTAATGATGTATTTCCACCCTTAAAAGCTCGTTTTCGGAAGAAACTGGTCGATTTGCTTATGTAATTTTATCCCCAATACCCCCAACTTACGCAATGCTGTATTTGCATCGGGGGAATCCCCGAAATATTTTTTCAACTTTCTTTAGTCAAAAGGCTCTGCTAGTCTAGCCTCTGTAGCCTTACAACCTTTCTGCCGACACTTGTGATTCAATATATAAGTTTTTCACCGACCACACTATTAATTAAATGGCTCTATACAAATAACGTGATAGTAAACGGAATGTTTCATGAGGTAATGCTGTTGGCCTACGCTTGCGTTTAACTCAGTGTGGGTATTGAGTTTCGGAAATAGGTCATTATGAGTAACACTATCCTTAAATAAGTAACTGCCCAGTCTGTTCGAAGCCTCGCGCACTCGCGTAGTCGGGAACTTCGTATCACCGAAATCTTTTTATATCACAGTGTTTTTATCATATCCCGTAGCCGAGTTGTCTAGCTGAACCTTTCGTGGTAACATAGGAAAAATCTCACACGTATCTCGGAGTGGGACAGTTTAGAAACCTTGCAGATCACGTTGGGCCCCGTTGGGGAAGAGAATTATAGCCGCCATGATGACGAAATGGGGGCTGCTATTCATGATAGTTTTGGGCCAAACGGTGAGTACTGAAACCTTCACATCTTCCATTTGGGGGGCAGGAAAGACACACTGGTACAGATTACTTCCTACTAACCTTTAGCTCTTTTTCTTTAATGGTAAAAAACTGTAGCTTTAAGCCTCTGATATATATTTGCTGACGCATCAAAACGTGTTGTAAACGTTTTGCAGAGACCTTCTACTCCCCGACGTCCTTTCTGAGCTTTTCTGGGGTCTCCCTAAACATTAGCAGATTGTAAGACTTATGTTGTTTGATAACGATTTACTCTGATAAGCGATACGTTGAACGTACCCAAGATTGTTGCGCACATGTGATTACAGGGACATATTTGTATATATCACACAACTCTCAGTTACCAGGTCTGCTTCGTTACACAATAATCATTTCGGTTAAGTTTTCTTTAAACTTAACATGTCATATCTAACGCAGCTGCAACTACTTACTGCCCATCATGCTTTTATATGCAAATTACTAGCGCGGCATAAATGAAATATAAAAATATATGTACTGTAGTTTGTTGTGTAGAAAGTGTTTACAATAGATAGTCGAATGAAGATAAGATATTTATATTACCACTGCCTCTATGGCTATTTCATATCTTTTCTGGTTATGAAAGTCGTATTGAAGCGACTTCTGGTAAATTCGTAAAACTGGATAGGAAAACGTAGGCGGTCTATATGAACAGTGTTGTGACGGAAGTTATATCTTTAGCAATGACTTAATGAAGAATTTAAAATATGCTAGACAGGAAGTGGTGCAATAGTGCTCGTGGGATGATTGCATCAGTGATTGGTACGGGCTCTTACACATCAATTTTGGTCTGTAGTCCTTTCTATTCTAACTCTACTACCACCGCGGTATATATTGGCATATGCGTGCTCGCGCTCGACGATCTCTAAAAAAGATCAGAAAACTCGTACTCTTCCTTCCAGTTACTCTTTCTCCATTCTTTCTGTTGTCTTCTCTATTGCGCCCATTTTTTCTATTCTATTCTATCTTCCCGATTCCAGTTTACTTTTCTTTCTCGCAACACTTGAGCATGTCCTTCTTTCCTATTCTTCCCGATTTCAGTTTTTCGTTTTTACAATCCATCAGAGATGGAGCTCAACAAGAGGGGAGATTAGGGGACTGTCAACACCGCAGAAAAAAAATAAGAAACATCGCATCACCCCAAAAACAGTTGACGAAACACCGACAACATTAATCTAACCCATTTTAAATAAACTCCATATAGTTGGGGAAGGAGGATCTCGGAGCTGGTTTTGATTTAGTAGAGACTTAGACTGACCTCAAGATTCTGAGAGCTCTATTTCATGTTATGCAGATAAAAATAATGCATGGTGGCGTGTTACGAACTTTCCAACGAGTAGTTTCGGATCCGGATTTTTCCCTCTTCATAAAAGAGGGACACAGCCGGATATACACTCTATTGTATGCTCAATTGCCTCGATGTTGCAGCCATCAGGAGCCAACGTACTCTCTCCTATCCGCCCTACGGAGCAAGGAGAGAACCCTGGGAACGAGGTTACCTTCATGCCTGCAGCAAGGCTGGGGAAACAATGTCGTCTACAACAAACTCTCCCACGTCTTAACTCATTCACATTTTCCGTCAAACTATCCCGTTGTAAAGCTAGTCTTTGCACCCACTGTTTCAGATATTTTTCATCATTTCACTTTTTTACTCACAGGTATGTTTATTTGGGGAACCATTTCCGTGCAAGGCAGGACAGATCCACTGGAAACCGAACACTACATCAGGAGACCAGTACAAATGTCTGGAGTGCCCTTATTGCTTTAAGGGACAAGAGCCTTCTGTCCCGTGCGGCAGTTCTGTTCCATACAAAACTCCAGTTGACTGTGTAGAATGCCAAAGTGGTAAAACGTACTCAGACGCAGACGGCAAAGAACAGTGTAAAGCGTGTAGGATGTGTTCCGGGAAAGCCATAAAAAAGAACTGTACTGTTTCATCAAACACTGAATGTGATGATAAATGCTTGCCCGGATATTATGAGGAGCCATTTATCTTCGGATGCCATCCTTGCACAGACTGCTGTAACGATGAGAAAGATGAAATCGCAAAGGAATGTGCAAATTCGGAGAAGAAATGCAAAGTTCGCTCAACGCCTTGCAGCAGGGAATCAAAGCGGTCTAACAGTTCTGAAACAGTTCGACTAAAAGTATCTACAACCTCACCAACAACCTACAAGAAGCCGATAACGAGTGACCCAACTTGGTTAGAATCCAAACCTGAGAAACATACCTCTAACGTCTTACCAACCTTGTCAGGCAACAACCTCGTGGTAAATTTCCAAACCAAAGCGGCAAGGTCCCTTGACCAGAACACTAATGGCAATGACAATAACGTACTGATAATTGCTTGCACAGTGTTGGCAGCATTCGCCACGCTAGGAACAATTGTTCTCATTTCATTTAAGTTATGTCGGCGAATAAACGCGGATACCGTCCTGGCTCGCTGCAACAGAAATTCGAATGATGACAGTGCAGTGGACGACATTGAACTCTGCAGACCACTTACATCAGCATCACAAGAGGAGCTTAACGAAGGTAAATGTTCAACCAGCATACTAAATAACTTATCAGATGTCAGTAAGGGCTTGAAATATACCGTAAAATTCCGAAAATAAGCCCAGGGGCTTATATTTTTCAAAGGCCCTTTTTGAGGGGCTTATGTACGGACGGAAATTTACGTTTCAAAATCGATTAGGCTAGCTTGTAGTGGGAAGGAAATTTACCATTTTTGCTGTGTTTTACTTTGTATTCGAGGGCAAATTCCAAGTACAAGCCCCCCAGGGGGCTTATATTCGGAGGGGCGATTTAACGGAGGGTTTTTTGCGTTACGATTTTCGGGGGCTTATATTTGGAGGGGCTTATATATGGAGGGGTTTATTTTCGGAATTTTACGGTAATACCATTCTGACTTGAGCACGAGATTAATCGTCAATCGCTTTCGCGGAAATCAAAATGGCGTGAGGATGCATGATTCAACTTGTAAAAGACGTTAAAAGGCTATCGTTATGGTTATCGCAATAAATAACACGGGGGATCTGTGCTGAGAAATACATCATTTAAAATCATGAGTGACATCACAATAGGGAGGGGGTACCCAACATGAAAACAAGAGAGATGATCGCTGTCCCGTTCAGGTACTGTCTTTTATAGTGCCTGGTTGAGTTCCTAAAATGGACATTAGCGTGCGAGCAAGCTCTCCACTAATGGCAAGCAAAGCAAGCCGCAAGGGAACGTGCGTACTGCCCTTGCGTTACTTCTCGCGACTACCCTAAATGATGAGCTTGCTCGCAGGCTAAATGGAAATTCAAAAATAAACAAGTCACTGCATCTCAAAGGTAATGGGTTTTGTGCACAGATAATATAGGGGAATTTATGGGAAACCCGCTAATCTAGTTATTTTGTAATTTCTTTATTGTTGTAGATGACATGACTCTTACCGAGTTGGAGAGTAATAACCATGGCGTATTTGACGAGATGTGCTTGATGCTTGATAATGGAAGACAATCGGTTAGTAGGGACTACGAACGGTTAGCTGCATGTTACAAGGGAATTCCACTGGAAGTACGCAATGCTTTACAATCTGAGCATCTTAGCAACAGAAGTCCTTCAAAAATGTTGATGAATCATCTGAAGACAAAATATCCTAATCTTCCGTTGCGCCATTTTGTTTGGACACTGAAAGAGATTGGACGAAACGATCTTGTTGAAAAGTTAAAGCCTTATGTTAAGAAAAATGTTAACAGCCCTCCCGCTTAGCAAATTGAGTCTTGAAGCTTTTCGAGCGAGATATTAGAGAAGTAGAGAAAACCTTCAGTCGGAGGACGAATTTCCCCCATCATTGTTTTCACACACTCTTGTCTCTAATATAAGGAATTCGCCCAATCAGAAATGAAACGCTTCAAAATCCTAAAGTTAGGGATTCTTCGGTGAGGTCTGTTAACATCCTGACTTTATACATATAAACACCCACAAAGGATGAACTTGAAGTTTGAAGTTTGTTTTGTACTGTTAAATAGGTTTAAATAGTTCTGGACAAAAAGGTGCTGAATTGAGGCATTTACCTCGCGTACAAACTGGGCAATCAAATTATTTGGTGTTTTTTGGCGGCTTGGTAAACTCAACCAGCACGCGATCCTGTGAAAAATTATCAACATTATTTTTTATACGGCCCTCGAAAACAACACTACGAGTGGATAGGAACTGAATGCTGTTTAAAAAGTAGCGGGAAAATCTGTTTGGTCCTCTCTGCTGTTGTGTAAACTTGAAGAGTGTATCTTTGATTGCACATTAAAACTGCGGACATTTTGTGATATAGAAAGCTCTAAAGGCAAAATATGAACCCCTATACATCCTCATTGCCATAGCAACACTTAACAGGAGCTCTGTCAAGGGATATTTAGTTACTACATTTTTAATGTAAAATTACCAGGTTGAAAATGAAGGAAACCTCCAATTATTTAATAGTTTGAATTTAGCACAAAAGAACAACTCATATGCAGCAAAAGCAGCAGATTTATATGGATTGCAAATGTCAAACTTGATAAACAATGAGTGAGGTGCAGAAAACATGACAGAGCCCTATAAATGCACATCACACGTGAAAATTATCAGAACAAACTCAGTTAGTTATATTTCCGAGATGACGATGGGATGTCAATTGAGATCTTGGATGCTGTGAGGAGAAGGTAAAAAGAACAAGAAGTTACCTTTTGTTGTGCACATTTAAGTCCATTGTACCTTGTTCCCTAGGAAAATTATTTAAGTTGTTTCTAATGTAATTATAAGTTGTGAAAATTGGGTTGTTGTGTTGCAGTAAATATACAGAAAGATTATTTAAAAGAGCTTCTGTTAAAGTAAATTACTTAAATTAAAATGATTAAAATTTTATAAGAGAGTGCATTTAAGAACAGTTGTACCTCATTTTACCATAATGATACCTTGCTAATTTGTTGATAATAATTTTTGTCACAAAATAGAAAAATTGTCTTAACTATGTACATGTACTTTGTAATGCAGTGGGAATAATTAAGCTTACTTAATTTGCTGAGAATTTGAAATGGGAAATCAATAAATCAAGGGGCATTTTAAAATAAAAATAGCATGATTTTATTGGCTGATAAAATACCGAAAAGAAATGGATACATTGTTAGTAATAACGCTGTATGCTTTTGATGTAAAGTAAAGTAGTGTGCTAAGGTTTCTGTGTATACAAGCTGTAAATAATATTGCTAGAGTAGATTAAAGATGAAAACTTTTGTTAAAATATTTGTCTCATATATGCTAAAATCTGAATTATTCAGGGGTCTCACAGATACTGCGCAAACAATCCCTGTCTCCCACATGGGTAATCACATCTTCTACATTGTAGACCCAAATTTTGAGCTTTCTGTGCTTACATTTGGGATTAGGCCCATTTTCCCTCAATGCAAACTTCACAAATGTTTTCAAGCATTCTCTATTTTCCAATTCCCCATAATACACTCTGTTTGCCCCCCAAATTTTGCATAAACCATTGTTTTTAAATGCTCCTGGGAGTATTGCATTTTCCCAAGAGCATTTTAAGACAATAAGTTATGCAAAATTTGGGGGGCAGACAGAGTGTATTATGGGGAATTGGAAAATAGTCAATAGTTTTGCTTCTGTGGCATTGTTGCAAATATTTCATCGATGACAAAACCCAAGGCAGGTACTCCCTTGTATAAGCTATATAGGTATTTGCTGCTCCAAAGGGTAGGGTTCTTGCCATGTTTTCAGTTTGAAATGAGTTTAAAGAAATCATTTTGTTGATTATCTAAACTAAGTAATCGTGACATTTTCAGAAAGCGAATAAGGATTTAAGAGGCCAGGTCTGAAAACAAGTTGGAAAGAGACATCTTATGGTCTGAAATAGAGTCAGGATTTAAAGAACCAGCAGCACACCCCTACCAAGTAAGAATTCGCAGGAGTATCCCCATGGGACAAGACTATTTTGTCATGAAAACAATTTTTTCATCTTTGACAAGGAGCCCAAGATGTCAGAATATGAGTCCTGAATTACAATCATGCTATATTTTGGGAATTGGTTTGATTTGTGTTTATGGTGAGGTGGGAGTTGTGATTTATGTTGGGGTTTATACTAGGTTACTACCAAAGACTAAAGAGACAGTCTTCAGATCTCCATAGGTTGGTGTTGCCGTTGTTTTCACTTGCAACATAAGGGGAATAAAGACCTTAACATAGCTTAACATTCAGAGAATTAAAGACCAGCAATAAACTGCAGCCTAGTTTACTGTCGAACAAGGCAGTGTGGAGAGCAAAAGCGAGCAATTAGAGGTGGTTTATACAATGCACAAAGAGCTGAACAACTACGTCATCATCATTATCTTACCATCATTTCCGAGTCGTGTTTTGAATGTCCGTATTCCTCTGTTCACATATTCATTCCGATCCTCTCCCTGAGGTGTTCGGTTTATACCTCATTCAGTAAACATGGTAAAGAGATTCCAATTCAAAAACAACGGTTCCCGCCATGTTCGCTATGTTGAGCTATGTTACTTAGTCCCAGTCCTACTCTGCTCTCCTTAATGAAGCATACATGAGGTAAAAACAATAAAACGGTCAAGGAGTACTGGAAACAAGTTTGAAAAATATAAAAGATGGCGGCCGAAACGCAGAGAAATTTCTTTCAAAGACGTTTTCTGGAAATTTTCTTTGCGCTGGCTACCCCTCACGGGTTCAGGTCAAATTTAAAGGAAAACAAAAAACCCAGTTCGTATCAAAATTATTGGTTTAAAAGACTGTGGTGGTTTTAAAGGCAGACAAGAGATGTCACGATATCAGGTGGTACCGTTCGCGATTTCTGCAAACTGTGGTTGTAATCTTTCCGCGAATGTCTACGCAGGTGAAAATCCATACAAAAATGGCGATTTTTGGTTGGTTTTTAGCGCGAAAGGTAATCGAAGGTAAGATCTTGAATTTGATGTTCCTTGATAATTATAAATATTCCGGTGGTACCCAATGAGATTTGGTTATGAGTAACTCACAATCAGAGACAAAAAACTTTGAAAGTCGCTTCAGTCTTATTATTTCGCCATATTTTAAAGACCAAATCGTGGCTCGAATGCGGCTCTAGCCTGTTAAATTCCCGGATACGACCGGGATTCTACGCGATGTGAACTCTTGTCTTATGCAAACGCTTTCTTTTGTTCTAATAAATTCGCATAGATACTGGCCACGTGAGTGAAAACACTCTATACATGTGTATGTTGTGGTTCAATTTTATCCTTGGTTTAAATTTTATTTTCTTTTGTTTCAAACTCATTATCATACATTACCATACCCAAAAACAAAGGAAAATAAAATTTAAACCAAGGATAAAATTGAACCACAACATGTATAAAGTCTTTAAGATACAAGTATTGCAATCAGCATATTTCAGATTTTCTGATTTTCTTACTTTTTCCAGTAAGCCTAACGTTTCCAATTTCGCGTCTCGGCTTTGCGTGCGGCTCCGGCGTGACTTCTCACGACCACCCCCCTCACCCTGAAAAGACTGAGCTACAGTCTGCACTGGGATGCTTAACGTGTATTTTACACTGGCGTTAAGAACAATGACCTGGTGTTAACAGGGGTTTAATTTGCATACAGGTGAGATGAAATGGAGGAGTAACCCTATAAGGGGAAACCGAATCGGTATCAACTACCTCTTCAACTATGTCTATTGATGAATCATCGATGGACATAGTCGATGATCATTGATGATCATTAATAATGTAGTTTGGAATGAGATTGACAACACCGAGCTGTTATTAACAGGGTTGATGTTTGTTCCCTTCGGTCTTATTAAGCCAACCAGATGGAATTTTTATTCACAAATTTTTATTAAATAAAAGCAATTAAATTCCACAATATCCAACATAAATACCATTAGGAAAGCATAATTTATCAATACTCAATTTTTCCCTTTTGATCCATCCTTATTATAAATATTGTACATGATAACCATCCTGGAATATTATATGAAAACCTCATTGATCTTTTCAATTCTTCATATTCTGCAATGTGATAGCACATATAGCTATTTAGGGTGATCACAGTGATCAGTGTTCATCTCAGTATATGATCACATCTGCCACCTCTATAAGACGGACACCCCCTGAAGCCAACGCCCAGTTTCTCCATTCTACTAGTCTGTTATTTTTTGGCCCTCTATAGACCTCTTTCATAATGGCGGCCATGAATATATTCTTTTATATGTATGATAATTAGCCTTCTGACCTTGTTAGCATGTGCAAAATACAAAAGAACTCTTACTTCCAAATGAGATCAGAAAGGCTAATTATCATACATATAAAAGAATATAAAGCAGACACCTATCTGTGACCAACACTTAATGTTGTTCCCAGTGGTATCCGTCTAAGAGAAAGTGGACTGTCTAGTACAATTGCAGTGCCACCTTCTGGGCTTTTACTGACTTAGTTTGGAAGCCTGGTCCTTGGGGGCGGTTTCTCGAAACTCCCGACAATTAAGCAGCCCAAAAAGTTGTTGATGTTTGTGTTCGTGATAAAGATTTCGATAGTTTCTTGGACAACCTCATAAATGAATGAATGAATGAAGCGTTATTAAATCTCTGGTTTGATGAGGTTGGTTAGACCTCTAGCAAAAAATATGCTAATAAGCCGAGGAAAAAAAAACAAAACAAATAAATAAAATAATAGAGAAAGAAAGGGAAATCCAAAACCTTATTTACAGTATGAAGCCTAAAATTACGTGACATAGCTATTTACAATAAAAAGCCCAATTACTTAATAGAAATGACAAAGCTATCAGTAAACAAAACAAAATGGACTAGTCTACTATCTAGAACCCGCGCTCTTATCCTTTTAGATTTTGATTTGAATATACTCACTTCGACAACCGGGATTTGTATTAAGGAACCAATACGCCATTTCCATGTTACCCTTAGCCTCTATTTCAAAGAGAGGCTAAGTGAGAAGCTATTGATATAGAAAATTTTTTTCATAAAAAAAGTTTTGCACTTAGTGTCCTTTTGAAAGTGAGAGTTTTTGGAACTCGGAAACGGTCTATTGAATAAACTAGGGTATCTAAAAGATAGTAATGCTGCGGCACATTCTGTTGATACTGGCATTAGCTAGGCAGTGAGACTTAATCGAAAATGATATTGAATGTCCTATTTACATGTTGGAAAGTACTAGAATAATTACTATCAGTCTATAGAAAGAAATCGTGGGAACGTTGTTTAGAAAATGATCAAGTGGTTATAACTCTGGTTTTCCCACAGTAAATTGTGGGAAATAATAGAAATTCAGATTGTTTATCCATATATTTAATATACGGTGCACGATATTTTCTCTGGAAACACAATACTTTTGTTGCTGTTTGTTCCACTTTATTAAGTAACAGTTATTTAGCTATATATTTATAGAAAACAACGAAACAAAAAACGGAAAAAAAAAGAAAGAAGGAAAATAGAATTCGGTAGGACTCGAACCCTGCACATTCGGCTCGACGCGACTACACCTAACCACTACACCACAGAGGCTGATTACGCAAATGTTGAGAAAAGTCTTGATTTATTCCTTTTCCATGAAACTTCCGCCGTCAAGATGATCGCCAGCCGCATTAACCGAGCTATTAACAGTGAAAAAACAATGTAAACGCATATTCCATGGCAATGAATGAATGAAAGAACATAATTATGCTTTTCAAAACGCCGATACACGTCCTCGTCTGCAAAGTAGGACACAAAACATATTTTTTGTTATCTCGATTTCCGCTGTTATTTTGAAGCGAATGGTCAAAATCACATCCATTCTCGGCTCATACAGTTTCTTAAGAATAGCACTGCATGACATTTTCTCACTTTCACATCACCTTCTAGCAAGCTGAAATTTGTATATCCCCATGTTGCGGAGTCGAAGAGCAAATGCTCATCTTCTCGTCAGGTTTAACACCTGGACGAGTCAAAGGCTCTTGAATTGAAATCCAATCCCCAAGTTAACCATCGTACTCATCTGAAAGACTCCTGCGTGTCTTAAAATCTGGTAAGACCTCTAACCGTTCTGTAGAAAATTTGCCACAAGGAAAACTCTAAGTCTGAGCAGCGAACGATGCACTCTCTCACCCACCGAACTTGGTGTTTTTATTTGAGTTGTTCGTGGCGCAATGCACTCTGGTTAAGTGCAATGCATTGTGGTTAAAAGTGTGGTTAAATACAATGCATTGTGGTAAAAAGTGATGAATTCGAGAATTCGTCGTCCCTTATATATTTCCTTTAAATCCTGATTATGTTGCTGCTCGCTCCCTTCGGTCGCTCCGCAGCAACAACTGAGGAGAGAGACTTGTCCACTTTATTGGGTCCCGCTAGCCAAAGGTTATTCCCACCTATTACCAACGTTTAATTTCCTTTTGGGCAGGTTATTCCGAGCAATAAATCTCAACTTGATTTACAACCAGAATGCAGATTTTTTCCAATTGGAGGTTTGTAAAAAATGGTTCTTCATACAATCGACAATGCAGACAAAAACGAGCGATTTTATGCGCCCGTTTCCCAGCGATGTTTTTATAGGATAGGGCTTAATTAACGGTCTTTTAAACATTAAAATGCGCGAGGAAACCTGGTAACGAGGTTTGACTTTCATGTTACATTTGATTCATCTCGATTGCATTCTAGAAGCAATTCCTTTCAGGTACCGTAGTTCATCTCTTTCGTTCAATACATCATTGTACAAAGCGTTGGTATGGATTTTCAGTCTGCGCAGAGTGTCTAGGACGTTACTAGCGTCCAGTTCAACGTTAATTTCGTCGTCATATTCGTCGAGCTCATAGTAATGAGCATTCAGACTTTTCCAGCTTGCGGTCAGCCGTCCTCTACTCAAGTGCTCGGTTTGGACCTGAAGCTTGTCCAAGCAGGGTGAGCTTCGATATGTCGAGGTCGTTGCATTATCACTCGGTGAACATTGTCTTCTCCTATCAATTAATACGGTGCCATCTTTCGTCTCAGCGCCATAAAATCCTAAAGACTCATTTTCGTCGGCGCTTTGGTCAAAGCAAAGTTCCGGCTCCTCATTATCGTCTTCAAAGAACAAATTTAATTGACTTTCCCTCAATTGCTCTCGTGTATCCTCTAGTTCTATACACAGGTCTTCTTTCTCTATCTGAAGTTTAGCAACTTCACGCTCGGAAATGTCGCGTCTTCTCTTTTCATCTTGAAGCTGCTTCTGTAGAACAGCCAACTTCTCTTCAAGTGATTTTCTCTCTTTTTCGTCCCTTTTTCCTTTGTCTGGTGAGTCATGAGAATTCTTCCTTTGTTGTAGGCATTTTTTATTGCTCCGCTTCGCCAATCTAGACCTTTGCTGTTTTCCATTCAGTCTTCCGAGGGAAGAACTCTTCCTTAGGGGCTCATCAAATAACCCATTTTGAATCTTTCTACGACACAAAGTATCCAGGCCATCAGCGCTTCCAAAGTTCCGCCAACCATCCTCATGTTCCCATTCGAAGTCTTCATTATCTGTGAGCATTAGCGCAAAACTCTCATGACTTCCTTGCGGTTGTTCCTTCTCTACCTCAGCCTCGCTTTCATCACTTGGATTCGAGTCATAATCGGGAAAAAGTCCCGAGCTGCTGGAGTCGCTGAACACTATAGAACTTCGCCTGATTTCTTCCAGTTCCTTCTTAGTATACCTGTGGCGTTTCTCTTCTTCAATGAGCCTCAATTTCAAGGACTGCGTTTCGTCAAGGTCGTTCTCTAGCTCTGATAACATGGTGCTAATTTCTGCAAATAGCAACAATATGCAGGGTTATTTCTGCGTTGCTGAACCTTAGATACGAGTGGTTCCTTAGACTACTGTACACAAATTTGTGCGGTGAACAGTACTCGAAGAAAAGAAAATGAAGCTAAAATCGGCTGGAAGATACAAGGCAACTATTGAATTAAGGCAAGGGGGTCTTGTACCGGCGGTAGTATTTTGAATGACCATGATTCCTTTACTGACTTTTGACTTGTTATAAATCCCAATACATGCGATGTATACGTGAGCTTTTAAAATTTGAGCCATAGATGTCCAACATTGCTGTAGGAAACTTAAAAGGCGATTTTATATGGCTGGACAACAGACTACTGGAAATGACTTTCCAAAAATTTTATTTCGAGTCCCTTCAATGATACGCTTGGACTGCCTATGGGAACACAGCGGGTGTCTTGCAAGAGAGAAAATATTTCAATTCTTCGACGAAAATTTTGGTCTTATATAAATGTTCTTGATAGATTTCCTAGGGAAAAATATATGCATATGGTGCCTTCCATTATCAAAAGGAAAAGTAACCACCTTAAAAATATATAGACGTCCACTCTAAGGATTATCTCAAAAGAACTTGGTTTATTCGGGTGATCTTTTGGATGACAATATATTAAGACTTCACTCACGGATTTATCTACGCGAGGTTAAAATTGTAATATAGACCGATCTGTCTTTCTACTGGGCATAAAAATAATTTTTGAGCATGGCGTACGTGGCATAAGTGTTGGTTAAAATTTAAAACGAATTGCTCTTCTTTTACGTCACCAACATAATACTGTGGAAGACAGTGAAAAAGCCACTTGAAGTCAACTAAAAAAACACCCTCTGACGTCTCTCTCAATCTGTAGTATGATGAAAAAAAATGGGACTTATGAGTGATAATAAAATGGGCCATAGTCTGACTGATCTAATGTACAAACATGGTTACAGTTGGTCTTGCAGGAAATAAATAGAGGTCTCTCTCTCGCATTGTAGATTTTGCGAAGGATGTGGTTTTGTGCCGGAAATGGAAACAGAATCTCGATTGCGTGTTCTGAAAGCAAAAGACGTAATTGAGAAATATAGCACTGCATAAAATTATTTGTCAGTATTGCTTCTTAAATGGAGAAATAGCCATATTTTTAAGTGCTGAGAAATAAAGCTGTTTATACCTTTAGATGAGATACTACTGACTTTATATTAAAACCCATTTTAGAAAAATATTAGGTTTCTAATTTCCGGCGACCTTGGTTTCTGATGGTTGTTTATTTCACGTTTTGATTTCCGGTTGAGTTCTCTAACGTCAGAAATAACACAAAAACTGACACTTATGAATAAGTTTCTTCGCGATGTTGAACTTAATTTAAATTAAATATTTTGGAATGTAAGTTTCAAGACACCGTATTCACCAAAAAAAGGAATAGAAGGGAAAGTCGATGAATAACTATGCAATAAATACGTCGGAGTTGCTTTCGAAGAGAAAGTTTTAGTTGCAAGTCACGACACTGACGTGAAGTGGCCATATGATGAAAGCGTAAAAAAACCTTAACACCTTGGAAATGTTATAAACAGTTTTCATCGATTACGAAATCCTGGCGCAATTCAAGGCAAATCAATAGGATAAAAATGGCCATCAAACCTTCTTCGTCGTAGACATCATCTTGAAGCAACTCTCGTGCCAAGAAAGCCTGCACTTTGGACTTCAGCAAAGCTTGTAGTAACCGCCTAAATCCGTTTTCTCTTCTCTTTATAATATCTACAAATATCGCCACTTGTGCTTCTCTTGACTTGTTCTTTTCTCGAATCGTCTCTACATCGTCATCGTCAAGAACACCAACGGTTTTAAGGTAGCGTAATAGTTTGGATGGCTCAAGACATTGCTCCAGTCTTAGATAATGTCGATCTATTACACTGCACTGTTTAGGGTCCATTAAGAAGCTGAGGGTACAAAATACAGAACGTTATATCAGTCACGGCAACTCGAACGGTTGTGCCTAAATCATACCGTCCAAAAGGACAGCCGAGAAGTACTAGGAACGAGTTTCCGATTCGGGCCGACTTCGGAAATTCTCGAAAACATCCAATATGGCGGCTCAAGTGTGGTGAAAACTGACAGCCAAAGGAGCCGTTTTATCGCCAGAGAAGCGTGATTTACGGTATTGTTGACGACGTTTGCGTTTATTGTGACTTTTGCAGAGTTCTTGGACCTGTATAGTAAGCAATCCTTTTAATAATGTCTTATCAATTTGTCTTGTCCTGCTGGCCGGTATTACCGAAGAAAATAGTACCGTCCAACGGGACATTCTAAATTATAGCAACATTTGTTGGCATGTACATCACCTCTAGCTTTCATTGCTAAACTGTGTTGTAGAACTTGATTTCTGTAGGTTTCTAAAAGCTTAGGATAACTCTTTAGGAATATTTTTATTCATAAAAGTGGCCCTGTCCTTCTGGCCGGTATTACCTAAGAAAATAGTACCGTCCAACGGGACATCCTGAGTTTTAGCAACATTTGTTGACGTGCACATCACCTTTAGCTTTCATTGTTAAACTGTGTTGTAGAACTTGATTTCTGTAGGTTTCTAAAAGCTTAGCATAACTGTATAGGAATATTTTTATTCATAAAAGTGGCCCTGTCCTTTTGGCCGGTATTACCGAAGAAAATAGTACTGTCCAGCAGGACATCCTGAGTTTTAGCAACATTTGTTAGGAGGAATATCACATCTGGGTTTTTTTATTGTTAAACGGTGATTCTCTAGGTTTCTAAAAGGCCAGGGTAACTAAACAGGAATGCTTGTTTTCAAAAAAATGCCTTGTCCTTTTGGCCTGTATTATCCAAGGAAGTAGTACCACCTAGCAGGACATCCTAAACTATGTCAGCAGTTGGGTGCATGTATTACTACATGACATGCAGCTTGTTATTGTTACGGTTAATACTCATCTCCATACTTCAAAATGATGTTGACACATTATGATTCATACACAAAGCAATTCTCTAAAGGGAAAGAGCTGCTTTGACTATCAATACTGATTAGGGTTAAGCCCTGAAAATAGTGATTAGGGTTAAGCACTGACTTGATAAAGGGTTAGCTTCTATTTGGGGTTCAAGTTGATGTTATATATGTTCAAATCAAACCATTAATCGTCAGCAAATCCCAGTGGCATAGTGGTATAGGTGATGGGCTGCAGATTATACGCTTTGTGTTCAATTCCTACTTACACCCTTCTGAATTTTTTTTCTTAAAAATTGAAAAGACTAAGACTTTCAGGAACATTTCTCCAGAAGAAATTCCATGTAGGAAAAGGGAAATGTCTCAGAATGTCTTGTGAGAGGAACATGTCAGTTTGGAGTATGGAGATTCGTGCTAAGCTATTGTTACATTTTAATACATACCTTGCTCTCTGAGGGCTTTTTCCTACCAGCTGGGGACACTGGAACAAAGATAGTTTTATTCATTCCTTGTTGTTATAATCACCTAAGAATGTCCACTCAGGGGGACACTCAATAGGGAGTACTGAAAACTGACAGCCAAAGGAGCTGTTTAATCGCCAGGAAAGCATGATTTTACAGTATACTTTGCAATGTTTGAGATTCTCAAGTTCTTTGAAAAATTCCTGATTGATCATATCAGCAATCCATCATGTAAATGATATCCTTTCATTTATTTTATACCTCTATCCTTACTACATCCAGGAAAGGCCAGTTAGATCTATTATTATCATAAATATTATTTCAAAAGTAGGTCGAGTTCGATGGTCCGGGTGAATGTAGTCCTGAATAGGACTGTTGTTGTTGACAGTGACTGACGTTTTGACAACCTGTGCAGTAGTCATCTTCAGAGTCAAAGTGAGTTGTATCACGTCAGTTGATTGAGTCTTCATAGCCAATAAAATCACGGCTTAACTGACAGACGACCAATAACATACCGATGTAATTGACCAATCAGATCAATAACCAGAGTATAATACCATCAACTGACGTGATACAACTCTCTTTGACTCTGAAGATGACTACTGCACAGGTTTTCAAAACGTCAGTCATTGTCAACAACAACAGTCCCATTCAGGACTATGTTCACCCGGACTATCAAACTCAACCTACTTTTGAAATGACTCCTGGGTTCAAAACTTTCACATAAATATTATTGTTATTGTTGTTATTATTATTATTTATTATTATAGAATCATTGTTATTTCCTGTCCTCATTTTTTGTGTATTGTTTGACTAGTCAGTAATAATAACTCAGCAAAAAAAGGTTGGTACAGTTGGCTGTCCTCTCTAGCTGGCACTATCAAAACAAATCATACCCTGTAGTTGTAACAGATTCTGACAGCAGTATAATTTTATCATTTTTAAAATTCTTTTTAAATTTTCTTAAAAACTGTTTAAAATTATTTTTAAAAAGTCCATGAAAATATCCCTTATCTATTTATTGTTTGATCATTTTTGTGACAACAACTATTCTAAAGATATAAAGATATAACCAAAGACCAGAGAAAAGTTGCTGCATGGTGCTGCCAAAACAGCTTTCAGATTAACCCGGATAAGATGAAATTGCTTTTAATTGGCACCTGTCAAATGCTTCAAAATATGCCCGCAGATCTGGATTTACATGTTACTTTACTGGGGAAAGGGTTGTGTCTGGTTGTTTCAGTGAAGGACCTTGGAGTGCATATGGACGCTACAATTAGTTTTGATGAACATATCACAAGTATTACATCTTCTTGCTCGTCAAGTTTAAGTCAGATTAATAGGGTAAAACATCTTTTGGACAGAAACACCCTATTAAACATTATCAATGCACTGGTCTTTAGCAAACTTGTTTGTCCATCTGGTCTAGTACGACAAAGAAGAATATCAACAAATTACAGAATGTCCAAAACTTCACAGCTAGGATTATAACCCCTTTTCAGAAATTTGATCACATTACCCCTGTTCTTACAGAACTGAAATGGTTGTCCTTCGAATCCATGCTTATCTACAGGGATTGCATACTGGTTTTTAAGTGTTTAAGGAGATTGGCCCCTGACTATCCTGCTAACAAGTTCAAAAAGAGGTCTGAAATCCAATTAAGACACACAGAACAAGAATGAGATAGACATTCCAGGGTACAGAAAGGCCACAGGCCAAAGAACCTTCCACTATCGAGCAATTTCACTGTGGAATTCCTTACCCGAAAGCTAACAAACCTTGTATCAATTCAAAAAGGAACTTATGTGTCATTTATAAAGAGAATTTTAGAAGCTTTGTTGTAAATATATTGCCTTGTTAAATCTTGTTATATACATAATTTTTTATGATTTTAATCATTTCTTATTATTTTATAGTTTTAGATATTTTATTGAATACAGTGAAACCTGTATTAAGCGGACACCGTATTAAGCGGACACCGTATTAAGCAGACAGTAGCCGAAGTCCCCAAATTTATTTCCCTTATTTACTTTAAATGAAACCTTTATTAAGCGGACACCTCTATTAAGCGGACGCGGACACCTAAAAAGTACCTGAAATGGTCATTTTTATTGTTACCAACCTGTATTAAACGGACACTTGTAATTCAATTCCACCACCCAACTTGCCAGACACCGGAAATGCAAAAGATTGCCACCCACAAATTTTAATATTTTTACTTGAAAAAACGTGATTTGACGAACTTATTTGATTAGTTTCACAGTACAGTGTTGTTTTCTATTTCGTTTTGTTTGTATAGAGCTTGTTTCACTCATCTGAGTTCTTCAAATTTGAGCTGCAATCTATGTTTATGGTACTATCATCAATTAGTCCCCTTTGATAAAGAAATTGATGCAAACGTATATCGTCATAGTCTCTGGGAGTATTCTAAGCATTTCCACTGTTCATTTCAATGTCATTTGACACCTCATATGACGTTATCTATCGAAACCTGTATTAGGCGGACACCCTGTATTAAGTGGACACTACAGCATTCCCCGAGGGTGTCCGCTTAATACAGGTTTCACTGTATTGTAATTACTTTGAAAAGCCAGAATTTGGAAAGTAAGAAAGTTATTATTATTTTTATTCTCCTTCCTCACCTGCTATCCATGCTGAAATTGTGGTTCAATTTTATCTTTGGTCTAAATTTTATTTTCTTTTGTTTCAAACTCATCATACATTACCATACCCAAAAACCTACCTACCGGTACCTTGGCAGCATGGGAAATTGCCTGTCAAGGAAAGCAGAGATGCCAACCTTGGTTGTAGATTGTGGAGACTCTCCATTTTTTACTTCCCCCCTCCCCCACTGTCAACAGCCCCACTACCCCCACCACCCCTCATCCACCCTGCCCCCAAATTGACCCAGCCACCTAAGGGAATTATGTGAAGTCTTACATGAAGTAAATGCTATCAAAATCCACCCCTTCTGGATCCGAACACTTACACATGTACAACCAATTATTGTTGAAAGCAACTCCAAACTCATAGTGCTCCTAATTGAGTAACACAAGAAATCTAAGGAGGAAATTAATTTTTTTATCTCAGGTAATTTTTGTTTTCCATTTGTTTCAATGTCATTAGCATACATTACCATACCCCAAAACAAAAGAAAAACAAAAATTACCTGAGATAAAAAATTAAGCAGGGGGAGCGGGGGTGGAAACAGAGGGAGGGTCACAACTTTTTGAGACTCAGAAAAGGGAGGGTTCATGAAAAATGGGCGGTTAAAAGGGGAAGGGTCATGCAAATATATGCCTGTGATCATGTAGAGGTTCACCCACAGAAGAAAAAGGAAGTTCTTTGTTTGGTAAAAAAACCTGCGAGAAATAGGAGTCGAGTGATCAGCTGTCAGAATCAGAGTCGGACTCTTAATGCTGTCATCTATGTATGTTTATAGCATTACAAAGAACAGATTAGAAATATATTTTGAGTTTTCATGATACTGACTCACCCTAGTGTATTGCAAGAGATAGATTTTATCATTTATACAAGAGGGGCAGGGTCATGATATAATTTTAAGGCCAAGCTCAAGGAGAGGGTTAGCAAATTTTACTCCCATTGCAGGGGTGGGTCACCTCATTTCCAAACCCAAATTTAAAATTCCCACCCCCCTCCCCCCATGCTAATTTCTGACAAGTCCCTTAGCTTATACCATTCAAAAGGAGGACAATTTTCAAGAATAAAAATCACTCCTGTTCCGTTATCCTTGGATTTCAAATGCCAAACCAGAAAAAGGGTTTTGCACTTCCCCATCACTGTTATACCTGAGTACTCCCTATAGAGTGTCCCCCTGGGTGGACATTCTTAGGTTATTTACAACAACAAGGAATGAATAAAACTATCTTTGTTCAGCTGTTGCCAGCTGGTAGGAAAAAGCCTTTAGAGAGCAAAGTATGTATTACAATGTAACAATAACAAGCTGCATGTCATGTAGTAATACATGCAGCCAACTGGTGACATAGTTTAGGATGTCCTGCTAGGCGGTACTACTTCCTTGGATAGTACAGGCCAAAAGGACAAGGCATTTTTTATGAAAACAAGCATTCCTGTTTAGTTACCCTGGCCTTTTAGAAACCTTAAGAATCACCGTTTAACAATAAAAAACCCAGATATAATATTCCTCCTAACAAATGTTGCTAAAACTCAGGATGTCCTGCTGGACAGTACTATTTTCTTAGGTAATACCGGCCAAAAGGACAGGGTCACTTTTATGAATAAAAATATTCCTAAAAAGTTATCCTAAGCTTTTAGTAACCTACAGAAATCAAGTTCTACAACACAGTTTAGCAATGAAAGCTAGAGGTGATGTACATGCCAACAAATGTTGCTATAATTTAGAATGTTCCGTTGGACGGTACTATTTTCTTCGGTAATACCGGCCAGCGGGACAAGACAAATTGATAAGACATTATTAAAAGGATTGCTCACTATACAGGTCCAAGAACTCTGCAAAAGTCACAATAAACGCAAACTTCGTCAACAATACCGTAACTCACGCTTCTCTGGCGATAAAACGGCTCCTTTAGCTGTCAGTTTTCACCACACTTGAGCCGCCATATTGGATGTTTTCGAGAATTTCCGAGGTCGCCCCGAATCGGAAACTCGTTCCTAGTACTTCTCGGCTGTCCTTTTGGACGGTATGATTTAGGCACAACCAAACTCGAACGCTACATGACATCAAACTAAAATAGCTCGCTTGTGACCCTACTTTAAAAGTAGGACTCAGGTTCCTGACAAAAATCGAAAAACGAGAGACCCTGGAACAGAAATGTAAAATTTGAAAATCGATTGAAAACGCAAATTTTTAAAAAGAGATTGTAGGTTTTCAAGTAATCTGCGGCGATCCGCGTACTCTGACTTTTTTCCTTCATGCTCCGTTACGATTCAAAGCTGTGGCAATTAGCATACTCAGAATGTCATAACTAGACCAATAGTATCTAGTAGATAGATAGTTAAGTAAATTCTACCGTATGAACAACAACAAAAATTAACTCGCTTGGGCGTCAGACATATAACGGTTGGTCTAATGTGCTTCCATGCTGGTCTTGTCTGCAGACGCAACCCGGAGTGCATCAAATGGATGCAAAATTTGGCTTAATTCTGCCGTCATTGAACATCATTTCTGAAATCGCCTGAGGATATATATTTTTTGGAAGATTGTTTGAAATTAACGAAGACAATAAAAAGAAGCTGATTTGGAGGGCTGCGCTTAAAATAGCCTTCATTTTCCTGAGCAAAAAGAAAGCGTATGATAAGAATCAGAAAAAACGTTCTTTGAAACCGTTTTCCAACACTCACAGCGCGTTGTTCTGGCTCTTATAGTAATCTCATGCTCCGCTAATTTATTGAGCACTAGTCAAAGCTTGGATGAAAGAAAACCGCAATAGCAAGAATATTTCTCTGCTTCGAGGCCGACAAAAACACCGCAAAGGCAACTTTAGTAAACACACATCGGTAATAATATCGCACGTAAAGTACTTAATCGTGAATACTAGTGTAATCCCACTGTCTACATCATTAACTATACTTGTTTAATTTTACTAGCCTTTTTCAACTTTCAATGATTCTAATATTCGCCGGCGCTCTGCAAAAAATCTTTCCCAACGTGAGGGTTGTGCTTTATATGCTATTACATTTTTTTGCGGGGGGAGACGGGTTTACTGTAAATTGTAAATTGTAAATATCTTATTATCCATCCCCTCAGGGCTTTTCAGGGATAATTTACAAGACTGGTTGGGGGACTTTGCCAGACTACTTAAGGTGCAGTTTACAAGTAATGAAGGAATGAGTAATGATGCCCCCATACATGAATGTGAAAGTGAGATAGACCACTACACCGGGCACTACGTGCCCTACTCTTTACGAACAGTGTGTGGGTTCTTTAACGTCCCACAGGTTTAATACATGTGCAAGGGCTTGTGAGACGGGGCCTACGGTTTATCGTCCTTATCCGAGAAGACTAGAAAGTCTAGCCGTTTGCAGATATTATTACAAAGGCAGCACTTTCTCCTCAGTTATTTAAAGACCCTGAGTGTTGGTCCGGCCGGGGTTTGAACCCACGACCTCCCGCTCAGCAGACCGGTGCTCTCCCAACTGAGCTAACCAGGCGGCGGTATAATGGTGTATAATGGCGGTATAATGTATAATGGTGCTGTTGGACACTCGAGAGACACTGCGAGTCAGTACAGTAAAATATCCCGACTAACGTTTAGTTGTCTATCTTCGTTGCTTTTTCAAATTCAACTGAATTAAATGGCCTCTCTTGAAAAAAGACCTTAAAATGCGCGGTATTATCCCCTTTATCATAACATTTGGGCCGTCTTACCTTTTCAAACGCAGTCCGTGTTTTACGAGCACCAGTGCACTTAAACAGACTCACCAAGTTTCAGTTCTCGTTTTATAAGGTATGAAAAGCGGATGCGGAAGACTTAAGGCTCAAGAGGTCAGTCCCGTGCCCCGTAATAACGCAGGCGGCATTGTTCTTTTGTCGTTTATTTGGCTTTTTTGCACGATCGTCGGAAAACGCAAGACACCATATATAGCATATAACACATAGTTGGGCCTTCTATTAAATGAAATGAAGAAGCGAATCGCCTGGATTCTGGAAACCTGTAAATAAGGCGGCTGCATTCAATTTGCTGGCTAGTGTTCCATGGTTTTTTCTTTTTAATTTTGAAATCCATCCCGCACTTTAAGTTTCTAAAGAGTTTCTAAAGAGTTATTTGTGTAATCCGTGTTTTACGAGCACCAGACTCACCAAGTTTCGGTTCTCATTTTATAAGGTATTAAAAGCAGATGCGGAAGACTTAAGGCTCAAGAGGGCAATCCTGTGCCCCGTAATAATGCAAGCGGCGTATTTTAGAGGCATTGTTCTTTTGTTGTTATTCTTTTCTGCACGTCACATCGTCGGAAAACGCAATATAAAATATATAGCATATAACACGTGCTTGGGCCTTCTATTCTATGAAATGAAGAAGCGAATTGTCTAGATTTGAGAAACCTGTAAATAAGGCGACTGCGTTCAATTTGCTGGTTAGTGTTCCATAGTTTTTTCCTTTTGATTTTGAAATCTATCACGCACTTCAAGTTTCTAAAGAGTTATTTGTTTACATTCGAAAACCAATCATTGAAAAGCAGTGAACCAAGACGCGCGTGCCACCGCCGCTCCCAAGAACGTGACCTTAGAAGGCCTATCGATATGTGTCGATATGACGTTTTGTTAAATGTTAGTGCAAACAAGGTAAAGAATAGGGGACGTGAACGAAGCGTTGTTTTAGTCGTTAGCCTGAGTATTGACCGCGTGCCTCTTGAATTCACCATACATGTCTCCCAGGATTGCTCTTTGCGCCGCCATATCGGGTTGCGTTTCTGTTCACACATGAGAACGTAATTTAGGCGCAGTTTCTGTAATGGAGCGAAGTTTGGCCGCGCCAATCTTATAAAAAACTGCTTGGATCGTCACAGATCGGATAGGTTTCTGTACTACTGTTTGGCGCAACGTGACCTCGTAGTTTTTTGGCTTTGTTGGAAGACAAATGGTGAACTTAAGACAAGCTTCTCTCTAAAATGTTATAACTAAACCCCTTTTAAAATTGATCTTCGAAGTAAATAACTCTCGTTAGTCTTCTTTAATCAATCATCAGATTCGCAGAGCAGCTCTACTTCCCCATCCCTCTCGAAGCGTTAGCAGGCTCCCAATACTTGGGGTATGCAATTTTCAGTGAAAGCCCACTCTTATCCCTTCATTAACACTTTAAATATTTCATAATGGACCGAAAACTATGTCTTGAAGTGCTTGTAACTTGAAATATGTTGTCTGAGGCATGTTGCAAAACACCGTTATTTTATAAGCTAAACGCATTGATTTTTCATGGTTTTGAAGCCGTCGTTATGCATGTAATACTCTAGAATACATTAAATATCCAATTTCGTAACTCGTCCGTGTCGCAATTCCATCGGTGAAATGACAAAGCAGGAACCCTCATTGACTTTGATTTGACTTTTTTAAACTGAGTTCCGATCTAATTTTACATGTTAGCAAGTTTAACGCTTGACTCACCTGGTTTCGTCCTACCTACTTTTAGTACGTACATGCGGAAGACGTAATCTGTCTCGCCTGGGGCTCTTGCTCTCAAAAAATAATCAACTTGAAATTACATACCTGAACGAATAAGGAATCCACGTGCGTGCATAATATATTGCACGTTTTCATTGTTCTTATGGTAATCATTCTCCAAAAAACATCACTGTCTTTTAAGCACAAAAAATTCACATAACAATGGAATGGTAAGACAAAAAGATTTCAGAAAGTGACAATTGTCTTTGAAAACACAGACACCAAGAGGGAAGGGGTTCCTACGTTGTAAGCAGTATATCAACTATTGAATATAATAGTAATAGTCTAAATGTCAATTTTCTATATATTTAGTTTTTAAAATCGCCCTCCTATCACATAGCTCCATCCTGTGTGAATGGTTCGCAGTGCTGCTGGTCACGTAGAGAAATCCTGCCCCCTTTGCAAGAGGTAGACTACAGTTTGAGCAAAATGGCTCCATTTATTTTTTTCAAATGCAGTCAATTTCTCACCTGCGGGACAAATCCGAATAAAGCATCTCTCTCTTTTAAAAGCGCTTCGAGTTTTAGAATAATTATTTTCTTCACGAGCTGATAAAAACGAAATAAAGCACCCTCCCCCTTTGCCTCTACGCCTCAAACTGAATAGAAGAAATTGTCACAAAGAACAGAAAGGAGTTTTCACTTGTCTCATACACCAAAAGCACCCCTTGTTGATCTTAATTTTGATGTAATGGGCTAGTAATATTTTAAAAAAAACTGTCAATTGGAAATTTCTGTCCCGAGAAAATCTCAGATTCATTTAAGTCTGGTTCTTTAAGTTTCCATAAGCACTTTTCTCTGAAACTGGTTTTACTTGTTAAGATGACGCAAATACTACTCAGTCCATCTTCGTTCAGTTCTAGCTTAACTACGATTATCAGAAAAAAAAGCCTGTCCTAGATTTCAGCAAGGCAGTTGCTGTACAGATTTGCGTGGATGTGATGCTTGTACTTGTTTTCCTTCATGTCTTTAAATATCCCTCTATATTTTATGGTCTCCGAGATCTGTGATTGGTTTTCCATATTGACAAGTGAAACATCTACACCTGAATGTTTGCATGAAAAATGAAACTGCTATCCACAACACCAGCACCACAACAAACTTATCGCTGACTTCCTTTTCTTGTTTACCGGTGCCTCTCTCTGTTCCGACCATTCTTCGTTGTCAAAGCTGGGTTTAATAGGCTCTTTGAGCTTGAGCTTTTCATTTTTATTAGTTATTTGCACCACTGGCTGCTTATTATTTGCAGGGTCATCCTGGAGATAACATCCATCATGAACTTCAACTTTTTCGGGATACACAACATTTGCCTGGTGACGCACTGGAGCTTCTTTTTGCACTGGTCTGTCTCGACAGTCACCTTGCAGTGGAACTTTATTTTCCTTGCACTTGGAAAGGATTGGGTCTGTCATGTTTGTTTGCTTGCTGCTAGGATTACCAAACTCATCGGAATCACCTGTCACCCGGCTGCTTGCGCTAAAAGAAATATCTTCAATCATCGTTTCGATGCTTTCTGTTTTGTCAATGACTTCCTGTTCCACCACATTTTCACCGAAAACGTCATCTTTCTGTAGCTCTTTTTGCTGCTGCACTTGGTTGCTGTCACGGTTTTCGAGTGACCTTTCTTCGTAGTCAGAGCTAGACCTCAGAGTTTCTTCAATCTTAAGCTCTTCAGGCTCAGCATCTTCAAGCTTGGGCTCTTCATTTTCACCAATTTCTTGCAGCACTGACGGCTCTTCCTTTGTAGGGCCATCCTGCTGGTCATGTTGACCAAGATCCTGCATTTCGTCGAGATGCACTATTTTCTGTTCATGCATTGACGGACCTTTCTCTTTTACTTGTTTGTCTTGGGAATCAAATTCCTCTTGTTGCTTCTCAGAATACTCGAGTGAGCATTCTCCGCAGTCAGGGGTGGATTTCAGAGGCGCTTCAATTTTAGTCGCTTTTAGCTTTGGCTCTTGACTTTCACTAGTTCCCTGCAGCACAGTCACATCTTTGTTTGTAAGGTGACCATACTGGTGTTGTTGAATCAGATCTCTATTCGGCAGTTCTTCAAGAAATTTCTCTTCATGACCCACGAAAGATATATCTCGTTCTTGCTGCTCTTGAAAGTTATCATCATCGGAAATGGCATTCACTAGGTTATTTAGGCTAACGAAGGCATGTTTTTCATTTATTGTTTCCAAGCATTCTGTTTTGTCACTGTCTGCTTGTTCCACAATACTCCCATCGTTAACAGCGTTATCTTCTTGCATCTTTTTTTTGTTCTTCACCTGGTCCCTTTCAAGATTTTCGAGTAACTTTTCTTCGAAGTTATAGCTGGATTCAAGAGGTTCCTTACGCTCCAACCCTTCACGCTTGTGTTCTTCCTTTGCCTGCAACACGGACTGGTTTTTGCTTGTAGAGTCATTTTGCTGGTCTTGTCGATCGAGCTCCTGCATTTTGTCCGGATGCATAACTTGGTCTTTATGACCCACGAGAGCTTTTTCTTGTACTTGTTTAACTGGAGAATCATCTCGTGTTGCGACTTCCTTTTGTTGCCTCTCAAGGCATTCGAGTGTTCTGTCTTCGTTGTTAGAAAAGGATTTCAGAGGCTCTTCAATCTTCGAGGCATGAAGCTTGGGCTTTTCATTTTCACTAGTTTCTTGCAACACTGACTGATCTTTACTTTTAGAGTTGTCAAGCTTGATATGTCGATCATGATCCTGCATTTCGCCAGGATGAAGAGATCTCTCTTCATAAGTTAGTGGAACTTTCTCTTCCACTTTTTTTTCGTCAAAATCATTTTGCGTTGCAGCTTCTCGACGCCTTTCAAGGTACTCGATTGAACTTTCTTTGTAGTCAGGGTTTAATTTCAGTCGCTCTCCAATGTTATATTCTTCAAGCGTCGTCGGTTTACTTTCACCAGTTTCTGGCAGCACTGACTTTGACTGAGCATTGTTCGAAGGATCGTCGTGCATAGCATGTCCATCATAATCCTGTATGGTTCTGAGATGCACAACTTTCTCTCCATGACTCACCAGGGCTTCCCCCTGTACCTGTTGAGAACCATCTTGCGTTGCAACCACGTTTTTTTTGTTCTTGGGAAGGACTGGCTCTGTCTTGTCTGTTTGCTTACCGTTAGATATCCTTAACTCATTAGAATTACTTATCTCTTGATTATTTACGGTAACAACGGCATCGTCTTCAATTATTGTTTGGATGCTTTCTGTTTGGTCACTGACTGGTTGTTCCACCAAACTCTCAACTTTCATAGCCTCATTTTCTCGTAGCTCTGTTTTCTCCTGTACTTGTTGCCTCTCAGTCTGTTCAAGTGACATTTCTTCGTTGTCACAGTTGGATATCACAGAGTCGTCGAGATTAGACCCTTCAAGCTTAAGCTCTTCATTTTCACCAGTTTCTTGCAGCTCTGAGTTTTTGTTTCTAGGGTCATCGTGCTGATCATGTCGATCATAATCCTGTATTTTTTCGTGATTAATACATTTCTCTTGATGAGTCATTGGAGCCTTCTCTTGCTCTTGCTTGCCTCGAGAATCATCTTGACTTGCAACCACTCCTTGTGGCCTCTCAGGGTGCTCAAGTGAGTTAGGGGTGGATTTCAGAGGCTCTTCAACCTCAGACACTTCAGGCTTAGGCTGTTCATTTTGACCAGTTTCTTGCCACACTGGCGGCTCTTTGTTTGTAGGGACAACCTTCTGATCATGTCGATCACGATCCTGCATCTCGTCCAGATGCCCATTTGTCTGTTCGTGACTCAATGGACCTTTCTCTTTGGCTTGTTTTTCTTGGGAATAACCTTCCGTTTCAACTTCCTCTTGTTGCCCCTCACTATCCTCCAGTGAGCTTTCTTCGTGGTCAGGGCTGGATTTCAGAGGCCCTTCAATCATAGACACTTCAGGCTTTGGCCATTTATTTTGCTCAGTTTCGTCCAACACTGACGGCTCGTTGTTCGTAAGGTCATCCTTCTGATCGTATCGATCACGATCCTGCGTTTCGTCAAGATGCACAATTTTCTGTTCATCACTTAATGGCTCTTTCTCTTTCACTTGCTTTGCTTGAGAATCACCCTTCGTTGCAACTACCTCTTGTTTCCCCTCACTATACTCGAGTGAGCTTTCTTCCTGGTCAGGACTTGATTTCAGAGGCTCTTCAATCATAGGCACTTTAGGCTTTGGCTCTTTACTTTCCCCATTTTTCTTGTCATGACTCAATGGACCTTTCTCTTTAACTTGTTTTTCTTGGGAATCCCCTTCCGTTGTAACTTCCTCTTGTTGCCCCTCAGTATAATCGAGTGAGCTTTCTTCATGGTCAGGGCTGGATTTGAGAGGCTCTTCGATCTTAGACACTTCAGGCTTGGGCTCTTCATTTTTACCAGTTTCTTCCAACACTGATGGCTCCTTAATTGTAGGATCAACCTGCTGATCATGTCGATAACGATACTGCATTTCGTCGAAATTCCCATTTTTCTCTTCATGACTCAATGGACCTTTCTCTTCAACTCGTTTTTCTTGGGAATCACCTTCCGTTGCAACTTCCTCTTGTTGCGGCTCAGTATACTCGAGTGAGCTTTCTTCATGGTCAGGGTTGGATTTGACAGGCTCTTCAATCTTAGACACTTCGGGCTTCGGCTCTTCATTTTGACCAGTTTCTTTGAACAGTGACGGATCTTTGTTTGTAGGGTCAACATTTTGATTATGTCGACTACGATACTGCATTTCGTCGAAATTCCCATTTTTCTCTTCATGACTCAGTGGACCTTTCTCTTCAACTTGTTTTTCTTGGGAATCACCTTCCGTTGCAGAAACTTCCTCTTGTTGCCCCTCACTATACTCCAGTGAGTTTTCTCCGCGGTCAGGGCTGGATTTCAGAGGCTCTTCAATCATAGACATTTCAGGCTTTGGCTCTTTATTCTGCCCAGTTTCGTCCAACACTGACGGCTCGTTCTTCGTAAGGTCGTCCTTCTGATCATGTCGATCACGATCCTGCATTTCGTCAAGATGCACAATTTTTTGTTCATCACTTAATGGCTCTTTCTCTTTCACTTGTTTTGCTTGAGAATCACCTTTCGTTGCAACTTCTTCTTGTTGCCCCTCACTATACTCGAGTGAGCTTTCTTCCTGGTCAGGACTTGATTTCAGAGGCTCCTCAATCATAGGCTCTTTAGGCTTTGGCTCTTTATTTTGCCCAGTTTCGTGCAACACTGAGGGCTCTTTGATTGTAGAGTTATCCTTTAAATCATGTCGATCACGATACTGCATTTCGTCGATATGCCCATTTTTCTTTTTATGAGTCAATGGACCTTTGTCTATTACTTGTTTGACTTGGTAATGACCTTCCGATGCAACTTCCTCTGGCTGCCTTGCAGTACACTCAAGTGAGCTTTGGTCGTGGTCAGGGCTCGATTTCAGAGGCTTTTCAGTCTTAGACATTTCAGGCTTTGGCTCGTCACTTTGACAAATTTTGTCCAACACTGACGGCTCTTTGTTTGTAGTGTCATCCTGCTGATTATGTCGATCACGATCCTGCTTTTCATAGAAATGCACAATTGTCTGTTCCTGACCTAATTGACCTTTCTCATTGACTTGTTTTTCTTGGGAATCACCTTCCGTTGCAACTTTCTCTTGTTGCCCCTCAGTAAACCTGAATGAACTTTCTTCGTGGTCAGGGCTGGATTTCAGGGGCTCTTCAATCTTAGACACTTCAGGCTTGGGATCTTCATTTTGATCAGTTTCTTCCAAAACTGACGGCTCTTTGATTGTAGTGTCATCCTTCTGATCATGTCGATCACCATCCTGCATTTCGTCGAGATGCCCATTTTTCTCTCCATGACTCAATGGCCCTTTCTCATTGACTTGTGTTTCTTGGGAATCACCTTCCGTTGCAACTTCCTCTTGTTGCCCCTCAGTATACTCGAGTAAGCTTTCTTCACGGTCAGGGCTGGATTTGAGAAGCTCTTTAATCTTAGGCACTTCAGGCTTCGGCTCTTTATCTTTACCAGTTTCTTCGAACACTGACAGGTCTTTAATTGTAGGGTCAACCTGCTGATCATGTCGATCACGATCCTGCATCTCGTCGAGATTTCCATTTTTCTCTTCATGACTCAATGGACCTTTCTCTTCAACTTGTTTTTCTTGGGAATCACCTTCGGTTGAAACGTCCTCTTGTTGCCCCTCAGTATACTCTAGTGAGCTTTCTTCATGGTCAGGGCTGGATTTGAGAGGCTCTTCAATCTTAGACACTTCAGGCCTTGGCTCTTCATTTTGACCAGTTTCTTGCAACAGTGACGGTTCTTTGTTTGTAGGGTCAACTTGCTGATCTTGTCGACCACGATACTGCATTTCGTCGAGATGCCCATTTTTCTCTTCCTGAGTCAATGGACCTTTCTCTTCGACTTGTTTTTGTTGGGAATCACCTTCCGTTGCAGCTTCCTCTTGTTGCCGCTCAGTATAGTCGAGTGAGCTTTCTTTATAGTCAGGACTGGATTTGAGAGGCTCTTCAATCTTAGACATTTCAGGCTTTGGCTTTTCACTTTGACCAGTTCTGTCCAACACTGACGGCTCTTTGTTTGTAGGGTCATGCTGCTGATTGTGTCGATCACGATACTGCTTTTCGTAGAAATACACAATTGTCTGTTCATGACTTAATGGACCTTTCTCATTGACTTGTGTTTCTTCGCAATCACCTTCCGTTGCAACTTTCTCTTGTTGCCCCTCAGTAAACCTGAATGAACATTCTTCGTGGTCAGGGGTGGATTTCACGGGCTCTTCAAACTTAGACACTTGAAGCTTGGAATCTTCATTTTGATCAGTTTCTTCTAAAACTGACGGCTCTTTGATTGTAGTGGCATTCTTCTCATCATATCGATCACCATCCGGCATTTCGTCGAAATTTCCATTTTGCTCTTCATGACTCAATGGACCTTTCTCTTTAATTTGTTCTTCTTGGGAATCATCTTCAGTTGAAACGTCCTCTTGTTGCCCCTCAGTATACTCGAGTGAGCTTTCTTCATGGTCAGGGTTAGATTTGAGAGGCTCTTCAATCTTAGACGCTTCGGGCCTCGGCTCTTCATTTTGACCAGTTTCTTCGAACAGTGACGGATCTTTGTTTTTAGGGTCAACATTTTGATGATGTCGACTACGATACTGAATTTTGTCGAAATTCCCATTTTTCTCTTCATGACTCAATGGACCTTTCTCTTGCACTTGTTTTTCCTGGGAATCACCTTCCGTTGCAACTTCCTCTTGTTGCCGCTCAGTATACTCGAGTGGGCTTTCTTCATAGTCAGGGCTGGATTTGAGAGGCTCTTTAATCTTAGTCACTTCAGGCTTGGGCTCTTCATTTTGACCAGTTTCTTGCAACAGTGACGGCTCTCTGTTTGTAGGGTCAACCTGCTGATCATGTCGATCACGATCCTCCATTTCGTCGAGATGCCCATTTTTCTGTTCGTGACTCAAAGGACCTTTCTCTTTTTCTTGTTTGACTTGGTAATGATCTTCCGTTGCAACGTCTTCTTGTGGCCTTTCAGTACACTCGAGCAAGCTTTCGTCGTGGTCAGGGCTGGATTTCAGAGGCGCTTCAATCTTAGACGCCTTGAGCTTGGGCTCTTTATTTTCATCAGTGTCTAGCAACGGCGACAGATCTTTCTTTGTAAGGACATCGCACTGATCTTGTCGATCTTTATCCTGTATTTCTTCAACAACTTTCTCTTCATGACCCACGAAAGCTTTCTCTCGTACTTCTTCTTTAGAATGATCACCAGTATCGGAAATAGTTTTCCCTTGGTTGTTTAGGCTCACAGAGGTATCTTCTTCCATTATTGTTTCCAAATTTTCTGTTGTGTCACTGACTGTTTGCTCCAGCAAAATCTCGCCGTTAACAGTGTTACCTTCCCGCAGCTTTTTTCGGTCCCGTACCTGTTCCCTTTCAGGCTGTTCGAGTGAACTTTCTTCGAAGTCATGGCTGCATGTAAAATGTTCCTTACGCTCAGAACTATCACCCTTACGTTCTTCCTGCTCGCCAGTTTCTTGCAGCGCTGAAGGATTTTCGTTGGTACTGTCATTTTGGCGGTCATGATTCTGTATTTCGTTGGGATGCACAACTTGCTCCTTATGATCCACGACCGTTGTCTCTTGAATTCGCTTGACTTGATAATCTTCTTGGTAACCGCCTTCGTAATCAGGGCTGGATTTCAGAGACTCTTTGATGTTAGCCACTTCAGATTTGGGGTGTTTATTTTCACCAGCTTCTTTCAGCGCTGACTTTTCGACGTTTGCATGATACTTTATTTTGTTGGGATACACAACTTTCTCTTCACGACTCTCTGAAGCCTTTTCTTGCATTTGTTTCCTTTGAGAATCATCTCCTTGTGTGTATTTGGGAAGAATTGACTCCCTCTTGTCTGTCTGGTTACCGGTAAATTTTGCTAACTCATCGGAACTAGTTATCCCTGGGTTATTTACGCTAACAGCGGCACCTAATTCAGTTATCGTTTCGCTGCTTTTTGTTTTCTCAATAACTGCTTGTTCCACCAAATATTTAGCGTTCACAGCGTCATCTTGCTGCTCCTCTATTTGCTTCTTACCTTGTTGCCTCACAGGGTGCTCGATGGACTTTTCCTTGTAGTCAGAACTGCATTCCAGGCCCTTGTCAAGCTTACTCCCTTCAAACTCAGACCCTTCACGGTTAATTTCTTCTTTTCCTTCAGTTTCTTGCAGCAATAATCGATTTTTGTTCAAACAGTCGTCGTGCTGGTCTTGTCGTTGGCGATGCTGCATTTTTTCGAGATGCACAACTTTTTCTTTAGCACACAATGGAGTTTCCTCTTTGTCTTGTCTGCCTTGACCATTCTCCTGCGCTGCCCCTTGGTGCCTTTCAGGGTACTCGAGTAAACCTGCTTTACTGTCAGGGCTGTATTTCAGAGGCTCTTCAATTATAGAAACTTCAGGCTTGGACCTTTCACTTTCTCCAGTTTCTTTCAGCACTGTCTGTTCTTTGTTTTTAGGGTCATCATTCCTATCATGTCGACCATGATACAACATTTTGTTGGGATGCACAACTTTCTCTTCATGACTCACTGGAGCTCTCTTTTGGACTTCTTTCTCTTGAGAATCACCCTGCTTTGCAATTTCGTCTTCCTTGTACTTTGATATGATTGGCTCTTCCATGTCTTTGTTCTTACAGGTGGATTTTCCCAGCTCATCAAAATTAGTTATCTCTCGGTTATTTACTCTAACAGACGCATCTTCTTCGGTAATTGTTTCACTGCTTTCTGCTTTTTGACTGACTACTTGTTCTTCTAACGAACTGCCATCGTTTACAGCGTAATCTTCCTGCAGCTCTTCTTGCTCCTGTACCTGTTGATTGTCAAGTTGTACATGTTACGTTTCCGGCCAGAGAGTTACCTATTCCCTAATAGTCTTCCTGAACCTCGGTGGACTATTTAAGAACTGACTACTAGCACTCAACGGAAATATCTAAAGATGACATGCTATTTGATGGCCAATAATATTACTTGACTACATAACTTTTCTGAAAACGTGGAAGATATTGAACAGCTTATAAATCTTATATTATTCATTCAAAACATTTCTCCGTTTCTGATTGGCTAAAATCACACGCATGATTCATCGTAACCAGTTATTGTCTACCAAATATGGAAGAATTTTGTCGTATTGACCTGATGATGTCAAAAGTGCAGCAAAGTTGTAGATTATTAAAACCCTTAACCTAGTAGACCCGGGGACGAGGTTGAGTTGTTTTGGTTGTGACTTCAAAATGGCGGAACGTTTCAGTCTTTTCAAGAGTAAGAAATAGGCAAACTATCTGAAAACTTTGGATCAAATTTTACTAAAAGAAGTGAAAATAGACGATAGTTTTATTCTAACCCTACTGCGAAGGAACAAGGCGCTTTTTTATTGTGGTATATCTGAACGTTGAAACGTTGTTACGTGGCTTAATCGTTCGCCTCACTCAAAATATTTACTAATATAAGGGAAAATGCATGTGCATAGGAACTTTTTGTAGCGAGAGAGTATCAGGTCCTCGTTAAGTACATTCGTGCTTGCGCGCAGAACATGCGCGCAAACATATTTTTTACCTATTATGGGTGTCTTCCCTAATAAAGACGTTTGCTGCCATAAAAATTAAATTAGTAAACTTTCTAGAATAAGAATGTCCTCAGTAATGCTTTCTGTCTATTGTTACAAGAGGGGCTACCTCTTATCAAAAAGGAAATGTGTTTTATAGTTGAGGAACAGCTTAACTGAAAAGGAAAAATCTCTTGTAATGGGTACAGTAAGTTAAGTAACAGCCTATCACAATCGGGGGCTTAAGTGTATTTGACGGCTTCTTGGAAATAAAAACGTTTCTGAATGAATGAATACCCAAAGGAGCTAAGCTATGGATAACTTTATTGTCCTAGCTGTAACATTTTGCATCCTTTGCAGCTTATTAAGCTGATAGGTTGGTAAGCCACAAAGTAACCTAAGACTTAAATCTACACGACTAGAATCAAGTGCCTGAAAGTCCCTTGCAGTGGACAGTACAAAGATGTACTACCGATGGCATTGTGAAATCCACAGTTAAATATGAAGGTTGATTTGAGTGCGTATTGTTCATGAGAAAAAGGGTCATAAACTAAGTTATGATGTCACAAAAGCAACACTTAAAATTTCCTACCTTCACCTTGCTCTGGCATCATTGATTTTTTACATTACTTCGCGTGGAATTGGTTTAAATTCACCTTGAGCTTATTGGCACGTGTCTTTAATTTGGCTAAGCTTAAGACTACCTGTCAACATAACAAGCAGGCTTCAGGTGGACTGTGTAGAGAGGCACTGAACAAACCCTCTAATGACCTTCTCTAAATCAGCATCTTAACTATCAGAGTTAAATATAAAGGCTGAATTTACGTCCGGAGTTTTTATTCATGTTAAACATTTGGCTGCTGGCTTTGGAGGACATTCGAGCAATCCTCCCAGCTCTTCGTCATATGAACTGGATTTCTTAGGCTCTTTAAGCTTGGGTCGTAAATTTGAATTTGCAGGCTGGATTTGGTCAGGCAGAGTTTCTTTCTTCACTATTTTGGCCTCAGTGGTATGAGATAAAGAAAGACCGCTTAATTAAGCGACATATTTAGTGTATGTTTTGGATCTCTTCCACCTTCAACTCTTTAGTTACTTCAGTGAGTCGGTTTTCTTAATATACAAATGAAAAATTAATTGATTGATTGAAAGTCGCAGCTGCCACTAGCTGCCCGACTAATAAATAAGTAAATTAATTAATTTAATTAATTGATTACAATTGAACTTGAACTTAAATTCACTTTTTGTTATGCCTGGTACCATAAATTATTGTTGTTACCATGTAGCATAAATAAAATCATGGTTGATGCACTTTACGTAATTGTCCACGAGAATAGCTTGGTTGTAAATAACTAATTGGTTAGTATTTTGGAAAGCTAGTCTCCTGGGACCTCCACTTTCGTACGTGAGGGATAATTCACCCGATTATTTAAAAAGCCTAAGATGTTTGTATTTTCGCAACTTTGTAGTTCTTAATTATGAGACTGAAATTAATTTAATTTTATACGTACAACATTTTCGTGTCTTGTATGATCCCTTTTTATAACACCAGTTAGCACTTCGTCTAATAAAAAATTATCAATTTATCCTTTTCCCCCATTTTTGTAGTTCTATCGAAACTAGCAAGACTCTGGTGAGAGCCGGCACTGAGGTCGTTGCTCAACTACTTTGGATAACTTGACAGGTCTGAAGGCTGGCACTTAGCTTAGGTAACTCTTTTTGTCAAAAAAATATCGATAGGCACGAATCACGCCTTTGCTGTAACTAATTTGTTTTGGCGGTTAAAAGTGGGTATTAATTCTATCAATTATTTGAGTTATCTAACGTGTTATGGTGGGCATATTCTGGATGTGAAAGCTGCTCAACATTATAATTGTTTTGCTTCACTAAGTGGAAAAAATCCACGGAAAATTCCCAAAATGCAAAAAAAACTCTTTGCATCTGAAATAAATTGATGCGAACAGAACCACTAACAAGCTTTCACGGTTAGAATGCTCACGCCAAAGTGTTTGATAGACTAGTTTTGAAAGAGTAGAAACGGTTAGAACACAAAATATAATTAATAGATGACAGTTCTACCCTTATTGTACCCGGAAGGAAATTTTAAAAAAAACATTTGCACGAAGGTTAGATATAAAGTGGCGCAGGTGGTTGCTTTGAGGGCAAATTTTCAGAGATTAATGAGAATAAGACATAATTAAAGACGTAAAAGGATCTGTCGGAGGATGAAAAGAAAAAATTGCAAAATGGCTTTTATTTCATTTATTTTTAACCGAGCTCTAATAAAAATGTTGGCGTTGACAAGTACGTTAGCATTGCAAAATCAAATTAAAGGCGTCAGAGAGAATTTATTGTGTAAAGCTGGTAAACCTTATAGCCTTTTTAGGGCAGTTCTACTAAGTTTGTTCTCTTATCTAAACTGTCAATGGAACAGGGAAGCAACCTCTATTTTCAGTAATCTTCTCCTTTCTATTTCGTTTCTCTTCCCTTATCTGCCCACAGTTCTTCTTCAGCTAAATCAGATAATGTATGTGTTACAAGAAAACTAGCTCAGTAAACAGCCCTAACAAGGCTATAAAGTTGACCGGCTGTGGTTGCAAAATCATGCATGAAGATCATTTTACAAATTATTCATCGAATTGTTCTTTTCATCTTCCGACTGATTATTTCATGTTATGTGCTTTGTATAACCAGGGTCTGGGATTAGTTCTTCTTTTTATTCAGTTTATTTTTGTGTGCATATATTTTGGGAAAGGAAAATTCGTATACTTTATTTGAATAGGGTAAAGGTTTTGGGAATCACGGCTCACCCCCCCCCCCCCCCAACCCACCTTAATTTTCCAGGAGGTCATTTGGTCCATTGTTAATACACTGTGATATTTGTTAGCAACTGACGGACTTTGTAGTTCAGAGGCTAATCCTAAGTTTGACTTTGATGCACAGTTTCCACAATAGAGGTCTTTCGAGCTTCTGCCCAGCGCGCATTAAGAATAATCTAGCATCATATAGTCGCTATTCAGTTTAAGGTAGTAAACCGCCTAGACTGGTCGATACTTAAGTAAATGCGCCATAGTTTTTCCGGCCGAGATGGTCTTCCACCACCCGAGGGATGCAGTATCGGTTAAGGTTCAGTAAAAGGATGATCTCACCCCCCATCCCACCCCGGAGGGATTTCTTTCACACATCAAAGGCTACAAAAGTTAGTAATAATCTTCGAAAAAGCAACACAGCAGTACTTTTTGACGTTACTATTGGAAAGGCGGTGATCAAAAGACCCTTCCACGGTTTTTTCAAATTTGACTGGCATCAGTTAGCGAAAATCCGTCAATACAGCTAAAAAGAACGTCTAAACGTTAGTAAAGATGCCAAGTTTCAATGTGATTTGTTCAAAACTAACGCAACGTCACCGAATTTTACAACGTTTGTATGGAAGGGACAAGTTCGTGCCCCCGCCATACAAACATTACTGTGGAGCAATATCTTCTCACGCTTTTAACGTATCACCTTCAAAACTGGTGTTAATAATTTCCTAATTTGAAGACGGTCTCTAATTTCAAGCAGTGACTATGAATATTCGTTAACTGGTCTTTATCAAAACTTGAAAAATTCTGTGGAAGAGTCCGCTATAGGAAACAATTTTCAGACACGGAGACAGTAACATACTGAATATTGGTCCAACTCAGCTTTAATCTGTAAAACTGAAATATAGCTAAGCTATATGTTACAGTCAGTCCCATTCTTAAGCGCTATTAAAGTGCAAAAATTCCCTATTTTACCGTTTATAAAGATTACGTCACTGATTCATCCTAAAAAATAACAGCAAAGTCTCCGCCAATTTTATATTAAAACTTAAAAGCTCGAGCACAGTTCTGTGTACTGAGCAAACAGGGTCCAAATCTCTATCTACATGTTCTTGCCTTGATTAAAATCAGGCTGACTCTCCGAACTAGACGGTCTAGTAACAGCTAAGCCGTTTAGTCTGTTTGACAACAACGGATGCGTGCTTAATACGAGCTCTGCACTAACTAAAACACCCAACTTCCGAGTACACAAGTTTGAACCCATTACCATGAGAAAGACAAGGCTTTTTGGAAGCCCGTTACCTTACATTGAGGTCTCAAAATTAAAAAAAAGGTTTAGAAAGTACACCCAAGTATGTCTATCGCAACAAACTACGATAAAGCTTCAAAATATCCGTTATGTAGACGTTTAAACTTGAAAACTTCTAAAATACATATGGGGAGTTATCTAAACTTCGAAAATGACTCTTGACTTCGAGAGTTCAATGCAAAATCATGAAAACTACAAAACACTTCTACACTTACACAATTTTCAGCTCCATAAGACTTAAAATGTATACTCGTTTTTCATAGTATCTATAATTGGTGAAACATCAACGTCCCTGGAGGAAAGCCGAAACTGAATATTCTTTCTAAGACGTCTTTCAGTTGGGATTTATACTTCGTCTTTACAACCAGCCAACCAACATCGTTTTAAATGGCATAGAATATTAGAAAAAAGCCAGTGCCTCGTATTAAAAAAAAAAGAGAAAGAAAGCTAGCAACTTTATATACCTGCTGATCAAAACAATCTGAAAGCCCTGAAACTGAAAACTTTTACTTTCGCCTCTGTAACGCATTACATTATATTCTGCGGTCTCGATTAGGGATGCGTATTCTAGATTAAACAGCGAAATATCTATACCAGTGGATTTTTGTTGCAGAAACATAACATGACCCCGCTATCTAATATTGAAGACAACAACAAAACCGTCTGATCATGGAGCTCATTAACGATGCCTCTTTCTGTTTTAGCCTTTCTCCATATTCAGGGCTGGATTTAACAGACTCTTCAAGGTTAGAATCTTCGCTCTTGGACTTGTCAAGGCTGGGCACTTCATTCTCACCGGTTGCTTGAAGCACCGACTGACCTCCAATTGAAGAGTCATCGTTGTGATTATGATCCTGCATTTTGCTTAGATGCGCAGCTCTCTCTTCATGACCCTGTGGAGCTTTCTTTTGTACTTGTTTTCCTTGTAAATGATCTTGCATCGGAACCTTCCCTTCCTTGCACGGCTCTTCCACGTCTGCTTGCCTGCTGGTGGGCTTCTCAAACTTATCACAAAAAATTTTCCTGCGCGACTGATTTACCTTGAAATCTTCCAACGCTACTTTGAAATTGTGCAGGGATTCTAACATAGCAGCTTGACCAGTCTTTTCAAAGGTATCTTTTTCAGTTATCGTTAGGACGCTTTCTGTTTTTTCACCGACTTCTTGTTCCACCAATTTTTCGCCATTCACAGCATCATCTTGTTGCAGCTCTTTTTGCCTCTCCATTAGCTGTTCCCCTGGCTGCCGCGCCGGGTCCTCTACTGACTTAAGTCCTTGATTCATGGAAAGGTCGCTTTGCGTTTTTCTGCGTGGAGAACAGTTTCGCTGCAGATTATATCTTTCCTTGTTTGCCGACCTTAAAGGTTCTCCCACATCTTCGTCGTTAAGTGTGTCAATGCCTGTTTCTTCCTTCTCTCCGGTGATATCTTCAGTACCCGTGGAACTTTCTGTTGATTTTGCAGCATCCTCCCTCTCTTCATCGCGAACTACCTCTTGTTCGTTCAAGATACACTCAGATTCTTTGGATGATAAAAAAAGACTATCTTCTTCTCGGCTGAATGAGAAATTTTCTTCAAGCTTAGGTGTTACATTCTTCTTTGGCCTTTCAAAAGAACCCTCGACATCTGTGTTCTTGTTTTCTTCTATCATGTCCCCAGATGACTGTGATTCTGCCTCCAGCGATTGAGTCTCGCTTACGTCAAAAGACCACTCCTTATCTGGGCTGTTCTCTAGCTCCTCATGCGTGTATATACGCTCTTCGTTCTTGCTTTTACGCTCTTCTGACCAAGGATCGTTTGCATCTGTTTCTTCTGCAAACTTTTTATTGACGCCTCCCTCTTCCTTGAAATCTGCCTGCACGACAGTAGAGCTTCTTGTCGAGTAAATTTCTTGTACCTCTCGGTCGTATTTTGCCTGACGAACGTCCTGTAACTTGAACTTTACATTCTTTTTCTGTAAATCCAACTTAATCTTCTCAAGGGACAAAGCTAATTCTGCCGCCGATGATTTCATGAATCCATTGGTTTCTTGAAGCGATGACTCACTTCCATCGTTGTAACTGAAATAGAAGCCATCCGTTTTCTTGTATTTTCTGCCCTTGAATCGTAACCTCCCTCGCCTTTCTTTTGGTTTTCTATTCTGGTTTTGGTCAATAACTACAGTTATCGCACCTTTTTCCAGGTTCTTCGAATCTCTCCTTTTGAATTTCACTTTTTTACTCTCTGTAAACGAAAAATGGGAAAACGAGTCTTGACTAGACGGAATCATAGCGTAAATATAAAGGATCAAAAATCGTGCTCAAAACTTAGACATTATGTTTGCAAAAAGGTTAGTCATTTATTCCCTAAAATGGCTTCGTTGTAAATGTGATAGTTTTTTATTATATTGGAAAGCTAATCTTCCTGAATCTTCGCTTAGGTGGATTATTTACTCGATTATTTAATAACGAACTTCTAGCAGTCAGAAATATCTCTACCTGTTCCTGCCCTCAAAATTCACATATTGTTCATCTGACAACATATATTTTTTTTGCATAACTTTTAGATCTCGATCAACAGACTGAAAGAATTACAAAATTGTACTTTTTCATACATGATCCATTTGAAAACAACAATTGGCACTTAGCTTCATTGATTCCAGAATAATTATCTTAATCCATTTTTCCTCACCTTTCTTTCCCTTGTACTTAATCTTTTTGAACTTGGAACACACTGAAGACATCATTGAACTCATTGTTCATTTGATCTGGATAACACATCAGATCTGAAAGCAGGTATTTTCAGTAATTTTTTTGCTGTTGTCAACAAATTGAAGTCACTAAGCTTAGGTAAGAGAACTCAGGTCCGAGCTGAAAATTTTCTTCTTAGCTGATTAATTGCACCCTTCGATATTTGTAGTATTAAGACATTTCTTCAATTCGCAAAGTAACAATTGAACAACCCTATGTTTCTTTTTAATTCAGCATCTTAAGAATCTAAGTTAATAAAAAGGTTGAATTTGCGAGATTTTTTCTTCGTACGAAGGAAAGTTAGCTGCTGACACTGAAGGAAAACGTTCCTCACCTTAGTACCGTTTACACTACGTAAATTTCTACAGAAACAACTCAAACTCAAACTCACTCTGGAGACATCATTGAACTCATTGTTCATTTGATTTGGATAACACTTTAGGTCTGACCGCAGGTATTGTCGGCAATTTTTTGCTGTTGTCAAATTTAAGTCACTACGTTTAGATCAGAGAACTCAGATCCGAGCTGAAAGTTATCTTGTTAGTTGATTAATTGCACCCTTCGATAATTGTCGGTTTAAGATATCTCTTCAATTTGCAAAATAATAATTTCAACAACCCTATGTTCCTATAAATGCAGCATGTTAAGTATCTGAGTTAATAAAAAGGTTCAATTTGTGGGATTTTTGCTTCTTGGTGTCCATTACGTAACTTTCTACAGAGACATCCAAAAATTCTTACCTTCACCTTGCGCTTGCTTCACATTTATTACATTACTTGGCCAAGACTGCTTTTTTATACATGTACTGTCATATGATACACATTTGAGTGGACTAGCAGAACAAATTAGTTTTGATGTTTTCTACTTGGCGGCTTTCGATACTCGAAAGAGTTTTTTTAATTAGAATTAATCACTCTCTGTCTAATAGACGAATATGCATGAGCTGACGGAATTGACAACATTGCGACATAACCAGCCTCGTCCTACGCTACAGACCCAAAACAGCAAAATTTCTATCATTATGTAAAGCAAACATGTTTGTTGTAATTTCGTGAAACAGCTAAATCATCCCATATTAGTCTTTTTTGCATACGGTTTAGAGCCTCGTTAACCAGTACTTGAAACCAAGAGAAAATTAACTACCACTTACAAAAAAAGATAAGCGAATAAAGTTAGTACTATCTCTAAAAAATATAGGTCCCATAGAAGATCTACAAATGTTACAGTTTGGAATTTACGTTTTGCAACCCTTCCATCTAAAATGTTTTACACGTTACGATGACGTAATGGTTAAAACTACTCAGTATCTTCATTCACTATTAATTTTTAAAAATATCCATTCAAACGAAAACCGTCCAATGCAAGGTAGTTGAACAGATGTCCGTAGAACGAACGACTTATGCTCTCGTGCGTTTCTGTAACGCCAGTCTATCAGTGATGGGTTTTCTAAATTGAGCAACCGAACATCTATGCTTGAATATTATTTGGAGGAACTTGACATTTGAAACTGATATGCAATATCATGCAAAGCAGCACCAAAACAGACTTAATGCTGACTTCCTTTTCTTGGTTACCAGTACGTCTTCCTCTTCTGATCTTTCTTCGTAGTCAGAACTGGGTTTCATGGGCTTTTCAGGCTTGACCTCTTCATTTTTACCATTTTCTTGCAGCACTTGTTGATCTTTCTTCGTAAGGTCATCGTGGCTGTCATGTCGACCATAAACCTGCAGATTATTGGGATGAACGGCTTTCTCTTCATTACTCTCTGGAGCCTTTTCTTGCACTTCTTTTTCTTGGAAATAATCTTGCGCTGCAACTTCACCTTCCTTGTAGGCGGAAACGATTGGCTCTCTAATGCCAGCGCTGTGTTCTCCCAAGTCATTTACCTTGGAATCTTCAAAAGCTCCTTTTAAGTTGTGCAGGAATTCTAAGGGCGCAGTTTGACCAGATTTCTCTGGAAGGCTGACAGAGTTATCTTCTACAGTTATGCTTTCGATGCTCACTGTTTTCTCACTGACGTCCTCGTCCGCCACATTTTCATCTTCCACAGAGTCATCTTTCTGCAGCTCTTTTTGCTCCTCCACTTGTTGTTCCTCAGGGTGCTCGGGGGACTCTACCTCTTTACTCATGGAAGATTCATTTTGCTTTTCACTGTCATGAGAACCATCAAGCTGCGAAAAGTACTGTTCCTTGACTGTAGAGCTGATACTTTCCTCCACTTCTTTTTCTTTAAGTGTTCCATTGTCGTCTGTTTCTTTCTTCTCTCTGATGATGTCTTCAACGCTAGAAATTTCTGCTGATATCACACCGTCCTCCTTCTCTTCTTCTGTGATTATTGCGTTTACTTTCAAGATACGCCCAGATTTGGGGGATAAAACGCGACTATCATCCTCATTATCTTTAAATGTAGATGTTACATCTTCGTTTTGCTCTACATTTGGTTTTTCGAAAGAACTCGCATCCATGCTCTTGTTTGCTTCGATTAACATCCCAGACGACTGTGATTCAAACTCAGGCGATTGAGTCTTGTTTGGGTCAAGAGCTGTTGTCTGTTCTGGGCTATTCACTGGCTCCTCCATCATGTTAGGCTGCTCTTCCTTAACAACTTTGCCTTCTTTTGACCAAGGATCACTTACATCCGTTACGTTTACCACTGTTTCACTGCTATCTTCCGTGAAGGTTGCTTGGACGACATCGGGGCTTTCTGGAGTGTCAATTACGTGCACTTCTTGGTCGTATAGAACATCTTCTTGTGACTTCTCAGAAGGTTCAGTCAATTCTACCGTAGATGATTCTTTGGATTCATTCGCTCCTTGAGGCAAACTTGCAGCGCTGTTACTGGAATAAGCTGAATCTCCGCTCAACGAACCATCTGTCTTTTTGGATTTCTTGGCTTTAAATCGAATCCCAAACTTCTTTTTTGGTTTTGCAGTCTGGGTTTGGTTACCAGCTTCATTCACAACACTTTTTTCCTCCTTTTTCGAGTCTTTCTTTTTGGTTTTTTCTTTCTTCTCTTTTTTACTCTCTGTGAACGAAGGGAAAGTACTGAATTCTAATTAAGCGGTATATAATATCACAAATGGTTAAAATAAAATCATTTACTATTGATTAATTGTAGCATTTCAAAAGTAATCGAGCGCAGCGTTTTTGGAGTTTCATGTAGGTGGGTTTGGCTACAGTTGTTCTAAATACTACCGCAACAACTAAGTAGCTGATTGATGCTTGCATTGTTATCGATATTGGGTAGATAGATATTTTCGAGCTGTTGCTAAACTTGCTGAGTTCTTCGGCGTAATTTCCGTCGTCCAGGGTGTGAATGGTTTCGCAATATATCTATCAATGTATACTCCTAAGACACGTTGTGACTCAACCTCAGTGTGTTGTACGCCATAAACGGAATGCCTATTGCATAAATTTGCAATTTCCCGACGGGCGAGATAATACTGTTCTTTTTCTTTTAGAATGGATGAAATCCTCACAAAGCTAATCGAGAATGAGTTCTCGTAAAGGGGTAAGGGATCATGTAATAAACTTCTCACCAGAGGGCAGTTGCTTATGAGAGCTTTTAGCAAATAGCTTGGCATATTTGTTAATTGCCAATCTATCCGGGTAAAACAATATGAAAATTTTTTTTTTTACGTATCACATTCGACGTGAACGGACCATTAGCCCTTCCGGTTTATGCTGATACCCCAAATTTGATCTAGAAGTAAATGCTTTTATTCAAAAGTGCTGACTATTTGGTTGCTTAAAGGAAGAGACAAGACGCTAATTCACATAAGCAGTCGCCGTCTCTCAAGGATGCGATCGCTTGTGAGAGCCTTTTATCGCACAGTTTAAGACATAATGCAATCCGGTTCTCTCAATGGTGGTCTCAACTAGACCTGGTGGCTTACGAGAGTAGTAGCAAGTAGAGCCTTGACTATGCTAAATATTCTTATAATTTTTCTTAAGCCAATATCCTTGTATTTTCGTTGTGTACCGTACTGGATTCTTTAAAAAGGGAATACCTCGAACTACTAGCAGTCAGATATATTTGAACTTCCTTTTTTTTCAATATTCCTCGTATTTAACCGTCATGTTATTAGCTCGATGGCCCAACTATTGGCACTTGCATGATCGAGGTGATGGGGGATATGAATTAACATATCGAAGATTTCAAAACTTGCACGGACAACATATTCGTGTCTTGTCTCACTGTGATCCAATCGATCCAATCGATTCCAAAAGCACCACCGTTATCCTATATTAATATCGATTCAATCTCCTTACCTTTCTTTTCCTTGTCCTTCTTTTTGGGCTTCGAAGGCACAGAAGCGGAGCTCATCGAACTCATTGTTCAACAGTTCTGATAATTCTGAGTGGGTCTAAAAGCAGGTCGAATTAAAGTTAGTTTAATAGCACAACTCACGTCAAAGCTGTAACTTCTGGTTGGCTAGCTAAACCGTCATAAAGTTATCGATTCTACAAATAATTGAGTCATGGTGGGCATGCTTTTTACCATATAGTGTGCATGGGATTATTGAATTTGCTTTATTGGAGCTTCCGTGCCAGAAATAGAAAATTAACGATCTAATGGTTAAAAAATGCTGAACGGTTCCAATGAAGTTTTTGTTGACAAAAGAAAAAAAATAGAACAGAAATTACTAGAAATAGATGACAGTCTCACCCCAACTCTGCTACAAAGAAAATAGAAACAAAATTGATCTTTTTTAATTTGGATACATTTACGATAGATTTTAAAAAAAATGCCGCAATCGATTGTTTTGCAGGAGAGATATTCGGTGCACAAAAGGAAAACTTCGGTAATTTGCAGTCGTTATAAGTGACATGAAACCTAGTGACCGGTTGGTGGCTGAACTGAATATTTTGGAAAACTGTTCCTCTCGAAGCTTGTCAGGTCTATTTTTACAAGTTTCTCTGTCTTTGCGTTGAGCAATAAGTAACCGTTGCAAAATTAGGCTTGTTACGGGGCTGTTGGTAAAAAGAACAACCCCTCTTATAAAACAAAAGGACTAAAGTGAGTGGCACCCAAAAAATCTTCCTTCGATATGTTTTGTACTTAGATATTTCTTCAACTCGCAAATAAATAATTTGAACAGCTTTATGGTCTTGTTTAAATCTGCATCTTAAATACTAGAATCAAATATCAAGGCTGAATTAGAGTTTTGCCTCATGAGAAATAAAATAAGCTGCGTGTCAATACTGAAGAACAAGGTTCTGCATCTAAGTGCGGCCCATTTCGTAAATTTCTACAGAAACAACCAGAATTTCTTACCTTCACTTGGCGCTGGCTTCACATTTATTACATTACTTGACGTGGAATGGTTTTAAATGCAAACTATGTGCGCATCATGAGTTTGTTGTCATGTGATACACATGTTATGTATAAGCATCCGCTTTCGGATGAATGATGTTTGTCAATGTAACTAGCAATCCTTCTTTTAGAGACTATTAAATGGGCATTGGGCCCCGTCTTCGTCCTATCTGCATTGGAATTGAATACAGCAGTGATTTAAATGCGAGTTTCATATAAATAGCAGCAGAATTATTGCAGTTATGAAATAAATATTAATCAGAATTATTAATTAAGTTTCTTGAAACGCGGGGTTGTTAATACAGGCACTGAGGGGGCCTTGGAAAGTGTCCGTATTAACGGATTGACTGCTTAACTAAGCATTTGTACTTTTTAAAAATCAATTGATCAGTGACCAAAGAATGTCATCCGGCCTTACCGCATCTGAACAATCATTCTTAGGGGTTCGTCACGCGTTCCTGCAGGAACGTGCGACGAACCCCTAAGAACGTCCACGTGGGAGGCTACAATCAGAACAGATAAACAAGTTTGCTGTGGGCCAATAAGAATTCCGGGCATACCGCAGAAATGATAGGGGAGAGCTGATAAACGGTTTATTAATAGTAACACAAATTCGTTAAAGCGGTTTAAAGTCTAAGGTCTTGTCTCTAAACTGGACATATATAAGCACCCTGGCAGTTAAAAAGTACATAGGGTTTCACAGGGTGGGTCAGGATAATACAGGAGTTCATCCGTACGGTAGAGTAATGACAGGAATGGGAAAGACCAGACTTTGTTCATCCTTGAGGTTGAATTAGTTTCTTTATTGATGGAAAGTTTGTTTTGCATTTTTCTGTCATGGGCTGAATCATTTTGCTGCGAATTATAATTTTCCTCGTAAACTTAGGGAAGCGATCTGCCATTTCTCTCCGAAGAGGTCTTCTGTGATCTATTGCTGAACCGCAGAAGCACGATAGCACGGAATCTATTCGATTAAGTATTCCAATGTCAAAATTCAGGGGCACCCAACGAGAATATAGTTCAAAACCACTTAAACATATCATTGTTAAACGTATTTTAGTATTTAAACGGTAGATATAGGCATATTTTTATCCCCTAAAAATTTTTCATCCATTCGGATTTCCCAGCTGAAAGTCTAGTGATCCGAAAATTATAGGGATCAAAACTGACCTTTTCGAAAATTTCAGCCAGAAAAGAGGCTCCCGAAAATTCTAGGTGACCTTTTTAGGGTAAAAAGCCGTTAAAAATGGGCAATTATACAAGTTTTTAGATGTTCGAAAATCCTAGGAGAGGCAGGCAAGCAAGAACTTTTGCAACAAATGTTCCGAAAATTCTAGATCTCAAATCGTCTTCCGAACAGATATTCTTCCGAAAATTGTCGTTGGGTGCCCCTGAAAATTGAGGGACACTGACGCAATTTCGTGGAGAAGAAATGCGTTACAAAGCCCTGAGAAGTCTCTAAACATAAGGATATTGCCGGAAATAGCATAGATTCAACACTGCAGGTTTTACAAACATGTCGTTGACGATACAAAGCCCATTGTTTACATAATAAGTCTCAAGGCTGTTTTTTCATTATGGCTACAGCATATATTCTATTGTGTTTCCTAATGTTGTTGACAATTATTTTCTCCCGCTACTAACCACCATCGATCCCCACAATCAAACGGACGCCTCTTTCGCGTTGGAGGTTGTTTATGGTTTTTCCCTTCCTTTTTTAAGAACTTGAAGCAGTTCCTTTTTCAATTCAAGCAATTTCTTGTTTACCTCTCCCAGCTCAGCTAGCAGCATTGAGGAAGACATCTTAACGTCCTTGATAGTATTTATCAAAGGAGCGTCCACCGGGCTTTCGAAGTCATTCTCAGCATCTGTCTTGTTGCTGAGTGATAACGACTTTGATGGGGTAGGATGTGAGGTGAAATTGGTTTTCTCGCCAAAGTGAGATGATTGCTTGCGGTGATCGTAAATGTTGTCAAGACCTTCTTGACGGGATTGTTTTGCTTCAGCTGTCTGGGTCACTTTCTTTTCTCTTTCTTTTTCAATCACCTTTTCATGATTGCCTTCGTCAGGCCCCCAAGTTTCTTTAACGTTTGTGGAAAGGAACTCGTTGACTTCAAGTTCACTTTCTACGTTGTTACTGACAGCCTCTACTATGGGACTCTCGTCTTCCACAATGTCATCTTGCTGTCCATGTTGATAACTGACTTGATGTTTGTCAGGAAACACGAGTTCGGCTGCTTCTTCCCTCACTGCTACAGCTTCATTTTGTACTTGGTGATCTTGAGAATCATTCTGTGTAGGACCACTTGTCTGTTTCTCTGTGGAAATGACTGATTGTTCTACGATGACCTTGAACTCCTCATCGGGTGTTGCCTTAATCTCAGAAACTGTTTGATGTTTTAGCACTGATTCTGATGACACAACAACTCTCGTTTCGTCTTTCGTCTCATTACTCTGATAATGGACTTCCTGCTTTGGCATGATAGCATCTGCATTGAATGGAGTGTCGTTTTGCACTTTTTCTTCCAGCGAGTGGTCTTGTGGTAAATCTTTTTCCTCCTTGTAATCCGGGTCTCTATCTCTATGTCCACTCCCTCTATCCTCGTTTTGTTTAAGGGTGATGGTAGATGACTGCATCTGTATCTCAAACGATTCTTCTTGGGATTTCTTGATGAATGTTTTCTGTTGCTGGGTGTCAGTTTCTGGTTGCCCTGTTGCCTGTAACTTCACACTGATTCTTTGTTGTTTTGGCGAGGAGTCGTCTTTATCTGCTTTTCGTGGAGTCGTCTTTTCTTTGCCTTGGTAAACAAAGTCTGCGAGTGTTGGTTCAATTTCTTCCGATCGTCGTTTACTCTCGGTATCGTTACTTTGTAATTTAACATTTGCATTTTCGTTTGCTGTATTTTGTTGAGAAGCCGGTTCGACTTTTTCTACTGTCGTTGATTCTGTTGATACACTTGATCCTACGAGCGACAAATCACTCGCAGTGCTACCGAAATCAGCTGAATTTCTGACATTCAAGCTCTCTGAAGAACTCGCATGTTGTGGATCTTTGGACTTCTTTCCCCCTTTTCGAAAAATGCCAAACATCTTCTTTGATTTGGTCGTTTCACCACGAGCTTCGGCGTCAGTTTCTAAATCAGCCTTTGAATCTCTCTTTTTGCTTTTCTCTTTCTTCTCTTTCTTTCCTTTTACGGAACAAAAAGACGAAAAAAAAAAAAGAAATTAGACCAACTGATAAATGCCTCTGTCCCCGAACTGATCTTAATGTTTCACCTCTTCATTAACATATGAAGAGTAAACACAAAACATTTAAAATATATATGTGAAGTGTGATCATTTACGTATATTTATAGTTCATATTCGAAAATTTTTTTGAAATCACGTCGAAACACAAAGTGACATATCATATTTTTTGTTTTTTCTAGGAAGATTTTAGGGTTCTAGAACTTTCTGAGTATTGCTAGGAATGACACTTGATATATAAACAATTTACTGAATAAATATGGCTTTGATTTAAAAAGATAAATACTCAAGGCAAGCCTGTTTGCATCAGGCACATCAAGTTAGGTACTAGACAAGGACGGTTCTTTTTATATATGTATATAATTCACTATCTTCGTATTTTTCAATTATTTTATCAATTCAGGACTCGAGGTAGCTGAGACGTTCTCCTGTGAGTAATGTGAACACTACATAAAATAAGGTTTTAAAAGCGGGACACTTTGGCTCCAAACTTGACGTTAGTTCTTCCATAAAAGATATTTAACTTATAAATAGGACGTATTTATACTTTTCAACAACCAACGTTTCGTGTTAAATTCGCTACTAACCGGTTGGCAAAACTGTTTAATTTCCCCGAACTAAACTACGTTTCGGTTTACGACAAAATAAGGCCTTTGCGAGAATGCATCAATTTTCACGAGCACGATTGTTTGCTCGCAACTAAAATGACCCATAATTTATTCCGACAATATAAGTAGTCACACGGCTATTCTGTTGTTATAACATCTAACAAGAGGACGAAAAAACCTCTACTGCTTCTACTGGGGTTATACTGTTGCAGCATGCGTAAGCCGGACTAGTTAGTTTTAGTGCCCGTATAATGTATGTTGCCCCTTTTCTTTTCAACTGGCCTACTTTATTATTCAACTTTCCATTTATTAGTTGTTTGACGTATATTAAATTTCGTACCTTTCTTTTCCTTGTCCTTCTTCTTCGACTTTGAAGACAGTGATTCTACAGAACCCAATGTACTCATTTCTCAGCAGTTCTGGAGGTGTGGTCCCGTCTCTGGTATTGCTTGGAAGAATACAAGTTGCGTGTAACTAAGAACAAACTCAGTCACTTTGGTCTTGATTAAACTGTAAAAGACAGATACAGAGAAATGGAGAGCACGTCACCAGCTGATGCGAAAAAACAAACAAGCTTGTTATGTTAATGATTCGATAACAATAAATAAATATAAATGATGTTGATGAAACGAAATGGCTCTTGATCTACCACATCCAAATCTGACTAGGATTGAGAAATGTTTGTTTGAGTATCCGAAGTAGCAGGGCTTGTTTTGCTGCAATGATAATATGTACAGTATAGATGAAGAAAGTATTCTGCTATATAGCAAATTATTTGAATGTAATTAACAGCGAGGAATTATTGGTCCAAATTTCTCCAGTCACTGTGAATGCCAATGTCATGCACTGAGCACGAAAATGGAAGTCATTAAAGTACCTATGTTCTTCAGCTTTGCCTTCAAGTTTTTTATCGCTATCATAGTGTTTCATATTACAGGATCTCTGTGAGCTAGCGAGTATTGCTGCCGTGATGTAGTGACTGTTGAATCGCGGTACAGCGACAGTATTCGTCACTCTTTTCTAATAAAATGGACTGTTGCATAAAAGAATGAAAACAATATGCATATTTTTCGTGAGAGTGAAGAAAGACGACTGAAGAGAGCCATCCTATGCTGGTTTTAGACTCCTTTTAAACCTCTAAAGAATATTAGTGACATTATCAAAGAATCGATCATATTTAAGCGTGATTCCCGTCGGCTCTGCAAAACATAGAGAAGTTCGGCACCTTCCTCTTGCACCTTAGCCTTGATCTTGACCAAAGCAAGACCAAACAAAGAAACAGAAGAATGTTGAAACATATACATTCAATCACCTCAGTTAACTGTAGACACAATAAAGGAAAGTATTGGGGAGAGTCCTCGGCATTAAGAATTACTGAGCGTTGTATGATGTTTGGATTCTCTGTGTCACCAAGTCAACTTTCCCTATCATTCCATGTTATGGGGAAGGTATTCTTGAAAAGAGCTTGAGAAATGTCCTACCTTTTTCTTCAAGGTTTTAAGCTGGATCACTGCTAGTTGTCGGTTTGGCTGAGAGGCTTTAAATGGACAGCGTGTTACCATGAGAAACTAATAGCGCTGCGAGAAAGAATCTGCCTTCTCCATTTAGGGTTAATGTAAAACGAAAGATGGGGTTGGTATATGTTTGGGCTGGGGAAAATAGAATTTCAGCCAAGATAGTTTTGCCCCATGGGACCATAAAAAATCGGTTGGGACAGTGGTCAAAATACTGCTGTAATATACTCAATGAAAGGGAGAGGAGCAGAAGAAAGTGTGTGGAATCGTATTTGAAGGTGATGGAGTTGTAGATCTAACTATTATTCATTTAACCAGAAGTGCTGACACCCACAGTGTTAAAAAGACAAATAAATTACAGCTGCGTAAACGAAATGCCATAATTTCATGGCATCCAATCTCGATAATTGTATTGTGATCTCTACTTTCCTATCTACAGGAATCTTTCCAAAAATGAACTATATATATGAATTACAGTAGACACTAGAGAAATGTATGGTTTGTGAGAGTCTGAGCCTGTCTGGCTTTCTCGACCAAGAATTATGATAAAAGTTACAAAAATGATAAAACTGCAGAAGTTGCCGTGCAAATGAAGAGCTCTAAATGTAATATGGTTCAAAAAATTTAAATTTTCTCGCCTCTCTACCATTCAATTTGGCGTAGCTTAGTTTAATTAGTTGCTCATTGTTGGAAGGACGTTTATCCGAACGGGGCAATTTGAGTACCTCTCGGCATAAGTAAATGCGGCATAGTGATACATATTGCAGCTTATTTCATATCCCTGGTTTAACGTCTTCTTTTCCTTGTTTTTTGTGTATGTTTTTGTGTAATAATGAGTTTGCGACAAAAGAACATAACGATTGAAGCGCGAATTGAATTAATTACAACCTTTGATATCCCGTGGTTTCCTTCAATAGGTGCTCAGGTATGTTTTGTATTTTGCATAGTCTTCCTGTTTTTTCTTTAAGAAAAAGAAAAACCTCCTACGCAGACGTTCTTGTAAATATTATATATGAATATTAGATTAATTTGAAAGTTTATCCCATGTCGATCATTTGTTTTCGCTGTTTATCGCTTTGCTCAGTTTGGATTAGTCTGCCGTTTGCCTTCGCTAGGGTTTAGTCCTGCGCTTTAGATTATTATAGTTTACGCGCTCTCAACCAGACTTACATCGGAGCTAAACGGGAAAGTTGACTGGGGTCTCTTGGTCACCTTGTGATATCTTTTAACACCTTCTTTTAAGAGGAAAGGGAAGATTCATGATGGGGGGAGGTGAATAATTTTACGGTGATTGATCAGAACCTTTTGTTGGGTCGCTAAGAGAACTTTGACTTGAATCTCGCAGGGAGTCCCTTGGTTTTTGTTCATCATGATCAGCGTTCTTATCAAAGAATTGCCTTCTTTTGTATAAGAAAAGGAAGGGATGGAACGTCTCATTTACAAGCAAATGCTATTTAGTCAAGGGAAGTTTGCTTTTTTTTTTTTCTCATGGGGGTGGGGGGGCTCAGTGTCATGTTCGTTGTCACTGAATCCCCCCCCCTAGTTTGCCGCCTTCACAAATGACGGCTGTTTCCCTTGTCAGGGCTGTTATTGGCTGTGGTCTCACTTGGGCTTTTTTTACTATAGTAAAGTCGAGTTTACCACTGTAAACACGTTTTCTAATGTGACCTGCTTTTCTCATTTTACTATGGTAAACACAGATCTAGTCTGTTGCGGTGGCAACGGCGGTAGAATGAAAGCAAAGTTTACTATAGTAAACTTTCCTAAAATGATATGGTTTATCGCTGGTATATCTAAACTTTGTTTATTCAGTTGACATCCAGTCGCATTATTTGAGATGCGTTCCCTGAGTGTATACCTGCCAACTGCGTGGGTCTCACGCCTGCGGGTTGAAAACTTCGATCTCACGCCGGCTCACGCCTGCGGGCCAATTTCTCACGCCTGATTGAAAAATGTGAGTTGTTGCCGTCCTGCTTGACCCAATTTCCAAAAATATGTTAACTCAGACCCATGTAAGGAACGAAAACCATGTGTAAAATGAATAAATGGCAATACCTTCCTCGCGATCTCTGATTTTTGAAGTGAAAAGCACTGGGAGCGAGCTCGCCTTTGGCAGACTTCGGACGTCTTCGGGAATCTTCGGAAATGATCGTGTCGTCTTAAAAAATCCCAGCACTCCCAGGATAAAAATCTCACGCTTATATCTCAGAAAAAGTTGGCAGGTATATACATGTATTTTTAGCGCCGCCAGCCTATTCTTTTCCTTTTTTCGTGCCAAACAGTCCAGTAGAGATGCCACAGTGACTCAGACAATTTTCTCTTTCATTCGAGGCAAGTCCACAGTAAATTCTGGCCCGGGTTCCTAGAAAGCCGATTAGCGCTAATCGAGGATTAAATCTCGCTAATCGCGGAATACATTTTGTCCCACGATTAGATCCTGTTCCTGAAAGCATGATTAACCTTAATCTAGGGATAAACTAAGTGTTAATTTTAACCCACCTAGCGAGGTCGATTAAGTCACTAATCGGGTGAAAACGTTTGTAAAACAAACAAAATGGCGGACTCACCGTTGCCTCAAATACGTGAAAAAAAGTTCCGACAGCAAGAAATTAATCTCGACCAATTCACTGATGAAGAGCTTTGCTGTAAAAACAGGTTTGGCCGAGAGTCAATTCAATATTTGGTAGAAATCCTCAAGAACGACCTCGAGAGAAAGACGAGGAGAAAACATAGGCAGTTGCCAGGTTACTACTTCGTGTAATAAATTTGGTCATTATAAAACATGGACTGTGGACTGCGGGTTGAATATAAGGACTATGTTATAAAAACTGGGCCAATTATTTCTAGGTCGATGAAGAATTTCGGTTTCCTCTTCTTGTCCTTTGGTTCAACCAAGACCACTTCATTTTCCGCCATTTTCCTTTACTTCACCCGTACCTAAACATTTTTCGCGCCATATTTTTTAAAAGTAATCATCCCAAAAACTAGTTAAACCGGTTTATTTTAACACTAATCTCGGATTAGTTAATCGTGGGTTTATTTCGCTTTCAGGAACTCCTTTTTAACCCACGATTAGTTATCCAAGGAATAAGAAAATTAATCGTGGGTTTGACACTAATCGGAGGATAGTTTAATCGGCTTTCCAGGAACCTGGGCCAGGATTTCAAGGAATCATACGCCTACATCTAATGTTCGTGTTTCATTTCTGAGTCGAGCATAAATTTAGAAGTAAATCATTCAATTCAAGTGTTTTTTTATTCCGTGTAGCCACATTTTTTCTATTTATTGTCTGAATGTGGATTTTGGTTGGCACGCTTTTTTTAAGAAACCTTCATGTTCTTTTCACTTTAGAGTTCCACCGTTCCTCAATAGTTTCGTAATCTCACCAGGCGGTTTTTCAGACGATCACGGCCGCGAAGTAATTCAGCATGGACCGCTTATATTTGCCGAGAAAATAATGGGATAGAAACAGTATAAGCAGCGGCACAGTTTTCAGTGAATGTATGATGTACAGACACGTAACTGGATAAAAAATAAAACATTCATGGAATGTCGTAAGAATTATACCACTTGTCCTCAGGCTCATCATTTGTGACACATTTCTGTTGGGAAACCATCTGGAACGTGTTAAGTCAACTAATGAGTTTTACTATAGTAAAGTTTTTTTACATCCTTTTTACCACGGTTAAAGCCTTTTACCAACGTCAAATCCCAAGTGTGACCACAGCCATTGATGATCAATTTTCGCTTCCTAAACTAACTGAGCGGCTACAGAATCCTGGCGGATATCAATATTTTGTGGTAGAAAAATAAGATAGCCTTACCATGAATCACGACAACTCGGATTGCTATAACAGTAGATATGATTCAGTAGAATCTTCGGCCTTGTCCACGTCGTTGGCACGGGTGTTGTGATAAATATAATTTCTCTGTCCTTTTATCGACAAGCTGGCAACAAAACGCCGCTAGGCGCCTCTCTTTAGTCACAAACAGACGAACAGTTTCCTCAAAGAGTGCTTCACCAGTTCGAATTACGTGAAGTAACACTTTGAAATTTTCTAATTACTCTGTTAGAAACGAGCACACCAAGTGACAACCAACCGTTTAAAGTTGGGAGTTATTCTGGCGGGTGAAAGAATAACTTAGCCCCGGGGGTACTCAAATACAATTTTATTCGGGGAGGCTCCGCCCGGAGGCCCAACCCCTTAACCTTTCATATACCATTTTTGACAGAAGGTGCTTCTTTCGTACCTATTGACAAATAAAACACCTTTCACATACCTAGCCGTTAGGACACTGCGTCCCTTTCGGCTGCTGTAAATTCACTGTTTTTAAATGTGATTCAGTTACTAAACCAGGAGGTTTCTTGACTTTTCACAGCCACAGAATGCATCTGTCCGCCCTTTATAGTTTCGTTGTTTTTTTGTTTTTACCAACTAAAATGACAGATTTCCCTTTCCTTTCATATACTTAAATTACTGAAATCCCTACAGAACCTTTTTATATACCTGAAGCGGAGCCTCGACTTATAGGCCAGTATAGGGAGTACCCCCCCCGGGAAGTGGGCCGGCCGCAGAAGGCTCTGGATGGATGCCAGGAGATAGTTGTTATCAGTAGGCAGATCCATGGGTCAAAATATTCAGCCAAACAAGACAAATCGAAGACAAACATCCTTGAAGGATCCATTGAAGGCAAAAGTAAATGTATGCAGACTGAGCTGACCGACAGCTTCTTAATAACAATCGTAGGTAGTCTTCATAACTGCGCGATAAAGAGAATTCCTCTCTTTTCTTTCCCTCTGATCTTTTGTTCCATGCTATTTTTCTTCCAGGATTTAAGTTTCTTTTTTCTGATCATGTCGCCATATCACGCGCTTTCTGATAGTAATCGTCTCGGCTAGGGTCAGGGTTTAGGAATGGTCTTGGAGAATAAAGGATCTCGCTGATCCAGCATTCCTTCAAGCCAATGCCACGTTCCCGATCCGTCTCACCAGAATAAAAATAAAAATAATAATTCAGCTCGTCTGACGAGGTTGGAAGGCCATAACAATGGAAAGGCCAACGTGATACCCAGGATGTGTTTTTCCTTGGTAATATCTACCCTCTACAAAAACAGCAAGCTATGGTACACTAAAACAAAACTGAATGCAGGGCTGGCACTACGGCCAGAAGTAATCGGCTCCTGCTACGGCAAAGGGCTGATTTATTGCAGGCCAATATTTCAGCTAACAAAATTAGCCTTCCTCAGGGCCAGAACTATACCGAGAGAAAAGATCTTTTAACAGCTCCTGAAATTTGAATTTAAAATACACGTAAGTGGTTAATAATTAACCACAATTATAACAACAACAACATTTATTGGCATTACCGTGAGTAGATGGCATTGCCAAATACAATATTGATTATTTCAAGGTAAAGGAGAAAAAATTATTAATACTAGATAGAATAATATACAGGTAATGATTATACAATAAAAATAGAAATAGAAACAGTTCAATGTTCATGTTCATGTTTATGGTACACTAAAAATGCTAACGCGTACCCGCCATGAATCTTCCCCTCCCTGCCCCTTTCTATTCAGCTTGACAAGCATGCACATCAAACTTCTTCCGCAGACAGAAGACTGAGTTTTCCTGATATTTTGAACGGTCAAGCCGTCGTTCCTCGAGGAATTTAAGTATAAAGAAGCTAGCCTATTCCAAGCTCCGAGATATTCGGGTCCGCGAAATTGAAAAAGCTTGATCACGAAAATAAAACGGGAGCCGCCTCTCCCAGATCACGCGAACATATTTTTGCGTGGCTTCACTTACGCTTCACCCCAGACCTTAGTTGCGCAGTGCATTGTGGGATAAGGGGAGCCCCCTTGACACTTCGCACATGTGCTAGTGTAAATATAAATCGACCCATTCAATAACGATGTTTATGTTAATATCTTGAGCCACTCTTCCTACTCCAAGATGTCGTGTATCCCAGAGTTTCGTAAGGTCCTCTTTTCGCTGTGTCAAGAACTAACGACTGAAAATTTGAGGTCCTTGAAGTATTTGTTGCGTGATTTGTTAACAACGAGAGAATTAGAGGACATCAGAGACCCAATGGATTTGATGCTTTACCTGGAACAAAGGAATGAACTTTGCAGCAACAATTGCCAACTTCTCGAAGATCTCCTGACACAGATCAAGCGTAAAGATCTCGTCCAAAAAATTCAAGCCTTTCAGGGTGGGTTACTCAAGAATCATAAAACCACCCTGAGCGAGGTTAGTCTTCAAAAGAAGACACGAACGCAGGATTGCGTTACGGATGGTCCGGAAGGCCCTTCCCATCCTACAGACAACAGCGATTATTTTACATTTGTCACATGCACCCGCCGTAAGTTTAATTTGCTGCTGAATTCTTTAGGACATTTTATTTCTCAGTGTTTTGTGCTTACAAATGCAAACATCTCAATTCATGCTTCAGTACCTCAGAGTATATTTTTATATACAAGTCACGCGTGATGTCACATACATTTACATAAGGGGCGTTTCTTTTTTAGGACATGGAGTCATGTTAAGAGACGTAAGCGCCGAGGTTTACGAAAGACTGGGTTTCCTGTTAAATCCTGCTGCATACAAGAACTGGATTTACCTCGCAGGAAAGTTAAATTACACTCACGCGCAAGTCAGTAATTTCAAACTATTCCCAGGGCAAAGCACTCAAATGCTCCTGGAAGACTGGGCCACAGCAGCTGATGCTACTGTCGCGAAATTGTATCATGTGCTCAAGGAAATCGGACGAGCAGATGCTGCAGGTGAACTTGAACCTATTTTGGCCGAATCTAAGTCAGGGTAACTCCATGCTTACCTCACCCTGCTAGCAGAGCTTCCTTGTCTTCTTGAGTATCGAGCAGGCCTGAGTATCGATAGCCTGTTCCAGGCGTTCAAATGGTGGGGAGCGGGCAAAAAATTAGGGCGCGGGCGAAAAATTGACGAGGGAAAAAATAGGGCGCCCCAGTCTCCCCTCGTGTTTCTTTTAGCGCTCGCCGCGTACGATTTAACTTGTTCCCCACTATCTAAACGCCTGGAACAGGTTAGAGTATCGAGCAAGCGAAAGAAAGGCTCTCCGGGCTCCTGCTATGCTGGCGAGGTATGCTGTCTACTGCACCTCAATCTTAAGTCTGACCACTACAGCTTTTTAAGCGGAATCGTGTTTTCAGAGTGAAAACCGACGGATGGAAAGCTTGACTTGGGAGATCTTGGGATGGTGACCTTCTCCAGGGCTTGAAATAACTACTGGGGAGGCGCCGGACACATTGTCCGGTCAAACGTGATTTTGCTCGGACATAGGCATTTTTGGCCGGACAAATTTAATCCATCTTAACTAGTTGCAATAGAGGTTCCATTTTGCAAGTTACATGATCTGTATCATTTTCAGCAACAGCAACTCTAGTTACTCAAAACAAATCGAGTGTGCAAAAAATTAGAAGCTGTAGTTTTATTACTCTTTGTTCTGTAACATTGTAAGTCAGACACGTGGATTGCAAGACACAACCTCATCGTTAACGTTTGGTTGAAACCTGACCAAATCACTACCAAAACGTAACCTTCAACTTTATAGTACAACATTTACATTTTAGCAAATGCTGCTTTGTTTCTACAAATAATTTCAAACGGGCAAATAAACTTGTGAAATCGTTTGGTTCAATAAATGAATCTCTCAATTAACACGATAATAAACGCTATTAAACGGAATGTAAATTAATATACAACTATGTAATACAATCCTCCTGACTTTACCACTTACAAGTTTACTCTACCGTTTGGTTGAATGCAAATCTAGACTTCAGAGTGAAGAGTTTGTAAATTCTCCGTTACATCTCTTACACGTTGCGCAATGAAAATAATCGTATCCTTCGGCGCGACCTGCTGGCCGAAGTAACATCGCCATTCGCACAAAAAATCGTGGTAGTGGCATTCATTGGCATTTGAATGCGTTAAAACTTATACATAATGTATTTCAAAGAGAACAGGGTGAAGAATGTTGAGTTAACCTTGTGAATTAGTCGTTTAGTGATAAACACGCAACAAATTTACGGACAGGGCGAAATAAAGACAAACTCTATTTTTATGTTTACTTCATTAACACTCAAAGCCCTTTATTTTAATGTTACATTTGTGAAGTTTTATTGGAGCAAGAGGGTGGCCTAATTCATTATACTGTCACTCTGGGTCTTTCTTTTTTTCGCTCTTGTTGGCACCAGATGCTATGCAAGTTATTTTCGGCGCAGCGGGGCGTGCAATCTTGAGCACTTTACAACACGAACAGGAAATGTCATCAATTTCACAAACAAAAGTCCCTCTAGTTAATATCTTTTTTGGGAACATGATAAGATTGAATAAATTTCCATCATGATTGTCTCAAAAATGAATTTTCTTTGAAAGCCCAAATGACCGGACAACATGTCCGGTCATCCACGGATTGGCTCGGACAATGCTCGATTCTGACCGGACATTGTCCGTTGACCGGCCGTTATTTCAAGCCCTGTTCTCGAACCTTCAAGAACTGAAGTCGTAATGTTCGAAAACTAAATGACTAAAACGTCACATGTTTGTTTAATTCCTTACAAAAGAATTGTTGTTGTTTATCATGTCTCTCTGATGCTGTTTTTTTTATTTTCTCCTTTTCCCAAAAGTAAATCTATAACCCGAAGCGTACTCAACGAAGTTTTATACGGGGAGGTTCCGCCCCGAGGTCCAATCCCTGACCCTTTTACATACTTTTTTTGACAGAAAGGTACCCTCTTCGTATACCTTCTATTGACAAATGGTACCCATTTCACATTCCTTTTTTAGACCACTGCGTCCCGTTCAGCTGCTGTAAATGCACCTTCTTTATTATGTGGTTAAATCACTAAACCACGAAGTTTTCTTGTCTTTTTCACAGCCATAAAACGCGTCTTGCCTTTTTTTGTCCAGATTCCCTATACTTTCAGTGAAATTCTTACCCACTGATCGGCATTTGAATCCTGAAGAAGGTACCTCTTTCGGGAGGAGCCTCTAGGGGTCCCTCCCCCTCCCCCATTCGGATCTGTAGTCTGTAGTGAACCAGTTAGTGAATGAAAAGGGGCAAACAAATCAAGAAGAACAAAATTGAAAAAAAAAAAAGGATTTCCACTTTAGGTTGGCGAAATTAAAATGCAACCTTCAAAATCTCCAATCCCCAACTGACTTTGCAATGAGAGTATAGGCAAAAGAAAACTGTGGTCGCTTTGTTAAATTTCGCCGCAAGTGGGCCGCATATAAGCTCCATTTCGTGCGCGCGTGACCTTTCTTCTGTTGCTACAGGATAGGTTACCACACAGGTTCATAACAGGTTCCACCGGCAAAAAGTCGCATCCAGAGTGCTGGCGGAGATCGAGGAGGACGCTTCTATTCCTATTTCTGTTTGTGAAGCGTTCTACTAACCTATTGGACTTCATCAAGGTCAGCAGGTATGATAGTCTTTTAAAAAGTTTAACAAGTAGACTGGCCACCTATTTTCATGATTCGGTCTGATATCAAACCAAAAACTGATGGCCGTGCTTAACGGTCTGGCAATTATGGTTAACATGTGCATAAACGTGATTGAGTTTCGTGACGCTCGTTTTAATTTGTTTTGTTTTTTCATCGGCCTTTCCACTACCTTAGTAATCTTACTTATGGTTTTATTTTCAATACCGCTTTCTTTGAAACGAAGGAAAATTTATGGCAATTGTTGCATCCTTTTCTTTTTACGTACGTGTCAAGCCCGATGTCGAGGAATTTATTTTCTACATTTCGGGTGACCTTTGTATTTTCAAATCAAAGTGACATTGGAATTCGCTTCAGTCAGCTACATTTTAATCTTTTTAGACATGTGTGGTCTGCACAAAGGTAGGATTAAGTTCATGTGGGCGGCAATGAAATGTAACCTTTTCTTTTCCAACATCGCCAAGATTTCAAATTTTTGTGGTCGTAAAATACTAGAAAACAAACACCTGTAGGAAAGGGTTTATAGAAACAATTTAATGTACCGATAGCAGAGGTTGTTTACCGGGAAAACCCGAATAATCTGGTTGGAAAGTATGGAACACGTCTGTTTGGGCTTTTCCAGCGAAACTAATTTCCGGAAGCAACGGCAGTCCTGTTTTTCTGTCCGAAATGCTCAAAAAGGTAAATTCGTGAATGTGTTCCATTTCTGGGATTCTTCTAAGCCATCTTTGATACCAGTTTCAGGCCTTCCCGGCCGTTTTTTGGTAAATGGAACTAATTTCACAAATATTAAACTAAATAAATTAACGCGATTCCGGGACGCAATTTCCCAGTCTGCGTACCATTTGCCCAAACCGTGGACCGACTCAAGGGGTTACCCATGCAAATGGTAAACAACCAGAATCTCCTAAAAAAGAAATGGCACATCCTCTACTTAAAATAGTTTCTGAATGGAAAAAATTTCGTCAATTTGGGTCTGATTTGTTGCTTCACGACCTTGTGAAACGGATTTGCGTCAGCACAATGGAATTTGTTACAAAAGCTAGCTGTTTTTCGGTTTCAAACCACACTTTCAAGGAGATCGTCCTTTATACTTCTGGAGGGGGTTAGAGACCATACCCTCGTTCTAAACGGAGATCCCCTCTTATTTATTTGCAATCGCCACGAATCATTTTATGACATGTATTTTTTTTGCTTTTAATTTAACTACTCGATCCGGGGCTCTCATCTATGAAGAAGGGAATATTTAACGAGGTCAAATTCAAATCCTCCTCTCTTGATGAACTGGCTGCGTGTGTGCGCACGATCACTACTGGGAGATTGCTATCTATATGAAACTTTTAAAGACTTCCGAACCAAAGTTAAACCGCGACAGGGTAGACAAATGATTTTAGTCAAGTGTGTTTACATTATAATGAAAGGGTGCCTGATCGTCGGTGATTGGACACCTAGCTACACCTTCAACCGAATCTTTTGACAATGAAGAGAATATGATTTTTACAAACAAGGTTCACGACTTTCATTAGACCAGAAATGTGGTTGATGTACCGTGAAATTTTGTGGTCCGCTATCCATTAGTGATACATCAGCGCATTTTGGGTGTAGAGTGAAGGTCATGAACTTCCTTCGGTCCTTGTTTGTAATAATGCAGTGCTAAAAACCCACGTCTTCATCGTTATGATAAGACGTTTCAACCCAACCCATCCCCAAGACTGTAGCTTTTTGGTAGAACGTGGCTCATAAGGAAAAATACTTCCCAGAATCCAAAAACACTTCCCAGAATCCAAATATAGGTCCGAGAATCCAAAAGTGTTTTGGATTCTTAGAAGTGTTTTAATGGATTCTGGAAAGTGTTTTTGGATTCCGAGAAGTGTTTTAATGGATTCTGGAAAGTGTTTTTGGATTCTGGGTTTTGGGACGTGTTTTGGATTCTGGGAAGTGCTTTGGATTCTGGGACGTGTTTTGGATTCGGGGAAGTGCTTTCTCTCTACTAACTACCGTAAATTCATGGTGGTTCGGTGGTTCCCCCTTTCCGTAGCTTGACTGATATGTTTTAGCTATCAACATAACAAGACAGGAGTCTTCCTAGTTTGTTACACAGCCGTTTTTAGTGTTGTCACGCAACGACACTAAAAACGGCTGTGTAACAGACTAATGTCTTCCTGTCTCGCCGACAAAGTCAGCGATTCCCAAAAAGTTTATTAAACAGTTCCTTTTGGTAAAAACCTAACTGTATATTTAAAAACGCTGCGTTTTGAGAGTTGCATAAAACTCATTTTGCGAAAAAAAAATTTAATCATGTTTTGTTTCGAGCCCGAAATCAAATATTCGACTCAAAATCTAAATAACAAAAGCTCAGGTTCTAGCTAACAAACCAGCCTATTTTGCTAGTTTTCTCAGGTTATCTGCAAAAGTATTGAAACCTCTATCTTGAATGTTCAAGAAACGGGCCCCAGCCTGGAATGGGGAGAGCTGCCGAATGTTACTAATATAAGTTTGAGAGGACGCGAGAGGAAAGTTCATGATGGATTATCCCATACTTCAAACAAACTTTACATATTCTCGACGCTCGCCCATATACAGTCACGTGACAGACTCCTCCAGGTTCTCCGTTCGTTAATTATGACTAATTTTTTTACACCTTTCATGTCGGGCGCCTAATTAACTAAGATAACGGATCGCAACCAGTTATGAATTTTTGCATTTTATCTGTCGAAAAATTTTTCACTTGACGATCACTTGACTACTACTATGCTACTCGAGGCAGGCCAAACTACATAATTATACGCTGAGCGATTTAATATATATTTAATACCTCCTGTATGTATAATTTTTCCGCTTCATGCACGTGAAATTGGAGCTGGACTTTGCTCTCGAGTTGAAAGCATATTAAAGAGCATTTCCGCGCTTTGATATAGCGCATTTGTCTTCTTGACGTGGCAGAAGTGTGACCTTAGCAAAGCATGGAAGAGGAGCGTCTTCGATATTAACAGGTTTTAAAGATTTCACAGGTAATCAGTGAGAATTAAGAACGAGTGCTTTATCTTTTAGGTGAATTATTCAAATACTCCCTATTTGTGGGGGAAGTATCTTTCTAATTTGTCATGGGTTACCATAGTCCATATTACCTTCAAAAGATGCCGCAGTTGGACTACACTTACACTACTGCGCTCATTTTTTTGTTGTTTTTCACATGGACACACGCCTTAGACTAATGTTTTCAAAAACCCAAGAACCGCGATAAAGTTTTATCGACTTGTGAGATTTTTGTGGCGTTAGGATAAAAAGGTAGACATTGCTTCTCCTTGAAGGTGTACCGTACAGTCACGTGACAGAAAAACTTGCAACTCACAAAGTCAGATTTCTAAACTACTAAGTCTTTTTATTTCGATAGCATATGAGACTAATTAGTTTACGAAGTTCTCTTAGAAGGCTTGAGAAAACTCCCAGTTTACTTTGCTTAAAAGTTTTCCGGAATTTCCGAAAAGAAAGCTGAAAGTATACTGTTCGTTTTAAGGTCTCTTAAATCTGTCTGGTTGTCGGACATAAGATAATTTGCGGGACGTTTGTACGAAGACTACTGTTTCCGCAATTTAATGCACATATCATCGCTAGGAAACCACGAAATGTCTTAGGCGTTTTACATCAAATTCAAAGTGGCTTCTGATACACAAGATTTTAAAAACCTAACATTTTGCGTTTCTACTAGGTTTTTAGCCTGCGCGCAGACGAAATTAAACTCTGGTTAACTCCGGTACTAATCAGAGTTTAGTTATCGTCTGCACGCAGGCTACTAGGTTTTTGAATATATAGATGTTTCTCAAGATTTAACATTGTTTCGAAACAATAGCCGGTAGGAGCCTTGCAATAGGAAGAGCCTATTGTTTTGATACAAAGAAGAAAGTAAAGTAGTGAAATATTTTGACCAGCCCTCTTTAGGCTGCATGGAAAATTACAAACTTGCCTTACATGCACTATGGATACATCAACCTGCGATCAGGCGCTCTTTTTTCCGAGGGAGACCGAAAAACGGCGGACGGAGAAAGGGAAAAACCTCTTTGTTCGCATCTTCACATTGTCTTCCTCTGCAGCCGCTATAAATAGCGTCATGTTTTTAACGGTGCTGGAAGTCTGAGATGTGATCATTCAACCAAACAGAACGGGGCTCGAAGACCCTTTTGCCAATAACGACATTACATTCAATCAGAAAAAAGTCCAGATATCTGAACTACGGGTAGATGAATTGTAAGTAAATGTATCAGCCGTCCCTTCTTTCCTCTCCCCCCCCCCAACCCCCGAAGAAAAAGGGAAGAAGGGCTGCCTGATCGTGAGTTAGATCAAACCTGTCACAAGCCCAGTAAAACCTGTATAATATGATCACGTGATAGTTACAGTAAGCATTGATTTAGAGCAGGAAAGGAATCCACTTTATATTTGAAAACCTTCTTACGTAACGAGGCTGTCTTCTTCGTGTCTCATCAATCGACATCAAGGCAGGGGCGGATCCAGGATTTTTCTTAGGAGGGTGTGCACCACTAACTGACTGATGACGTAAAAAGTTTTAAAAGCGAATACGAAGAAGAGGGCTTTTGACTAGGAAATAACATAATGTGAACTGCTGAGAATACATATCAAACGATAGAGCAGATTTTGTATGTCTGTCAAGCGACTGTACAGTGTTAATTAGAAAGCGGCCGCAGGTCATCCCAGGGGGGGTGCGCACCCCCTGCACCCTCCCCCTGGATCCGCCCCTGCAAGGTAAGTTTAGTTCTCTTGAAATTTGCCAAGAATTCTGAACGGATTTTGGTTTGCTAGCAAATTGTGGTCAACATATGCACACTTAGCGTGACTGAGTTTTCGTAACTTACCTTTTAGTTTAACCTTCACAATTTAATAATTTCTGACTTCGGAACCAACAAAACTTACAATGGTACTTGAGATTGTTGATGTGTTCGTGTATGCGGTAATAATACGGCGTTTCGATTCTGGGTAAGGCCAAAAGTGCTTTGGGCGACCGCAACCACACTGGCCGTTCCAGTGCAAGGATCCGTAACTGGATGATTATAATTAGGGTGCGATTTAAGAACTAACGATTTTCTTTTATAAAAGAAACTTTATATGATTGGGCCCTCATGAAGCTTCGAGGCAAGACAATAAAAAAAATTTTAAAAGCTATATTTTTCTTTGGTCATTCGTGTTACTTGAAAGAAAGTACATGACGTGCATCTTTTAGACAAAAGATAAACACGCAATTAAATTTCTGATGTGTTTACTTAACTTTCTTGAAAGTTTCCGAACATGATCGCCGGTTGACCCATGAACAGAGTATAATGGTCTTTAGAGACCCATTTTAGCTGTCTGGTGTAGTCAAACGTGTCTGTTTCAGTGTTTCGTTTGGCAGGGATCGAGAGCCTTAAATTTTCGTGGTTTTAAACTGAAAAACTCATCGGACATACAAAAACATTTATTTGTCTTGATGCCGGATAAAAAATAATGTGCTAATCAGACCTGTTAACCCGTAGCGGTTTTTTGGGGCTTAACAAACAGATTTTACTGCCAGTCCCAATCGATTGACACTAGAATGCGGAAGTTCTTAGTTTTCCGTATTTCCTTGATGTGAACAGACTTGTTATTGCCCCAGGGATTTACTTCATACTTTGCTCATTGCTGAAAAATTACATTCTAACACGAAAGAATTGATTCTAGACAACCCTTTCTTCAAAACATACTTGTACTTAAAACGAATTAAAAACAAGAACGTGGGACTTGGGACTTATGGTGACCTAGACCTGTTACAAATAACTTTGTAACAAAATCCATGTCAGCACTTGAATCGAGCGTCTTCTCACGTCACTTGTAAGCAGGAAGTTTTAAAAATGAACTTGTATTACAATTCACATTCCTTAAAAGCTACGACGGAAAAACGATATCGTTGGTTTCCTCTTATCAATATTAGAGAGTACACGAATGGCGCGAGTAGAGTGACTCTTTAATAATTGATTGTTTGGCTCGTAGATCTAAGTAAGGTAAGTCTTATTCTCTAGAACTATTTCTACCTTATTTGGTACAGCAGTTTGGGTGATTCAGTTTAATGTATTTATAAATCCCTCTGATGGTGATCGCAAGTGCCCGCGATTATCCCAACTTGACTGATTTTTCGTAACGTCAGAGGCCTCGACATATTTTAATTACCTAATTTTGATTTAATTACTGATATATCGTCTCAAACCCCGCCTTTAATTTTCCTAGGCACTGACTTCCAGAAAATAAGTAAACCTGCGATGTTTCAAGGAGCCTGAACATATACGTGGCAAAAACAAAAATTATGCAAGCATTGCAAAACAGGATTTACGTCACCACTCGTAAAAAAGTAAAATATTAAATTACAAAGACGTTTCGTCTTAACTGAGCATGGCACCGGAAGATTAGATAACATGAGCAAACCGTATTTTAGACCACGAGTAGTCCCCCATTTTTCCTCAGGTATAGTAGAGCGAGCGACACGCGAGCGCGCGTGAAAATCACCCCACGCGAGAAAAGGCGACCCGCGTGTCGCCTTTTCTCGCGTGGGGTGATTTTCACGCGCGCTCGCGTTTCGCACAGTCTACTATCCCTGAGGAAAAATGGGGGACTACTCGTAGTCTAACCGTATTTGTTCTGGTTTTGACGGTGCATATGAAATTACAAACATCTCCATGGATAAACAAAAACGGAAAGTTATTCATATGTTGTTACGTAACCATACAAGAGGGATTGTTGCATTTTATTCGAATTAATTAAGTGCGCCTCTATGTTTTCTTTCTAGGTTTCTCTGTAGTGGGGATTGGAAAGGAGGCAGACTTGAAACTGGGTGGCAGTAGAATTAACAAGTACAGAACGCTATTAAGAAGGTCGAGAACGGATTTTACGTTAAATATTGACTGACACTCCCAGAGTCTCTAAATACTAAATACCACCCAGTCCGCCACACCAACCCTAATGCAAAAACCCTAGAGACAAGGTTGTAATTATCTAACAAAAAGACAAAGTTGTGGCTGTCCCTTGAGTCAGAAAGAACCGGTCGCCCAGGACTAACCTCAGTTAAATCAAACGTGGTGTTGAGAGCGAGGAAAAAAAGCTGGATAGAGGATTTTACGCTTTTTCGCACAGACTACTGAATCTTTTAGAGACTGAATAAGGGACTACTTACGTAACCTTTCCTAAACTTTAAATAACGAATAGTAGAAAAACAATTCACCCAGACATTTTTTCCCCACAGGATTTCCAACCGAAACCTAACATATGGCCGAGAGTATTCTTGTTCCCTCTGTGCTGCTATCTTTGATGATTGCTGGTAAGACCATTTTACAACTACTTCTCCTTGAAGCATTGTTTTAATGAAAACTTGTGTTGATCTTAATTGCGGGTAAATACATTGGAAATGCATCCGTTTAGTCACTTTTCGTTTTACCCGCGATAACGGCAAGGAAATTAAGGACAAGGAAATAACGGCAAGGAAATTATTGACTTGAAATGGCTTTGCAGGCTACTTACCCAGTGGTATGAGGCATGAGTAAAGGCTAGTTAGCGCTCTTGTTCTAACACTCATTTCTTTATTATAGGCGTTAGCCCCTTCTGTCAAGACAATGATATCACCGTCAAAGATGAGGCTCTCGATGGATACAAGTGCAAGAAATGTCTAACATGCCCAGCGGGGGAGGGGCTGTCAGTCAACTGCGGGGACGTCATTACCTCTCAAACACCTATTAAATGCCAGTCTTGTGTTCTCGGTGAAACGTATTCGGGTGGAAATCAAGCTGGCGCATGCAAGATTTGCGACCCTTGTGATGAGTACCAGGAAACTATCAAAGCTTGTACTCTGACATCAAATGCAATTTGTGGCAACTGCAAGCATGGGGCCTACTTTGACAACATAGTGGGAAGGTGCAAGCCATGTTCTCCATGCTGTAACGATAGCAAAGATATATTAGAGACCGCATGTCAAGTCCCTGGGGTCGCGGCAAACATGCGGTGTAACTTTGTGCGATCTGAGAAGTGCGCAAAGGTAGCCGTGAGGAACGTAAGCACCAGCCCCTCGCCAACACAGCGCCCGACTCCATCAACCACCGTCATATCAAGGCCAACGACAATGCCCACAATAAAGAAGTTAGATAAACCGTCAGTTCTTAGTGCCTCATCTGCCCCATCCTCCCACTTTATTGGTATCGTTGCAGGTGTTCCTACCGGTGTCGTGGCATTAGCTGTTATCCTTTTTTTATTTTGCTACTGTAAAAAAAGGAGAAACCGTCAGACCAAAACTGGCTTGCACACCGTGGAGAATGAACGTCATGAAGTTGGGCTTGAGCAACATCTTCTGATTGTGGCTACACCAGAACAAGAGTCTCCTTACCAGTCCCCGATGTTACCTGTTGAGGAGACTTGCAAAAATCCACTACCTATACAAGATTCCCAGCCACCAGCCTGTTCTGATTCAAAAGGTAACCTGGATCTTGTTATATAATCAGAGACTTAAGTCATTCCATGGGCCAAAACTGAACGAAGTACTGACTCCGCAGTCTTTATCTTATAATAAATAGAATAGAATACGTGCAGCCTCTATGTATTCTGGAAAGAACAAATGACCTCGTGTATGACTGGAGAGATTAGAAACGAAAACGAGATGTTTCGTTTAGGGGGAAACGCCCTTGTGTGCACGCGTGCCTAACCCGTCCCCTGTCGTCTCTATTTGAATCGTACGCGAAGGACAGAGCGAGACTATAACACGAAAAGTGGACCGAAGAAAGCTCTGGTGAGCGAACACATGGTAAAACAGGGTGGTCACTTACTAGCGCTTCATAAACAAAAAAACAAACGAAATTAATATTGAATGAGTATCTTTATATCTGATATAGACATGGCTAAACTTTACGTCTAATTTTTTATACCAAAACAGTAACCCCCAGGCCCTGTGACAGGTCCTTGCCACCAGGCTAAGTGGTCGTTATAAAAATGACCTTAAACTTTTACAAATACAATGCGCGACCGTCAGCCCCGAGGGGATGTTTCTCTGAAGAGATACGTTACAAAAAAAGTTTTTTTTTTGGCCACACCACGTTCCTCATTCTTTTCGAAAAGTGCGGTGGGTTCCTTTACGTCCCACATGAACTGATCAGTGAAAGTGCTTCTAGTTTCGAGAAACTAGAAGAATAAGAGACTTTTTAAGTTTTTTAATTGAGCAACTCTTTCTGTCATTTCTTTGTTTAGATTTCAAAACTTCCCAGTCATATATAGACCCTCCGAGTATGCTCTCCATTGAAGACTACAAAGAGACCGCGGCAACCTCCAGGAAGACTGGTGACGAGCAGGACAGAGTATGACGTTTATATCTGTGGACGTTTCTTACAATCGTCGCAGTCAAATATTTTGTTACGGAAGTCTTAAGTTGGTTTTAATTTATCTTTGAAAATATTTCTGGAATGATAGTTATATGTTAAGAGGAACATAATAATTTGTCAAAGATAATTTAATGTGACGTCAAGGCGGGTAAATTTTGAGGTAATATTTTTAAAAAAAAATTGTTGAAGTATTTAACATCACCACTGTCTTTGTTAAATTTGCTTTTATCACACTTCATTTATTTGATGACCTAGTGTATGTGGAATGTTATTAAAATTGCCTTCAAATAACGAAAACTCTTTTTAATGATGTTCGTGATTTTTTAAACGTTCCTCTTTGGGAAACAAGACTATTTTTAAATCATCGTAGGGTGACACACAGGGTAGCCCCGGTTGTATGCACAGAATCGAATGAATAAATCTGAGTAATGACATAATTTTATTTGCTATTTTGATTTCCTTTTTTTGTTTTGATCAGCAAAAAAGACAATTCTTCGTTAATATTACTTATGAATACCGATTTATCTTTGCTCAGATTTTTAAAACCAATAAATGGTTAACGCGACAATGTTTACCATATTTTTCATAATTACTGGGAACAATAAAGATTTTGGAATTACTATGGTAGCCAGAACCATATCAAACACCTTGTGGAATCACAACATCGTCATTTTCACGTACAATTTGCTTGGATACTGCACTCTAATACTTTATATTAATTATACAGTGAGAAATGTCCATTTCCATTTCAGTCAACTCAAACTGGACACCAGCTGATTTGACTAAGCATGCGCAATAGACTGGCCAAGAATAGGCCACTATTAGTCATAGCTAGTTACTACGGTAGACTCTCAGCGCTGACAAGTACGGACATTGAACTGGCCCTAACCTGATCCAACGCTGGAATTTAGCTAAAATAAAGACTGCACATACGCGCTTTAGTTACTTGTTATAGCTAAAGGGGTGCTTTGACCACACTAGCATAAAAGCACTCGATATTAACTTAGCTGTAGTGGCGTTTCAGTGGATAATCACCAAACTATGGTATGCGTTCTTGTCACTTTTCCGTACGTTATATTTTTTGTACTCTTGTATGACAGACATATTTTACAAGGTGGTACACTGGCCACCAGGTTAAACAAGTTCGATGTTTTACTTTCTACTGTGTTAACTGTCAGTCTTTTTGAAGTGTCTTTAGTGTTCCTTAATCATGACGGACATTGATTTCCATATAAGTGGGCAAAATAACCATCGTTCCTCCTCAGCAAGACTTCCGGTTTGTCCAGCTCGACAATCTTTCCTCGCTCCAGGACCATGACGCGGTCATAGTCGATAATCGTACTCAGTCGATGTGGGATAGTGATGACAGTGCAATCAATAAACCAGGTACGGATCACTTCCTGGATAAGACGATCAGTACGATAATCCACGCTGGATGTAGCTTCATCTATTATCACGATCTTGCTTTTGTGTAGCAGTGCACGCGCAAATGAGATCAACTGTCTTTCGCTGGGACCCAATGTCGCGCTACAGTCCGCGAGGTCCTGGTACAACTGTTTTGGAAGACTCTCTACCCAGGACTTTAAGTGGCACTTCTCTAGTACTTCCCAGACTTCCCTCTCGCTGTGGTTTAGAAACGGATCGACGTTCATGCGCAGTGAACCCATGAAGAGAATTGGTTCCTTAGTGATAATTGACATGCCGCGCCTGCTTGCTTGAAGCTCAAGGTTGTTTATCCTAACACCGTCAATTGTGACCTTTCCTCCGCATTCTGGCATTCGAAAAAGAGCATTCACGATGGATGATTTACCGGTACCCGGTCGTCCAGCAATGCCCAACTTTTCCCCAGGCTGCACTGTGAAGGAGATATCTTTCAGAACTCTTGATCCTTCTCTGCTGTAACTCAAAGAAACACATTCAAAACTGATTCCACCATCTTTAGGCCATGGTATTGGAGGCTGAATCTCGATCGCGTACCCAGGCTCCCGTTCGATCTCAGAGCAGGCCAGGTTACGATCCACAGCACTCATGTAGTTTTCTACTTCTGCACAGCGTTTGATGCCATTCTGTGACATGTCAAGTGACAGCTGCAGGGCGTAGATCAGCGATAGAATTGTAAGCGCTGAAAAACCAAAGAAATTGAAAGAGCCAGTTTCTTTCGGCCTTTAACTGGAAGTAGTTTAAAGGTTAGAGGCACAGCCTACGGTAATGATACGTACCTGCATCTAACTTGACGTAAAATGCTCCAGCGGTTACTGCAATCACGAACACCGCGCACACCATGTCGAGGCGGAACCCGATCCAGCCCCCGCAAGAAATGTTCGTGGAGCATCCTTGACTGTGAGAGTCCTGGTAACTGAGTTAAAATCAAATAAATCACTTGGTAAGGATTTTTAATTCTAAATCTTTCGTTCAAAACATTTCTGTCTTCTGGATTAGCTTGCGCTGTGAGCCGTGCAAGAGAAACAACAAAAATTTTTACAAACCCATAGAAGCCCTCCGTAAAGGCTTTCTGCATGCTGTGCGTCCTAATTGTCACCAGTCCAGTCAGCGTCTCGGAGAAATGACCAACCACCGGTCTGCGGCAACTAATCTCCAGTTTCCTAACCTGGCGCGCGGTCTTTAGGTAGTAGCTCCAGAAAATGATAAATAAAACAAACAGCGGACCTCCCACCAGAAACACGCATGGGTTGAGAATTACAGGAAGCAAGAAGACTGAAATAGCGAACAATGTTATCTGAATCGAGACTAAGAACACACTCGGAAGAAGCTCATCCATACAACCGATATCTTTAGAGAAGCGATTCAAAATACTTGTTGTTGGATGTGTGTCAAAGAAGGCGATTGGCGCTTGAAGCACAGAAACAATCATCTTTTGATGGAGACGTTCAGAGGAGCGAAGAGTTGTGGCGAAGAAAAATGATGCGCGTAAAATTGTCAGCATAAAAACTCCACCCACCATAGCAGCATAAATGTACCAGCTCGTTTGATCCAAGGACAGACGTGACGCAAATTCACTCATGCGCAGTAACCAAATATCCGGGACAAGAATAGCCCCTGTTAGACAAAAGTAAAATAAAGCTTATAATATTCTTAAATAGATCTAACTTGCGTTATTTTCGCATTTTCCTTCCATTCTATTCCGAAGAGAAAAGAAGTGCTAGGAACTTCGAAGTTGGCGCACACAAAACCGCTACCCTCAATAGCAATGTACTTGGGCCTTGCGAATGAAAATAGTTATTATAACTTGCGAGGCCTGTCCATTCTTACGGACTCTTATGCATGTTTACAAAACTTTGATCAGAGTTAATCTTCTAGTGGTAAAGGGTACTTACCTTGAACACAGAAGGTAAAAATAGCAAAAACAACCAGGAAAGGAAGACAAGCGCCGTTTCTAAGATATTTCCAGTACACTGTTAAGGAAACAGGCCCCATCATTTCTTCTTCTTCAAACAGGTTTGACCGTGTTCGGTATTTTTCTTGGATTTCTTCCTCTATCACAAACTCCACGGTTTTATTCACAGGAATTTTTCTTTCCGGTTCTGTTAATCTTCCTGGCGAATGAAGCTTAACAGATCTGTAACCCATAACTTGTGAGGTCACTTCATTTATTATGGTCCCTGCTCGCATGGTCAGGATTTGATCCACTCTCTCCACGAACTGCAACTGACGGCTCACGAGAATACGGACTCGCTTTGATAGTAGTCCACAAATGCATTTGGCGAAAACCTGTTCAGCTACTCTAGGTTCTACTGCACATAAAGGATCATCCAAAAGATAGATGTCAGCGTCTGAATATGCTGCTCTAGCGATGCCAATACGAGCTTGCTGATCTTGCGACAAAGTAAATCCATTGCTTCCTATAATTGTAAGGTCGCCATCAGAGAGCTTGTCGATGTCCTTTTGCAAGTTACAGGCATTGACTATAGCTTGATACCTGAACGGGTTATATTGCTTTCCAAATACAATGTTTTCCCTTAGGGTGTCGCTAAACACCCATGGAGTCTGTGGCACGTATGCGATCTTTCCGACGCTTGAGATCTGTCCCTCAGTTGGAGGGAGTTCCCCAAGAATGGCCGCAAGGAGAGAGGACTTCCCACATCCCGCTGGACCATTAATAAGGGTCAGTTCTTTAGCGGTGGTCCTAAATGTTACATTTCTCAATGCTATTGATCTATTCCCACTTCCCCAATAACAGGATACATTTTCAAAGGTTACGTGGAGATCACCTGATGGATTATCCGCGATATCGAGAGACTGCTGCTTGATGAGTGCGGGCTCGTATTGAGGAACAGTCTTTCCGACTTTAATGTCGTTGGAGATCTTAGTCAAGTCCTCGTTGGAAAGGTACTCGGACATTTCTGCATCCGTCAGATCTAAGAAGGATCGAATCTTAGAGCGTGTTCTCTTTCTGCTGTAGCTTCCCTCGGAGTAAACCGTTTCTTCGAGTTCTAGGAACGATTGAATTCTCCCAAGCGAACCAGCTGCAGCACCTATGAAGTTTACACCGGCAGCAAAAGTTGATGAGGCAGACAAGCGAATGGTTCTGATAAACGCGAGCACCATAAAAATGTTGTAGGTGCTGAGCTCAACTCCAGTGATGATTAGGGTCGTCAGGGAGATAAAACATGCCACAATGGAGCTAGTATGAAGAAAGGTCGCAAATGTAGACAAAATGGCACTCTTCTGGCGCACGTACTGAAGTTCTTTTCTATAACGAATAAATATAAAAGGAAAAAATAACAACAAGCTTGGGGTTGATTTTGGTTGATATCACTGATTTTTTTACTAATGGGTTCCGTGATTACTTTGAGTGAGTGAGACTGCATGTTCTTCAAAACGTAAAATTTTATGGTATAGTAAGAAGCGCATGCTATTTTATTTTTTTTTTACCTTCGTATCTCCTCTACCCTGTTCTTGTAAGGCCACTCCCAAGTATTCATTTTAATGGCCCGGATTCCACTCACAATCTGCTCCACTATGCTTAGTCTCCGCTCAGTCCATCTTGCTATGCGCATGCGCAGCTTCATGCAAACGTCCCACATTCCAATGTAATAGGCCAACAGAACAATGAGGAATATGATCCCGGATATAGCTTGGAATCCAATAAGGCGCCAGATTAAAGCAGTTACAGCCACTAGCTCTAAGAACCCCTGAAGAATGTAGCCTACTTTCTGGAAGACTTGATCAAGTCGCTGGGCATCATGAGTAACCAGGGCTATTATCTGACCCGGCTGCACACGTGTGAGATCTTTGAGGCGTAGCCTGTAGATCTAAAGATTACAGGAATAATTAGAGCACAGAAAATGATAAAATGTAACATTCTTTCAGATCGACAAAGTTATTCTATCCAGGCTAGGCCGCTGTTAGTCTGTAAAAAGATGTTTCGCATGCTCGAATAATAATAGACTGGACGTACCTCAGCCCTTTTCTAAGATGCAGTTCTCAAAAACACAGACACACAGACAGCTATATTTGGCACAAGAGATTGACACGAAAATTCTATTTCGCCTGATCAAAGCCTGGCCAAAGAAACGCGAACTGATTTTAATTAGTATAGCAACACATGCAATTGGCTTAAGGTTGCACCGCTATCTGTTGTTATCAGTTTGCTCAGTTATCGCTTACCTTTTTGTAAATGACACCAATCGCGGCTGTTCTCCAGCGCATGCCCATAAAACTTACTTTGCTTAGGTACTGATTCATAACAACCACGCGAAACAACAAACTGCAAAAAAGCCCGCTTGCATATGTAAACATCCAGCTGTTGTGTAACTCAGTTCCAGTTCTCAGGAGTAGAGATAACAGAAGACTGAGAAACAGCGGTTGAAGAATGTTACAGGCGACGCCAATAAACAAAGAAATCCCCGCCAGGGCGTAATCACTCCAAGGTAATACTTTTATCATGGCGCGACCAAGCCTTGCTTTTTTCCCCTTAGTGTGAGAATTTCTCACTTCTTCGTGCCATGTGTGTTCCAGTTTATCTGTCAAACCTTTGGATTTGTTTTCATCAAGAAGAGGATACAAGTCGCTGTGTTCCAATATTCTCTTGTTACCGATGTTCATTAAACTGTTCATCCACGAAAAAAACAGACGCGAAAAGATCCCCGCACGTTCTTTCGGGTTTTTCATAAATAGCGAGTACTTCCATGCTTTTTCGAACTGCATGGTGGGACTTGATCTGTTTGCGCCAGGTGAATAATAATTGCAGGTTATTTTCTGAAACAGAGCATATAATCTTTCATTCTAACCTTACTGACGAACATTATTATTGACCAAGAAAAGATATTATTTTCCTAAATAACTTAAGCATCTCCTCTATATTGGAACAAGTGGCCTGAAGTGTCTTGCGGATATAAAAAGAAATGCTTGTATTGAGGGCATCTATATCAATGCGAAATGTTCTTACTAACTTTTTACACTTGCCATCAAAAATATGAGCCTGAGCATGCTTACATAAGGGGCATTATTCAATCAGGTAATGTTGGTGTATTTTGATAGTCCATGAAGACCTTAGGGATCTTTATATCTTTGAATTTCTGAGGACTCCTGCTAGATATGATATGGCGTCCTCTGTCGCTTAGAAGATCACTCCAAGGTTATGGTTTTGAAGTCACTGACCACTGTTTCCTTCCTTAGGAAAATATCATTTTAGAAAATTCATATTTAGTGGGTGCATCGGATCCGAAACCAAGCGGAATACTTTGGAAAAAAAAACAGAAATTTTTTTATGCTTCAATTTTACCCCAAGATCATGTTCACGGTTCAATATCATGTAGAGCATAATTGACCCTTACGCAACTTACATCGTAGTTTGTATTTTTGATGCCTTGTTTTCAGTGTTTTCAAAACAAATAATTCTGTAGAATGTTACAAGCTCAGAATGGTAGGGGTGTATCCCCCAACTGACGAATGGCACTCCTAATCCGGCGGATGAACAAAAATGTAAAAGTCCGGCCGACAATGAATGGGGAAAGCCAGTCACCATGTTGTGCCCATAATATCAATTCTAATTTTGCACCTTTATTACGGAGGAGAGGCATTAACAGGTAAGTGAACTGTTTTTTTTCTTTTGCTCTTTTTCAAAGACATTTCCTGGTCAAGATTTTCTCTCTTTTTTTGAAACTATCGGGCTTTCTTGACTAAGGACTTATTCACGATGGAACTAGACGGTAAATTTTATAGGATGTACCAGATTGAGAATGTAGAAAAATGTTATATTGTAACATTGATCCGAAAGTTTTGGTTGCTGGGAATTCTCCGTAGTCTTTGAAAGTCTATTAATATGACTAATATGATTATTACTGAGATCATTCTATTATTCCATTATCTGAGTTTATTTTTACCGCCTTGCAAGTTTGCTCGGTGCCAGCACTGAACTAAGACCATCTGTTATTTCGAGTAATTTATGGGCGCAAATATAAGCTAATAAATGCTGACAAATGTTACCCCTGATGATTTCTTTTGCCTTTTTTATTATGATGCGTAAGTTCAGTCTGCTTTGCAAATGGTCAATTTGTCTTTTTATAATCAAATCTATAATTCCAGCTATTTTCCAAACCAACTGAGAAGAAACTCCCGAGTGATTTCACCATATGGTGATTACGTATAAACTTTAAATTGTAGGCTCCATAAATTCATCTTAATTCTATTCTCGAATACTTAATTTAGACCAAATTGTTGTTACTGAACTTACTTGAATCAAAGCAGTTTCATTGTCCGATTGTTAGGAGGTTTTTCCTTCATCGAAGAATGGTTTGAAAGTTGTAAGGAAAAAATCACATCTTTCCACAGACTTATCAAACATTTTCTTCTTTTACAATAATTTGCATAAAACCAAAACCTCAGTATGGACATCAAACTTTCATGGAATATTTTTAACGATCACGGTCGATCTCAGCTGATGAAAGGAACCGCTATCACGTAAATACAACTGAGCCACTTGTAGCGTGACTCCTTGGCGTGACTCCAAAAGTTTCCAAAGGTCTGTGCGGTCCTGGGCCCAGGCCCCCACTTAAATTTCAGACAAAACTGAAGCCCACCGTGATCGCTAACCACTTTAAAGGCGTTTTTGAGCGACACACGACAACCCAGAATTGAGGTTTTTTCCTTTTAAATCACCTTGACGCTACCAAATTTGTATTTCTAACTGTCTTTACTATCATAGAGACGATTTGTCTAAAACTTTAGGCAAAAACCACCGTCCAAAAATGAAAAAAAGACCACTTCCGGTTGACGTCCGTCGCTCACTAAGGCTGAATTTTAGCAACAGGACGGGAACGTCATTTGACGACGGGACAGCACGCGGAAAGGCCTAAACACGACTTCCGGTGCTCAATTTGCTGCTCTGTCATTGGTCAAAACAGTTCTCTGATTTGCGCGCGCCGTCGTCAACTCACGTTCCCGTTCTGTTGCTAAATCAGCCTAATCAACGATGTGAGGGCCCTCCACTTGCTTGAAACAAGACTGAGGGATGAAGTCCTTTCACCCTCTCTGTTGCGGAATCTTCCACTGCGTTTGGAATATCTCCGCGTCCGCTGGTTCAACAAACAATCAGGACTGTATCTTTCACTTTTTTCGCTTTATTTCGTTCGTTCATTCGTACATCACAATCGTTCTAAACGTTCTACTCAAAATTACAATGCTCACTAGTTTTATGGTTACCACAAGTAAACGCCTTAACTACGTATGTCCGGCCGCAAACCGAACTTGGCAAAGGCTCACTATTATTTCTTGCGATCTCAAACATGAGCGTGATACCTATTTCCTTAACATATCCCACATTATCTACCTTAATTATTATTTACCGCGCATAAACCGATTACAATCAAAACCACTAAGGTTGATAAAAGCAAACCGAGTCAATTCTATTATTCCGTCATAGGATGTGGTTATACGCCTAAGATAATTTTCTACTTGCAAAGCAAAATCAACTGTTCAACAATTACGAAAAATAATACTAATAACTTGTTATAACACTCTCCCCCCCTTGACTCGCCTACGAGTCAAGCATAAGGCGTGATTTCCACCGCGAATCTAGTGCCGCATTCCTGCGCGGAACGGTTCTTGTGGAATTTTCAACTGCTCGTACAGATCGTCTTGCGTCTCCCTCCCCCTGACTCTTAATTTCCAAGGGATATAGTTTTTGTACTGGCCTGGATAGGTGGGTAGGTTTCCCCTTTGTTACAACCCTTACTTTAGCGCCTCTGACAACATTGTCTGATCCCCTCACAAGGTTTTCAACTACTCCCACCCTCCATTCGCCTCTTTTCTTTTCTTCCTCGAGCACTAGAACAACGTCTCCCACTTCTGCTGTCCTATTTTCACTTTGCGCCTTACACCTATGAAATTCTCTCAGATTCGCTAAATATTCGTTTCGCCACCGGTTCCAAAAATGGTTTAATCGAGTGCTTAGATATTTAAACCTTTCAGAACATTGCGCCTCACTGACCACATCATCGGGTTCTATTATTTCATCCGGAAGTGATTTAATCCTTCGCCCATAGATCAAATGAGAAGGTGTCAACACTTCATCATCCACCTCGTTATATTCGTAGGTCAACGGCCTCGCATTTAGCGTACATTCTACTTCCACAAGCACTGTTAATAACTCTTCATAAGTTAATCTAGCATTTCCCAGTGTCTTTCGCAAACAGTCTTTCACACTCGCAACCATTCGCTCAAAAAATCCCCCCCACCAGGGTGCCCTTTCTAGATTGAACCTCCACTCTACCCTCATATGACCCAAATCTGATTGAACTTCTGGATGGTTTAGTAATTCGTTTAATGCTTTCTCAGTCGCTTGAAAGGTTTTTGCGTTGTAAGACACAATCAGCGCAGGCGTTCCATATCTCGCAGCGAATCGTCGCAAACAACGCCTAAACGCTGCGGCAGACAAATCTTCTACTAACTCTAAATGGATAGCTCTGGTCACGCAACACGAAAATAGTGCAATGTACACTTTTTCCATCCCTCCCGTCTTACTTTTCACGTATAAGGGCCCAGCAAAATCAACACCTACCCTCGAAAATGGCGGGGCTTCTCTGACCCTAAACTCTGGTAACGCGGCGGTTGGTGGCGAACTGTACGATTTCCCCTTCAGTTTTCTACAAGTAACACACTCGCTCAGTACCCTTTTCACTTCTTGTCTGCCCTTTGGCACCCAATATTTCGAACGCAATTGAGCTAATGTGGCTCTCACACCACTGTGGTGCACACCTTCATGGCTTTCTCGTATTATCAGTTTAGTCAAAGGGTGCCTTCTGGGTAAAATGAAGGGTCTTCTAGCGTCAAGATCCAAATCCGAATTTACAAGCCTACCCTCACACCTCAAAATTTCTCCTTGCTTTACAATCCCAAGTTTACTTACCAGTTGTTCGAAATTGCTCTGTTTCTTCAATTTGTCTTGGGCCGACTTAATTAATTCGAGCTCAGCTTCATTCAACTCTCTCACTTCTAACTTACCTGTTCGTCTAGTGCTTTCGTTTTGCCTTAAAGCGGCCTTCAAATTGTCAACGAATCGCCTCACCCAAGCGACGACACGCACCAGCTTATGCAACTTACTATAGTCACTCGGATTTATTACTGCTGCAACACCGACTTCGCTCCTTGTCTCGACCAACAATGCCGATGTGGGCTTCTTCTGTTCGAGCAGACTCTCAGGAGTTTGAAGCTGCTCAGTCGTAACTGGCCAATCTTCTCTCTTTTTTATCAGCCATTGTGGGCCAAGCCACCAAAGTTCATTTTCCTTAAGTTGGGAAGCTAGCGCCCCTCTGGAACCAAGATCTGCTGGATTCTCACCAGTCGGACAATACGCCCATTCCTCTTTGCTCGTCAGGCTGAGAATCTCGTTTACTCTGTGCCGCACGAACTGCTTCCATTCTCCCTTATTTTGAATCCAACTGAGGGCCGTTTTGCTATCTAGCCAAAATCTCACGCCATCTATTTTTAGCTGTGACTGTAACGAATTGCGTATCGTGTTCATAAGTTGGGCCAGTATTCTCGCTGACATCAACTCCAACCGTGGAATTGAAAGCTCTTTCAAAGGGGCAACTCTCGTTTTGCTTGCCACTAACCTCACATGGGCCTGTCCATCGTCAGTACGGTACACGAAGTAAACCATCGCACAGTACGCTTTTTTACTCGCATCTCCAAACCCATGCAAAAAACACTCTGTCACGCACTCTTCTCTCGCCTCATACAAACATCTATTGACTTCTATTTCCCTCGCTTGAGACAAATTTTCGACCCATTTAGCCCATTTCCGTTTAATATCGTCCGTCAACGTTTCGTCCCAGTCAAACTTGCTACTACAAATTTCTTGAAAAAGAATCTTCATACTAACCGTCACTGGACTAATGAGCTCAAGTGGGTCAAATAAGCTGGCTAATAAGCTCAAAACATTTCGCTTGGTGGGTTCTAGACCTTCCGCCCTTTTAGCAATATGCGCAAGATCAAGGTGGAAGGTGTCTGATTCACAGTTCCACTTAACACCCAGGACCTTTTCTCCCTTCGACCCCCCTTGACATTCTAGCTTCGATTTCGCATAAGTTTCTTCATCTTCTAATCGTCCGACGATTTCCTCTTTTCTAGCGACCGTCTCCGTCGAACCGATTCTCCTCTTTAACTTCGGGTCGTTGGTTTTCCATTTTCGCAGTCTAAACCCTCCGTTTGCCATTCTGGCCCTCGCTTTGCTGTATAGATCGTGCGCCTTGTCAGTTGTGCTGTCACCCGAAACCAGATCGTCTACATAGAAACTGTCAACCATTTTCTTAACAAATTTAGGATCTGCTTCTGCGAAAGGTCGCTAAATGATGCCTTATTGTTCCATTTAGCAGAAAAGGTGAAGCATTCAATCCAAAGACAACTCGACAAAATCGATACACGACAACATTTGAATTGCTGTCTCGTGCGTCATCCACCCACAGGAACCTCAAACAATCGCGGTCATTCACATCTACTGCTATATTTAAAAACGCCTTCTCAATGTCTCCGACAAGCGCGACCCTATTTTCTCTGAACCTAACAAATATTTCAAAAAGTAAGGGGTTTAAAGATGGCCCGGTGTGTAGACAGTCGTTCAGGGATGTCCCATTTTTACCCTCTTTTGCTGAAGCGTCATACACTATCCTTAATTTTGTTGTCTCCGCATCTTTGCGAATGACAGCTTGATGTGGCAAATAATGGACCTTGCACGCCCCCTCCAAATCCGTTACCCTTTCAATGATCCCCGAACTTAATTGGTCTTTAATGATTGAGTCATACTCTTCTAGTACTTCCGGTTCCCTTTTCAATCTTTTGATTTGGCTTTTCATGCGTGACAAACTGTTTGCATAATTACTGGGAAGGGGGTTGTGACCCTGTTTCCAAGGCAACTTGACCGAATACCTCCCATCGATAAAACTGATATCGCTCTCAAACAATTCGTGTACCTCATCACTCGCTTTAATTCCTAAACTCTCCAAGTCCCACAATTTACCGACCGCCCCTTCTAAACTATCACCCACGGTCACCGCACCCTCATGCGCCACGAAATTTACAGTCACTTCTTGTCGCTCGCTATCTGATTTTTTCTTTTCAGGGGCCCGACAACACCCATCCAAGCTCAGTCTCTACGGCTACCGGTTCTTCTGGCTCCCCCGTATTGTCCGCCCCTTTGAAACTCCCACAAGTAATCCGATCCTATTAACAAATCTATTTCGAGCTCTTCTTTGGTTTGGCAAACATCTGAAAACCACAGATCACGCAAATGAGGATAATCGTTCTTGACGACCTCTACGTGCTCGTTGCTTATGTGAGATATTTCCGGCACAACATAAGCTTCAAGCCTAAGTGAACGGTCGGCCTGTAGAGGCATTACATCAAACTGGACGACTTCCCTCAAACCCGATTCCTTAACTGTTTGTCCGAATGTGTTAATAGTTACCCATTCTTTTCTTACAATTTCTAAACCATAATTACTTGCGGCCTTCGTTGTTACGAAAGACTTGTGACTTCCTGAGTCAAATAGAACTCTTACCCTCCCCGGTACATTCCCCTTGATCAAGGCTTGGGCAGTCTGAAGGGCAATTCTACTCTCTGTTCCCACAAGCAAACTACTCGGACTATTTACTAGTGGTTGACCACTATCCCCCGCTGGGGTTTGCTGTGATCCCAACTCACACAAACACGTGTTGTGAGATCCCTTACAATTCTTACATTGAACGGAAGCCTTACAATCTCGGGCACGATGGTCCTTGTTAATGCACTTAAAACATCTACCAAACTTAATTAACAGTTTCTTACGTTCCTCCGTCTTCGTGACTTTCTTACAATCTTCCGGTAGGTGATTCTCCAGGCAGAATGCGCATCTTCGGTCTCCCTTTCCGGCAAACAGCGCACTGGAGGTGACAGGACCCCTTTTCGCCTCGTTTGATCTGTGCTGCGCCAGACAATGGTCCTCTCTCAGTTCCACTTCCACTAGGAGTGCCTCCAACGTGTCTCCTAATGTCCACTCCAGGTACTGTCTTCCTCGCGTAATCGTCAATCGGATGGCGTCGGGAATCTTTTCTAATAGTGTCGGCACGACGACTTCTGAATAGCTTTGTTCATCCACTCCTAAGGCCTGTAACGCTCTGTACTTCGTTTCTGCAAAATCGTAGAGGCTGCGAAGTCTTGGCGTGTCACTCTCGTTGAACACGGGACGTGCATTCAACAGTTCGCTTATTAGTGCTCTCTGAATCGCGACCTTTTTGCCATAACGTTTCTTTAGGAGCTCTATGGCTGACTCGTAATTCGCTGATGTCAGCGCAAATCCTCCAATTGCCGATTTTGCCGATCCCAGAAGTAAGCTCCTCAGATAGGAAAATTTGTCGACGTTCGAAAGCCCATCGTTCATATGTATGGCACTCTCAAACGAGTCCCAAAACTCCTGCCACTCGCAGAGTTTTCCGTTAAACTTTTTTACTTCTAATTTCGGAAGCTTTGCTCGCACTGTCTTTTGTTGGCTACTTATCGGCTGGTAACTTTGGTTTGAATTTACGTACTGAGGTGCAACTTGTGAGGCTGGCGGTGGAGGAGGTTGCTCTGTCAGTCGTTCTTCGATGGCAGCTAACACTTGTGTCGCGTCTGCCCTCAATCGGCCACTCCGTTCAATCTCGTCCGCCACTTCTTCCTCTGTTACTTTCTCGTCTGCCGCTAACTCGGCCAAAATCTCTTCGTCGAGCGGCACGATCTTTTGAAGCTGTTCTCCTAAACTAGCTTTCCATTTCAGCAGTTCTGCCTTTCTGACGGTTGAATATCCGTCATCTAAACGCTCGTTAGCCTCTTCAATGATTTTCGTGAGGAATCCACGATGGCCCGCTCTTACTTTCTTTTTAGACATTCTCTAATCCGGCTCGAAGGACCAGTTGTTGCGGAATCTTCCACTGCGTTTGGAATATCTCCGCGTCCGCTGGTTCAACAAACAATCAGGACTGTATCTTTCACTTTTTTCGCTTTATTTCGTTCGTTCATTCGTACATCACAATCGTTCTAAACGTTCTACTCAAAATTACAATGCTCACTAGTTTTATGGTTACCACAAGTAAACGCCTTAACTACGTATGTCCGGCCGCAAACCGAACTTGGCAAAGGCTCACTATTATTTCTTGCGATCTCAAACATGAGCGTGATACCTATTTCCTTAACATATCCCACATTATCTACCTTAATTATTATTTACCGCGCATAAACCGATTACAATCAAAACCACTAAGGTTGATAAAAGCAAACCGAGTCAATTCTATTATTCCGTCATAGGATGTGGTTATACGCCTAAGATAATTTTCTACTTGCAAAGCAAAATCAACTGTTCAACAATTACGAAAAATAATACTAATAACTTGTTATAACACTCTCTGCTTGCTTGAATAAATAACTTCACTTTTGTAAAGTATAATCAAGTATAGGTTATCTAGATCAAGAGGCTGTTGTTGGATTCGGCCTGGATTGACCGAAGGTGAAATGAAAATATCAAGATTGTTGTGGGTGACTCAGTGGTTAAGTGTGTTTTTCACTCTCTATCAACTTTTTGTTTCTACATGAAAGCTGGGGAAGCAAGCGACTCGCAACGCGAACCCCCGAGAGATAACCCGAGGGACGGACCGCAAAATGCTACTCGAAAATAGTAGTAGAACTCAGGCTATCACGGACACTCGCTTCCAGGTCTCTCGCCGAACATATGTCACACAAGAACAACACGAGAACAACATTAGCTAACATTAGTGTTTTGTTGGAGATTGATTTGTGGTAGTTTAGCCTTGCGGTGATTTTGGATCATAGATGGATAAGAAAACAAGATATAAAGAAGCAGGTGGAGCGAGCAGTGATGAAGACGAAGCTTTCGAAAGCGCAGATGAAGGAGAGGAAGGCTCCAAAAGTTCGAGACCGTCATTCGCCACGTCAGCTGGAGATGATTCCTCAAATTCCACGTCGAAAGAACTGGTTGGCAAGAATGATACGTCAGAAAAACCTCTGGCTATTTCAGCGAGCGATAAGAATTTGGAAACAACAGAACTAGATAAGGAGGTCCCTAAAATGGCCGAAAACGTGGCAGAAGAAACGAAGGCAGCTGAGGATACTGCTGAGGATATCCCCAGCGTTGTTACGGAAAGCTCTCCAAAAGATGTGTCTGGTAACAGCGAAGAGGGAAATAAGGAAGAAACTGACAGCAGTTCAATTAAAGACACCGAGGATGAAAAAAGAGATTCTGAAATTGAGAAAAAGAATGAACAGAAACAAGAAAGTGGTGAAGAGAAATCATCTACGACTGGGATGGAACAAGCAGAGGAAAGTTCAGCCGGAAGAGATAGTCAAGGACAAAATGAGCAATCGTCTGCTGTATTAGACCAAAAACCTTTTAAAGAAAATGTGGAATCATACACCAGTTCAGCCAGTGATATTGAACCTATCAGGTACTCTGTGCTTGTGTGAACATGACGCTTAACTTTGTTGTACATAATAAAATATTGCATGGTGGATGGGTGGTGGTGGTGGGGGGGTGGGGTGCTATTTTCACCAATAGACCACTATTTTCCACTATTTCCTTTACCTATACTTTTATATATCAATGAAATGATGTCAAAATGTTCAAAACAGAAGTAGAACCACCTGCCATAGATGTCTTGACTAGTTTATCATCAAAGTTTTGAACATTGTAAAGTACAACAACCAACCATTTATTTGGGAGCCATGTTAAAAAATGTTTACATAAACAGAATAAATTGAAGTAGATCAGGCAAGGTGAAGTCATCTTATATTTAAGCTGTTGACTAATAAGCGTGCAAGAATTTAGGCATCCTTCTGATGAAAAGTTACCGCATACATCACCAACAATTTGAAGTCTGTCCCATTCGAATGCCGTAACTTTTTAAAAATATTTTTGTTGTACAGCTCAACACAGAAGCCAGCTAAAGAGACTTCTTCTTCCAGTGGGGGCTGGGGATGGGGTGGATGGGCTTCAGTACTGTCCCAAGCCACAGCCTCTGTGACGTCAGGTCTGTCTTCCGTTATCGAGACAGTAGAGACCTCATTAGGTGTTCCTGACCCTGAAGAAATGGCACGTAAAGTAAGGGAAGAAGAACAGGCAGTGAAAGAGAAAGCACAGGAGAAAAGAAAACAAGATGAAACCGTTGTGGAAAGTAACAATGAAAATGTGAATAAAGATGCCGCATCAGGTGGGTATAGACAAAATAATGTGAATGAAAAAAAATATATTTGACTGAAGTTGAGCGCAAGACATTCTCATTAACAGCAGTCCATTGGGAAGCAAAATAAAAACCTATGCTGAAACAAAGAATAATCTGTTTTCCCCTTAATTTTTAGCATTTAGCCATGCTAGTTACAAAGGTTATCTTCTTACTATTATTTGAAATACTGTTACGGTATATTTGGAGTCTTGCAGTGTCCTATTTTTTGACCACTTGCTGGAATTATACATTCATGGTGTTTTATGTTGTTAATTTTTGGGTATAAGATCTGTTTTCATTTGCTTTTAGTAGCAAGCAGGGACTGTTATCTGAAACCACTTGCTCTTTCACAGGGCAACTGGGAAGGAGTTTGTTCCCAGCGAGTAAACTGGTTACTATACCTACATGCATCTCTCTAGTCGGCGATTTCTTCTAGAATTAGTCGTAAGTAAAATGTATTTTCTGTTTTTTTAAGCAGCTGGTGAATCGTTCTTTTCTGGATTTGGTGTATCAAGTTTAACAAGTGTAGTGCAGAATACTGGGAAAGAGTTAATGTCAGGCGGACTTGATGCCTTAGAGTTTATTGGTAAAAAGACAATGGATGTTCTTGCTGAAGGAGATCCTGGATTGAGACAAAAAAGGGAAAAACTTACAGGCAAAGGACCATCCCTGTCCCAGGTATTACTTTTTCTATTTTACCAGCAATCATATGCAACACTTAGTATTGCAGAGAGCTATTTTTTTATTGCAAGAACATACTATTATTGGTATTGAAATTTAATGTTTAATGCATTCATGTTTCAAAAGAATAAGAATGAAGTAGGAAATTAATATTAAATATAACTACAAAAACGGTTGGCTTTGTTGGCTGAATTGCATTCAATCTGGAGACTGATCTTTTGAATGCAAGCCCTCTGAACCATTAGTTATCAACTCACTAGGTAAACGCGTTAAGACAAATTCTCATATTTGTGAAGGTGATTCCCTAGTAAAGGACCCTTACATAGATTTTTGATGAAACTTGGTTGACTGATTTGACAAGTTAACATGTAGTAATAAGTGGTGATCACTGCTCATGTTCATGGTACAATGCCAGAATTCCTTCGTCTCCTATAAATAATAATAGGAAATATCAATGGAAATTCTGGATCAAACGGGGGGTGCTGTACTGAATTAACCTGAGAATGGATTTCACCTTAATTTTTCCTAAATTTTTTACCATCTTATATGTGATCTCAGATTTTAAAGGAGGCAAGGGAAGAGTCAGAACAAAAAGCAGCAGCATCTGAAGGGGGACCTGAGAAGACCACACCCACTGTGGACCTGTTGAGTGAGTTTGACAAGTTCCAAGGACTTGCTCATTTGGAAGCACTAGAGATGTTGTCGCGTGACAGTGAGGTTAAGGTGAGTGTTAGAATATCATAAAAGTTAGCTTGATTGACAGATGTAAAAAGACGAAGAGGGATGCTGATGACAGCAAGGAGCACTCAAAGGGCGAGAAGCAAGAAGTTTTTTTGTCCTATCTCCTCACCGATGACCAATAGGCAACTTTCAATATATTAAAATTCACCATGATAGCAAGTTTTAGAGGACACAAGCAAAGAAAATGAATAAACATGAGTAATCATGGTTTGTTCATTTTCTTTGCTTGTGTCCTCTAAGACTCGCTAACATGCTGAATTTTGATATATCGAAAGTGACCTATTCTCATTATTCCTCATCTTCTCTGTTCTCTTGTAAGACCTGCCACTCACTGTACTTCTACTCATAGCAAAAACAGACAAGCTGATAAGCCAATTAGACAATAATAATCATTGGAATGCCCAGCAAACATAAGTGGGGTAACTCGGACGAGCAAACATTGGCAATTGACTTTTGATTGGTTGAATAAGTGGGGCAAGTTCTGTTAACTGCACACAAAGCATGATAATGCTTAAGTGTAACTTATGTGCATAATTTTTATGCGACAACTGTAACAAGGTCATTGTGTTTTGTTGTCAGCTGGAGTCTCACATCATCGATTTAACAGAGGAGGAACTTGCTGCAGTCAAACCTCTGCTACGAGCTGTGGAGGAAGTTTTTCACATTGACGAAAACGATGGTGATGATGATCTCACTGAGGGAGAATTCAAATCTGAAGTTGTAGAAAACATCAAATCCCTCAATTTACCTTTATCAGCAGACAAAATATTAGCCTGTCAGGAAAAAGCACGGGCATGGATAACAACATGTGTACAGGAACAAGACAGCACACCCGGAAGCAAAGAAGGACTGGAAATCTATAGCAAAGCAGTGTCTAGTATGGCGGAGCTTACAGCACGCTCTGTTGAACTGTTTCATAAGTTTACTGAACTTTTACTTCATAAAGTAGAACAGCCCGCACAAACATCGTCTTTAGTGCGGGCACAGTGCATGCGTAAGATGACAGAGACAGTTTTGGAGGAGATTTCTGCACAGGCTACACACTTTGCTGGTTGTTTGAATACCGCTGCTGATGACTCAGATAACCCAGACTCAGTAAATTCACTGATAACGACTTTGTATCTTGATTCATCCACTAGTGCAGACTATCTGCGGAACTCTCTCAAACTTCTGCGACCAGTATTGCAGCTTTCATCACTAAATGAGAAGGACGCGTCGTGATAAATTATATAGATGGCTCTAATACTACGGAACCACGCCCTTAAGTAAAACTAACCTTTCCAGCTCTAGCGCATTTTTTCTGAATCATGATAAAGCTAACCTTCTCCTTTTCACGGCTGTCATGATCTAGTTAGTTGATTGCTAAAACCCACTTGTGTGGGATATTGTGAGAGGTGTATGAAGGAATGGGCTGGTGGAGGGTAAAATGGATGGCAAGAGGATGAAATATCAAGCTCAATAAAGAAGAAAGAAAACTAGAAAAAAGTTTTTTATTATTAGGAAGTAGAGAGTCCCTGTCTCTGAAGAATCCATAGCATTGTTCACAGTTGCTGCTGGGATAGAAAACTCAAAGGGCATCCCTACTCTACCCAAGCTTCTTTGTCCTTTCCATTATCCTTTATATCTTTATTTACCAGGCTACTAAGTAAAGAAGTGCTTTACCCAGGCTTCATTATTGGGAAGAGTGGTTACTGCATGTTTACATCAGGGGAGAAAATTTCACCACAAAGCTTGCACTCCCTCTGCATTGGAAGCTGGCCTTTTCATATCTCACAAACCGGGCTGAAATTTCTCATCTGAACATACAATTTGAATAGGTGGCTAGCCTGTGGTGCATGCACTAGATTAAGGGAGCCGAGACAAATTTTTCAGCTCCCATACATCCAATTCTATTTTCTTTGCACTATCAGGAGCTACATACCACACCCAATTGATTTTCACAATCACTACATTACCTTTCACTCATGCCGTAATGCCAGAACACCCAAGTATGCCAAACAAGTATATTATATCTAAGAAAACACAGCAAAAGACAGCAAAATGCGGTTCAATTGTTTTATTCACTGCTTGAAAAGTACCCAAAGAATTAACAAATAACATTGCTTCCCCTTTATGGTTCACAGAATCCACATTAACCAGCACAGCCACCAGTGCGAGAACCAAGTTGAGGTGTTTCATACTTTAATCTAAGTTTGGTTGTGAATCTTCAGAGGCCATTCGTCAAATCGGTTGTAAACAACAAGGCCATGGAGAAAAACACTGATGGCAATGCTGGAACACCAAACTTTTCAAATACAGAATGACTAAATGTACAATACTTAAGATAAAATCAGACTTCAACCATTGTAAGAAAATCTTTATTTCCTCAGTTGTGAGGGTGGTACATTGAGGCAGCAATTTACTGCCCATAAGGGCCTTTCAAGGAAAAACATTTAGTATAAGCTATTGGGAACTGCGCTGTAGGCTCAAAATTGAGTTTCCCTTGACAAACAAAAATATTTTTTTCTTAACTGTTTTTGTATTTTTTGGAAATGCAGTCAATTTATTGAATGGAAAGGTTTAACACTGCCATAACTCAACGAGGGAGTGAAAAATTGCTGCATGTTGGGCGTGGCATTTAAAAGTTACCATGTTACTGTGGGTGTTATTACAAAAGAAAACTGACAAACAAAATAATCAAGAACAATGGATGCACATAGAGCAAGTTCTCTAAACGGCAAGTAGTCAGTAAGCTGGAGGGGTGTTGGACAGATGACACACAGCAGGTTTATCGACAAAGGGATTCTTTTATCAGGGTAATTTGTCAGATTTGATCTGTGGCAGTATAAACCAGTGGGTCCTGTTGGAATATCATGGCACTGCTCTGTAAAGAGTGACTATTTATCATCACCCTTTGTTTCATTTTCTTTATTATCAACACCATTATTAGACACACTAATACTACCCTTTATATCCAGCCCAGTATTCTCTACTTTACACAAATCTTTCTCTGAAGACTTCACATCTGATTCTACAGTCTTTTCTCCTAGAGTGCTACCTTCGCTCCCCTCTTTATTTTCTGTGAATTTTGATTTGCCCGCAATATTTTGCTCCTGTTTTTCTTGTGTTTTCTCTTCGTCCTTTACTGGGGATGAAAGGTTGGCATCCGTTTCCATACCATCCACCTCTTGTTCATTATCATCTTCCACATGGGCTTGGTTCTATATGGCACAACGTGGAAGCAAAGCAAAGCAAAGCAAAGCAAGCCACAATCGTACCAGAAAAAAAAATACAAAGCGAAAGGGAAAACCAAAACATTAACATGTTAGTCATAAGATGGTATTTTCCTTATTGCAGATACATTGCTCCAACACCACAGTTAACAAATAATGGCAATGAATCTATTAAGTACTACGGAATTGAAAATGTGTACAATTTTATCTCTAAGAACTATCACACTAGAAAGGACAAGGAAAGAAAAAACAGGAAAGTTCAACCTCACCTCTTTAGCATCTTGATAACACAATGAGTGGTAAGTCTGAAAAAGCAACTGGAATTTTCAGTACAAAAATAATAAAATAACTCGAGTCATCAGGCAGTCAAGACCCTCAACAGAAGAACTGTCAAATGAGAAGGAGAAGGGGGGAGGGAGGGGCTCGGTTACAGTATGGACATTAAAATAATAAATTCATAACAATTCAGATGTGGGAGTGGGGGGTAGAGTAGGGCTGAAGATCTACATGATATAATGCCTTTCCCAGCCATTTTGTTGCACACATTGGTCCAGTCAGTGTTACACTTGATGCCTGGGACAGACATTTTTTACCAACACTACATAGCCTGTGAGCAAGCTCTTCCTTTGGCGGGGCCGCAAGAAGTCACAATGAAAGGAGATGCAAAAGCACAAGGGAAGTACAGAAAGGGAGTAAAAGTGAAAGTCTGCTTTTCCTCTATTGCTGTACACTTGCCTTGCCATCAATTCGCACAGCAGATTTGTAGTGCCATTCTTCATTTGTCTCCTCCCAGAACTGTTCAAACTCTTCACAGCAGATATCACACTCCTGCACATGCAGAAAAATATGTTAGTGATATGGCCTACACAGGGGAGCTTCTCATTGGTAATGAACAACAACACTATAAATATAACCAAAAAGGATATCAAGGCTACTATAAGAGACTGGTTTGCTCTTACCGCTTCAGCCGGCGTGTCACCAGAGAGTACAGGACAGCTACCATCTCCTTCAATTCCTTCTTTTGCTTCCTTCAGTGGGTCAGGTGAGTCTACAGCCCTTGTAGAAACATCAAAGAATGAACTCCGAGCTGTGGAAACAAAAACAGACACCTCAGCTGTTGTAAGCAACAGCCCAAATGCAAAGACGTTTGTGGTTACATAGAAGTATCAATCTGCAGGGCCCTCATCCGAAAAGAGGTCCACACACTTTATGGAAGAGAATTATCGCATACAATTTCTAATTTACAATAATGTGAAGTTCATGTTGTCCTAAAAGTTCTTCGGATACTCAGTACTTCGTAGCTTTTTACACAGACTGTAAGTGACCATAAAGATCAGACCATGTGTCAAGTGGTACATGTAGCTTACAAGAGGTTAAAACAATGGAAAAGTATGAAACCATGAACTCAAATACTGTAAAGTTCCCAAAGTAACGACTCCCAAAAGTAGCGACCCTTTGAAAGTAGCGATCAAATTTCACAGGTGTTAGAAAATGCCAAAATGTAAGCACCTCTTTCTTCTGGATCTGAAATCTCCTCATAATCCAACCAATCATTGACGATTAAGTACCATGTCCTGTGTGCCACTCTTCTACTGTCTTTCTCTCTACGATTCTTTCTGAAATGCCAATCCAAGTGTTCACCATAAATCTTAGCAGCTTCCCCAGGGAACCGCAGTCCACACGAAGAACATTGTGTGCCTTCGTAAAGGCTGTTTATTACACCATTGTGGCGCCTGTTGAAAAGAAAAAAGCTGCTGAAAGCCATATTACTCTTTTTTGTCAGTCAAAAAACCTGCTTAAGACCACTCTTTGAGCACGTCCTGTAGTGTGAGTTTTTTGCATGGGTGTCAAAGCCACTTGTAAGCAGTTCTAATCCCCAACCTTGCTTATAAAGTGCTTGTCCAAGCCATTAACATTAGAGTGCAGGACTTACCATTGGTGCTCAGTGTAACTAGGGCCCTGTTAATTAACAAGGGGTTTAATGATAAAAAAAAAAAAGAAGAAGAAGAATTTCATGTCTCTAGAGAGCCAAAAAGTACATGTGGTCTTTTAAAAAAAACTTACCTGGTGAATAAAATAACAATAATGTTGCTGACAATAACAAGAAGGATCAATACACCAAGAACCTGTAAACCGGATATTTTTTTCAAAACTAGAAGACATGTGATCATCTTAGTCATTTTGGAAGAACACGTTGAAAGAATTTTCAAAACCAAATTCAAAGGACTGCATGGGGATACTGCACAAATTCTCATGCCTTCTTCAAAGCCACAGGCATACCAGTGTTTCCAGACACATAAATGTTACCTTTTTAATTCATCTGGCACCAGCTTTATCACAGGAATGGGTTCATTTACCACTGAAGGCTCTTTCTTGGACATGATAGCATTTAGTAAAGGAAGAACTGAAGGTACAGAAACAGGCTTCACAGGGGGTGGCTGGGGTTGTGGAACATCGGCCTGTGGGGGACCAGGTGAGGGTGCGTGTCTTGGGGACTCACTGCCAGGTTCAGGAGTCACTTTGATTATTCCCACATCCATTAGCTTACGGAACAGGTCATCAACTGCTCTCTTTTCCATCATGGTGTTTGGAGTATGTGGAGGAATGGCCTCATCTGTAATAATTAACAGCTTCGATCAATAAAGTAATTGGGTCTTCCAGGAAAGGATAAAAGGATAACTTAATCTATTTTGATGACATCTACTTTTACAGTAAATCTGAATTGTGTATATGTTGTAGTTAATTTTTTAACTCAGGTAATTTTTGTTTTTCTTTTGTTTTTGGGTATGGTAATGTATGCTAATGAAATTGAAACAAAGGAAAAATAAAAATTACCTGGGATAAAAAATTAACTACAACATATACACTTAAATTCTGATGTCATGGATTACCGGTAGATTTATTTGCACTATTATCTTTGGTAATAATTATGAACCTTGTCAGTAACTTTGTTCACATATGAGAGATTAAGATTCACGTTTATGCCAAACGGCAGACATAAACTTGTACCACGTCACCAAGTTTTCCCCTTATTTTCTATTTACTCTTTATTGCTTCTACACAAAAATAAGTAGTTTTACACCAGTTTTAACCATAAGAATCGTTTGGGACTGTTTTTATCAGCTTATTATCTATTCTGGGAAATTCTCAACTTGAGTCTGCTGTTTGCCGTTTGCGGTAAACATGAATCTTAATCTCTCCATTGTGGATGGCTCCTCCTGAAATACTCTGCAAACATTTTTGGTGAATATGCTAATTTTCGGTAAAGATTTGATGAAGCCAAACCAGTCATGGAATTATATAGATTCAACTTTTGTAGGCATCCTCCTGATGAACAGTTACCACGGTACCTGTAGGAGCAACAAGGGTATATAGTCTGTTCTCTTCCAATTACCAAGCCAGACAAAGTTTATCAAGTTGAACCAATTTTTTACAGCCAACATAAATATTGAAGGGCTATTTGAAGAAAAACAAAAGGACGGACTTGAAAACTCTACTCACTACAATTAACTATATCCACACCCATTTAATAAGGCAAAGGCAGCTCCAGTAAGGTTAGATTGTGACACATTAGTGTCATCATGAAAGCTAAAAATACCTTTAGTGTGTCTTGGTGGTGTTTTTGGAGTAGGCATATCTTCCATAGGTCTGCCATGTATGAAGGGAGGATTTGGGACACCATCTAATCTCGGAGGGGCATCTACACGTAATCTTGGAGGGCCTTCTAACATTCTGTCAGATCTGATTGGTGGCATTTCAGGACCCAATGGCATAGGCCTGGAAACTGGATGTGGATCACGGTCCATAGGTGGCCTTCTAAAGTCCTCACGAGGCCTTCTCAAACGAGGCTCATTGTCTTCAAACCTGGGGCCATCATGCCTTACTCCAGGAACACGAGAGTCTAAAGGAGCTGGGCCTCTTGGAGCAATTCTTGGATGTTCCTCAAACCTGGGTGGCCCTGGCCTGCCAGGACCAAGATTTGGAGGTTCATCAATTTCCATAGGTGCACCTGAAAAAATACAGGTCGTTTACCAAAAATATCTTATTAATATTATTAGGCACTGTATTTGAAACCCATGGAGTGATTTAGGTCCATTGAACAGCTATAAAATAGAGATGCTTATCCTTGTTGAGCTAGCATTTTAACAATTGCAGAAACAATAATTGTTTCTGCAATTGTTATTGCTTCCCTGCTATAAAATATACAAAGTACATCTATAATGACGTTTATCATTCTTACCTGGTCCATGTGACACCATGGGTCTGGGTTGATGCTCAAACTGTGGGCGAGGCATGTCTGGAGGAAATCTCATCTGTTCAGCATGTCGCTGAAGCTCAAATAACTGATGAAGTTTATCCACTAACTCATGATGCTGGTCAATTGTTATATCACCTGCTTGTAGACGTCTATCAGCCTGAAAGTAAATAATAATTATTCAAACACTCTCCCTCTGGCAGAGCCCTGGGGCATTTTACAATAATGAATGTAAAACATTAGCAATGGAACTTTTCACTTAATATCTGCGTCGCATGGCATTTCTCTCGCAGAAGAAAAATTAAGCCCTTTATGCCTTTATACTGTTTAAGATTATTTGTAAGAAGTAAGATTGTGTCAGTAGGAGACCTAGATAAAACACAGAATATTACTTTGGCAGAAACAAATAAATGGACAAGGAAGATCCAATATCCTATTTAAACTCAAAGAGTTAGTTTTGGTTTTCTTTTGAGTCATGACCACTGACATGAAAGTGCAGATGATTATTGCTGCGAATAAAATAGATTCAACTTTTGCAGCTACGAAAGAAAAACCTGAAAACATTTGGCTTAGGCAGCATTAGAACGCTTGGCCTCTGCAATACCAGGGCTACACCTATGATCTAACGTGTTTATGTGGGTCTTTCAGCAGAAACTGTCACAACAAAAGAAACAAAGGAACCCAAAAATAAGCTCCCCTTGCAACAATGTAGTTTGGTTGTATTGTTTGCTTTGTTTTACATAATTTGTGCCTCAGTTCCTTCAGAACAAACAAAATTAATTAATGAATTACATCTGTACAACACATCAAAACAGAACAAAACCAAGCACAAAATAACCTTATGTAAAAAAATCTCTTGAACTGTACCTGTATCATGATTTCATTTTGGTGATCCAGCATTAGTTCACGAGGAATTTCAAATGCAGGAGTCCGCTCGCTACGATGATCTTCAGGTGGTGGAGGAACAAAGTTAGGATGAAAATGACCATCAACATTATGAGGAAATGGCTGACCTCCTCTATCATAAGGCAGGTCATGGAAACCTTCATGTAAGATGGGTGGAGGGGTCATCCTTCCAGTACTAGGAGAAGCCCCTTTCCTATTTCGAAGCTCATTTATTTCTACATCTGAAAGCAGAGGTCTTGGTTTCTTTGGGAGTGGTTCACCAGTGGTCTGGTCCCAAGGCTCATCATGGAAAACAGGGCGAACATGTTCCCTGGGATGAAAATGATCTTCATTCATCTCTGTTTCTCTTATCTGAGGTTTGATATTTTCAATCCTATCTCTTTCAGATCCTACACCCATTAATCTCTGTTCAGAAATGCCTGGACCTCCACTATTTAATATTTCATCATGGTCTTTTCCTCTGACATACACTATATGATCTTTTTTCCATTTACCGCGGGGTGGAGGACGATCATTACGTGGCACAAAGTCATCCATTCTTCTATCGATGTCACTGTTCCAGTCATCAACTGGTCTATCATTTCTTTCTCCTCTCCTTGCAAACCTAGGCTCATTTTGGAATTCTAAATTTTGAAATCCATCATTACCAGGGTCCCTGTTTCTATCTTGGCCTCTTCCTCTCCCAGTCTTTCCTCTTTCCTTTTCCTTTCTTTCAGCAGATCTTCTTCTTGCTTTGCGTGATTTTCCTCTACCACTCAAAATCTTTGGCTCCTCAGAAGTGTTCTCATGACCTGAAGCATGAGTTGACCAGTCTCCTGAATTCCGCCTTCTATGGCTGTGTTTGGGTCTGGGTTCTGAGTGAAGATCACCATATTTTGGACTTCCTGTAACCTCCCTCTCAAGTTGAGCTACTGGTTGAACTCTATTCATGTTTCCAACAGGAGGTTTGTCAAAAGCCATGTGCTGAAGATTCCTGGTTTCCTGGAACTGACTCATTTCAGAGTCTGCCTGTGAGAGATGACTCGAGTATCCCTCAAGTCTACTTGAAGTCCTCTCAGACTGATGACTATGGTCAACAGGTACAGGTAAAAGTTCTGGATTTTCAACCAAAAACCTTTCTTTAACAGGTTGTGTTGTTGTCTCTTGCTCACTCCGACGGTCACGGAGACGCGGATCTCTAAGAGGATCTATTGGATTACTCTCAGCCAATTCTCCTTTGGTCAACACTGTTCCAACTGTGCTGCTGGGTGGCTGTTCAAAATCAGCAAAATAATCTGGTTAGATTTGTACAACAGCATTTTACTTTACAAAAACAACTTGAAAATATTTAGCCTAAAAGTGATTCATATACATGTAACTCAGAGGAAGACAGATTCATTCTATTCCTTTTAATTACACCTGTACTAACAATGGAGAAAGAAAAACTATAGAAAAGATTGTTAAAAAGATGTTTATATAAAAGTTAAGAATTCAATAAAATCATGTCAATCTAAATAAAATGACAAAAAAAAAAACAGAGCACAGGTACCCCATTGGAGAGTAAGGACTCAGGTTCCTCTGTGTTGAGCCTTAGGTGAAGAATATCCTGTTGTTGTTGCTGCATAAGCAATTGCCTCTCTTGTTGCTGTTTCTTAAGCAAAAGATCTCTTTTCATTTGGTGTTCTTGAATTTCAAGTTCAGTCAACTTCAACTGCTCTTGTTGTAATCTCTCTAGTTCTAGCAAACGTTGTTGATGACCCTCGACAACATGGTGTTCCTCTGGTGTTGAGATTTCGGCAGTCAACGAGGCAACCCCACCAGCATTCTCTGCCTACACAATTCACAACAAGTGACAATGTTATACTGTAAAATAATATTTTGTTCACTGCTATACTGTATAACAATGCATAAAACATTCTGAAAATGATTATTATCATTATTATTCATACAGTCATGATACCATTCGTCTAAGGTAAAGACCTGATCTACAAGATGTGAAGATACTCGTACATACTATAATTATGTTGTTGGAAAAACAATAAATGGAATCAAGAATCAACAAATGAGACAAATCGTATGTGGCCAGATAACATTCTGGGAAATATGACCATTTGGAGTGAAAATAATTTGATGCTCTCACCTTTTTCAGAAATTTAGGGTTTATGTGTATAGAAGGGCTTGGAGGAGGTGCTGCAGAAATAGGCCAGCCAGGATCATGCTTGCTAACAGAAACATCTAAGTCATGCAACATTTTAGCAGGAAAGTATGGTGACCAAGTGTGTCGTAACTTGTACAGATCACGTCGAGTCTTTTCATCAGCCTTTACAATCAAATCAAAACAATACATCATTGAACCTCACACTACTGATGCTCATATCATTTTAAAAGGTTTGAATTCAGAAGCAGGGCTTGAAATATTAAAAGTAAACTGTTAACCAACAGGTAGTAATTTCCAAGGTTTGGTTACTAAAGATGTGCCTAAATAACCCAGCGCATTTAAATTAAGTATAATTGTGAATGAGGGAAAATCTTATTCAGATATTGTCAATTTCCGCAAAAGGCTAATGTATTTCTTTTTCTGTTTTCTACTTTGAACAATTGCTTATTCTTAACAATATGCTTGTAGCATAACGAACAACACACAAAAAAAGCAGGGTCAATATTTATAAGCGGGATTTTTGACGGGGACAAAGCAGCCTGTCCACAATAATAAGGCGTCCGTGTTAAGTGGGTGTCTGTAGAGCAGGGTTTGACTGTAATACAAACCTTTTCAAATACACAAGTGAATGTCTCCTCCATGATCTGAGCGACAAGGTGAAGGTAGTCACCACCAACATTCTTGACAATTGAATCAAGCAAGTAAAGTGATGGCAGTTTATACTGCTGTTGGACCTGTCAAAATATAATAGCAAATTGACATGTGTGAACACTAAAGATGAAAAAAGCACAAGCTGACAGCTAAAAGGCTGCAGAGTACGCAAGCAACTGTATTAACAAGATCAAATTTACAGAAAAGGTGAGCTATACCCAGCTGGTATATTAAAGCTATTATTGTCTGAACAAGAAGGAGTACTCACAAGCCACAGAGGGCCACAGTGAATAACTACCGCTGTATATACCACTCATACTTTTACTCCATTTGAACCTTCTTGCATTGTTTCCTCACAGTTAGTTTTATTTTTCAATTTGCTTTCAAAATTGCGACGTTATAGGGCAAAATTTTTCATTAAGCTTTAATGGCTACCATAAGCTTAAGCTTAAGGCTTATTAATTTTTTTCCCAATGGCTATTCGTACGGGACCCATACACCACCCTGTATTTGCCATTCATACAGGATTAAGTCTCTTCTTGAAAATTTACACAGGAAAAAATAACGGATTCCCATTTTTGGATATTTTAGGGTATTTAAAGAATACCCACAAAAATCCCAAATTTGGAAGAGTGAGACAAGTCCCAATCTGGGAACTTGGTTGGGAATTTCCTGGTTGGGACTTGTCTCACTTTGCCAAATTTGGGATTTTTATGGGTATTCTTTAAATACCCAAAAATATCCAAAAATGGGAATCCGTTATTTTTTCCTGTGATGAAATTTCTGGTCAACAAATTTCCATGAAAGTGTAAGTCTCTTCACCACTTTTCAATTTGTAAGGAAAAAAGTTCAGTGCCAAATTTTAAAAGGAAAAAAATTCAATGAGGCAACATTGAGAACCGATCCCGAGGCATAAAATCCATAGTCCGTAGCCTAACCACTCTACCACGGAGTACTCGCTGCTAGGTGGAGTTTGATTTTAATTCACATAACAACAACCGTAACCCTAAATAGAAGCTAACTGTTTCGAGTCAGTGCTTAACCTTAATCAGTTTAGTAAGAATCCCGTGTGAATAGCAAATACAAGTCGATGTACGATCTCCGTACGAATAGCCACTAAAATAGGTTTTTTTTAAGTGACGCTGTCTATCATTTTAGGAATGTTTGAATCGCTACCGTACCCATTACTTTACACCACTATTATGAACACATTCCTACAGAGAAAAACAGTTAACATGATTCTAATGAGTAAACAAATATCAACACAAACCTGACGAATGCGACTAGCGATCAGCTTTGTTATACTCGATGCATGCTGACTGTTCTCTTCCGCCAACATTGTAAGCACATTTATGAGGGGTTTAGAATTGAATGTTAAGTCTTCCAGTGATTCTTTATATTCCTCGCAAATATCATCTTCCCCAGATTCCATGCTGGCGACGAAAAAAGACAGTGGAAAGACGAAAGACGGCAAAAATTAAAACATTTTCGACAAGGGAACGAGTAGCTAAAATTCCAAGATGGCGACCAATCTACAGCCTCGGTTTGAAACTAAAAGCATTGTGGGTAAAGACAGTCCCAGTCTTTCTCTTCGGCCACGAGGGGAGAGCGCTTTTCGATGGAACCAGACTGGAGCCCTGAAAGTATAAGAAGGTTAATTTATTCGGTTGTCGACGTTATCTGTAGGTGTGGGATAATTTTTAATCATGTGAAAACACACTTAAAGTTAAAGGGCCTTAGCCTTCACTTTTTTTTTACATGATCCCAGTAGCATTTTACGACGTAGAACTTTAGAGTTAGGCTCCGGCACGTAGAGGCAGCAGAGTAAGTAAGCAAAGCTCCTCAAGGAAGCAAAGCACCTCGAGCAAGCGACGCATCCCAAGTAAGCAAAGCACCTCAAGTAAGCAAAGCACCTCAAGCAAGCAAAGCATTTCAAGCAAGCAAAGCATCTCAAGTAAGCAAAGCACCTCAAGCATGCAATGCACTTCAAGCAAAGCATTTCAAGAGAGCAAAGCATCTCTCAAAGCACCTCAAGCAAGCAAATCATCTCAGGTAAGCAAAGCATCTCAAACAAGCAAACCATCTCAAGCAAGCAAAGTATTGCAAATAAGCTAAATATTTCGAGTATGAAAATACATTTAAAGTAAAGTAGGGAAGGAAAGCATCTCAAGTAAGTTAAGCCACAGCTAAAGAAGGTGAGTGAGACGCCATTTTACAGTATTTTACAGTTACAGGTGGAAACGAGGCTGGAGTTGACCTTGTTTTGATACAACCCTTTCTGCTTTGTTATGTAAATCATGTCATTCTTATGCTAACTAGTATTTTTTAAGCATAATTTCCATAAGAAAAGAAAGAGGTTTGTATCAAAACAAGGTCAACCTCAGCCTCTCATTCTTTCAAAGGCTAGAATAACTGTAAAATGGTCTATTATATGAACACAGAAACTCATAAGGGGTTGTTCAACCCCTTATGAGTTTCTGATGAACAACTATACGATGGCTTGACATGAAGTATTTCCCCGTTGCCGGGTGTTAAATCTCTGTATATTTGACGTCATACACCAACGCAAGTGAAGTCATGCATCATGTTTTATTTGTTGTTTGTTGTTAGCTGCGCAACTGAAAAAGATCTAAGGAAGGTCTGCTTGTGTCGTAAGAATGCGTCTCTATCCAGTGGTTCTTTTTCTGATCATCATCACACTGATGAGTGTGATGCTGGAGTTATCTCATGCCGCTAGGGGAAGAAGCGGTGGTGGTTCTCGCGGTGGATCCAGTGGTAGCCGAAAAAGTTCAGGGTCTAAATCAAGCTCTGGATCAGGTGCTAAAACAAAAGTGGGCAAATACGATCCCATTAAACCAACTACAGTTCGCTCTCCTGTTATTGTAAAGCAAACTAAGGTTGGTTCTCGCTCAGAGGTGCTAAAAAGAGTTCTGTTTGGTTATGTCGTGTATCACTATGCTTTCGGTAATGCTCCAGTGTATCGCGGAGGGTATCCGATGTATGGTAGTTACGTAACAATCCCAGAAAAAAGAGCTGTCAGAATTACCCATGAAGAGCAGACGTTGCTGAACGATGGAGGAGATAAATGTCTGTCAGAAGATTCGAAGATGTCTACGCTACGGGAAGGCATCGGCGAAAACTTGGTGGAATTGAAGACAACAGTCAAGTACAAAAACGGGAAAACGCAGATTTATAATAACAGTACCATCTCTTTGGAAGACATCAAAGAGGAGGATTTTGAAGTGATCACTCGAGCTCGGTATAACACAACGATAGTAGCAGGAACATCCTGTACTCAAGTGGAAAAGAAAGTTGAAGGGACGATGGTTACATTGTACGAGACAAATCCCAACGTAGCTAACTCACTTAACAGTAATTACATGCTGTTGATAAATATGATTTTACTTTCTACAGCTATTGAAACGTTTACCAACAGCCGGGGCTAAAAAATTTATGCAAATTATGTCGTAGATTCGACACTAAAAACTACGTTTGAATTGCTCGAGAAAACATTCGGAAACATGTTACTTTTTAAGTAAAAGGCTCATAAATCTTTGAGCCGCAAGTTTTAACTAACAGTCAGTAGTAAAATAATTAGTCGCGCGTGTGCTTTTTTGATAACTTTACTACAATCTTGTATGCAAATAACAATTAAACGGAACTCTTTTGGACGCAGTGAAGTGTATACATGTTAGGAACTGTATTTTCCTCTCCTGTCACATGTATATCTCCTGGCGTTGGGATGTGAAAAAAAAAAAACAAGAAGACGCCCGAGGCGTTTATGCGGGAAGTGTTGGTGTAAGAAAGAATTACCGGTATGTTGAATGGCAATGGAAAGTTGAGTAGTGCATCAACAATAAATGTGGGCAGGAGAGACGGAGATGTTCTGTTAATTAAGGACTAATATACACTATAGAAGATGAGTTACACACAAGGGTTCCTTTGCTGCGCGAAACAAAAGTTACATCAATATTACCACCATATATGTTAAGAGTATGGGGTAGTTGACTTAAACTTGCATTCCCTTTACTATTTCCTCAAAAAATGCACTTCCACATTCAACAATAGCATGTGATGTATCATACTTCCAATAACTAAAGGGCTGCAAGGTTGCACTCTAGGGAAAATTTCAGGAAGCCCTTTGGGCTCCCAAGCAATTTAACCTAAAAGATCTAGATGGCCGCCCAAATAAATTTTCAGGGAGCCCTTTAGCCTGCGAAAACATCCGTTTCTCCTCGCTCTTCGCCGTTGGGGACGTTTCGCGCGAAACGTCCCCACCGGCGAAGAGCGTGGAGAGACGGATGTTTTCGCAGGCTAGGAGCCCTTCGGTCTGCCAAACATTTTAGCTGGGGTGCCCGGGCCTCCAAGTTGTTAGCCCAAATTAATAAATCAGTGAGCTGTTAGTTAATTATTTAATATTAAACAAATTATTTTCTGAACAAGTCAAGCAGAATTTTGCGAATATTTTTTTTCATGAAAAATCACATCCTTTGACCTCCTGAGCGTCCGAAAAAAATACCCGCATGTTGTCATATGAAAGTAAGTTTTCGCGCCATGAACATGCGCAACGCCGCCGAATATTTCATGTTTTTTAAATGGAAAAGTAAGATTCTGGTCTGTTTATGTATTTTTTACAAAAATTTTTGGCTCAAAAATAAGGGCACTATTCTTTTTACTAATCATTTCTATTTAGGTTGAAAAGAAAATTCGCTTAAGATTGACTCAGATCCCGTGGACCGTGGAGCTTTCCGGGAAAACTGCTATGATTTCAACGAAACCGCGGCCGCTCCAAAAATGTTATCTCTTTTGAACAGATCATCATCTTGTTGGAATGTCGTCGTTTAAGCGCAGAACGAAAGTATTTTCTTTCTGTATTATCGGTGAATTGTTTTGTGGATTCGGTAGCAAACTAGCTCTACTTTGAGCGCTAAATTTAGCTTTTGCGTATTTATTTTTATTACGTGATACGTATCATTTTAAAATGACTTATCACGACACGAAGGACAATGCGGGACTTCACAGATTTATACTAGCCTGCGTGGCAGGCGTTGAAAGGGGAATGGGAAGGGGGAATTTGGGCGCGAGAGCGCGTGCGGCGCGCGAGGGAGAAAGGAAGTAATCACAATAATAGTCGTCTCTTTTCTTTTTTATACATCGTATTTTACTGGAATAACAATCTTAAGTTATGTTTTAGCTTCGCAGACACAGCGGTAAAAAACAGGTAAAAATATTTTATTAACATGAGAGAGTGACTCCCGTGTTTATTCAGCGATTTTTTAAAATACAAAACTATTGTTTTGCGTCGCCGACCGTACTTTACGCCTGTAAGAGCAAAAGTAACAATTTCCTTTGAAAAACTAACTAATGAATCAATCTAATTTGAAGAAAAAATTTCAATGTTATTTTGAAAAGCTGTTAACATCGAAAGCTGTGCAGCTTGTCACGTTAATAGTCAAGGATTATGTTACATGTGAATTCACGTGCATCAACGCACGCAAGTTTTTGGATAGACATGCTACATATTGCTACAATTATACAAGTCGACCTCAAGAGTTTCTTAGCCAGCGGAGCGTTCTCTTTAGGCCGCTAAGCAACCGATCGAGCAATGACTTCGTAAGTAATAAATTCTAGACATTTTAAACCAGTAAGCTCACTTTTCCCTTCTTTGCTGACGCACTATCTTGATTCTGCTTATGCAATCCAACCTGACTTGCACGTGATTCAAAGTTGCAGCCAATAAAAATTACACAATTTTTTCGGGACGGGCTCTCAGCTCGGGATACGGGAAAGTTAAAAAACATAGCAATTTTTGACTCATTTAAGACGCTGGTTGACTACTTCATCCCGCGTAAAAAAGTTGATCTACATCCCATGACATCCTCATGACCTTTCTCATTAACTGGGCGGCCTGAAGAAATAGGTTTCATTTTTTCTTGGGGGGGGGGGGGGTAATTTTCTGGGAAGTTGTGGTGGGGGTCACCGTCCGCCTTATCTAATCTTTACACTAATTCAGAGCAATATCTATAAGGTTAGTGTAAGAGAGTTCCTCCCCCGGGATAAAACGGACAAAGGAATTTCCTGCTCATTGTTATTGTACATCACCATGTCAAAAAAATATTATAATATATTCACTAGGATAGTTAGAAAGGCTTTATAACGCAATGTCAGACAAAAACAAAACTTAAATTTAATTTGCTTTGTTTTTTTTTAAGAACCAGAATTGATAAATGTACTGCTTGTTTTGACTGGTAACGACAATAATTTTTGGAATTTCCGGTTAGGTCAAATTAGTCACACTATAGTTTGGGGAGCAGAGGGATTGGGGACTGGGTGGGTGAAAATAACGCTCATTGTTTCCTTCTTAGAATGGCTCACTTGCTTATTTTTATTATTATTTTTATTCATATTTTATTCAAAAGGGTACAATGTTCAATTGAGTAACTGAGATGCAACGTCACGCAATGGTAAGCGACATGCCCGATGGCCTAAGTGTGCAGCCACCCTCTCCCTCACGGAATTTGGCCGCCCAGTTAAGATTCTTGTTTTACGTACAAGTAAGAATGTCTGTCTGACTGATGATAGGCCTATTTAAAGCCCTTTACGTCATAGCTAATTATAAAACCTCAATTGCATATCACTTCCCACGCAAACAAGGCGCAGGCGAGAAGCTCTCTTGCTGCTTCTTGTGTCTTCCATTGCCTCAGAAACAGAGATGAAGAAACCAAAGTATAACCTGTTCACTTCGGTAGGTAAATGAGTTAAATTGCGTCAGTAGGGAGCTTTAGCATCGACGACGGCAACGGCAGCGAAAACGTCAGTTTTAAAATGAATTACCGTTTTTTCAATCTTTGTCGCGTTTATTCCAATTTGCTGAAAATGGCAAGCGTAGGCGATTTTCCCTGGAGTTGATTTCTTGAGGACCGCACTCATGTTTAGAGAGAGAAAAAGAGATTCGTCGTCGCTTGTTTACGTCCTCCATAAAACTTGCAATTAGGCATTTTCACGTCGTAGTCGTGCAAGGACGGTAAAGAAATGTACAAAAAATCGTGATGCACGTGCAAAGTTGTTGTTTTGCGTAATAAACCTATCGCTTTTTTGACGACCTCGTTGCCGTCGCCGTCGTCGTTGCTAAAGCTCCCTATTGTGAACTGTAGGACGGCCGTACTTTCACATTCCCGATGCAAGCCTGTACTTGGTTCGATCTCACTTCCTGTAGTTGTGAAACCTGCCTTTCATTGCATCTTGCTAGTTAGATTTCGATATCACATATGTTGAGGCTTGCAAAACCATATTATGAATACACTTTTTAGATATGTCATTTAAAGTCTATTTGAAGTTAGAGTTTCATAAAACATCGAGAGGGGAAGTGGACAGGAATGACCGAAATTTACCACAATCCCTGTTTCCCCTTTTTGTTCTTATTTTCTACCTTGCGACTTGATCTCTGTATCACATCTAATGCTCTAATTATTACGTTGTAGTTTTTTCAAAAACAACTCACTTTATGTTTCACTTTCAGTTTGCCGGAGAAGTCCCTGCCATCTTCCGGGAAAATCGAATTTTCTAGATCAAGGGGTCGAAGTATCAAGGTAATAACCATTTCTTGAGAGGGAAGCTAAAGGGAATTTGAAAGCATTTCTTTAAAAGGATAAAGTGGAAAAAAGTTTGTAGTTTTACTCTGGCAACACAAGATTGAGATGGCGGCAGGTTTACAATTCGAAATAGCCCTAACCCCTTTTATGCTATATATTATATATTTCGCTGTACAAATCTCCAAAATGAGCCATGCGAAAGAAACGAGAATCTACCGTTTGAATCTGTGATTTGTGTCACAGTAGTCTACTATGTTGGAAATTAACCCCCGGTGGTGGATTCCCTTCATTCCATATGCAGGATTCCCTCGCCAAAAAAATGCGTTCCTCCATCTAATAACTGTCTTCCTCTACAATGGGCACAATAGGCTTGCCTCGGCTTGCCCGTTAAGTAACTTGAGCCCGGTTTTCGGACCGTCTATTAAAAGGAAAATAGGAACAAGAGAACCGATCACGTAGCAACGCGAGAAACGGCTTTCTATATCTTATTTAGCGCTAAAACTTAGATATATAAACAAGACACAAACAGAAAGTGGAGTTGAAAAGTCCTGCATATGTAATGAAGGGAATCCACTTTCTGCGAGGGAATCCAAAGGGAATCCACCAACGGGGGTTAATTTCCAACATAGTAGACTAGTTGTCACACCTGGGGTTAATCAAAACTTTTAACGTAGTTACTAAAACATGGAACGACCTAAAACCACCTAAAACCATCTACAACCACCTCAAAAACATCTACAACCATTCGCAAACAATCTAAAACATGTCACGAACATGAAATACGAGAATCGAACAAAACATCCACTTCCCCCTAAAATCTTACTCTCCCTGGTCCCTTGTATCATCAACCATTGGCTTAAGTCACGAAATGAAATGCGAGATCATGCTAAGTATATTAAAAGACTTAAAGAACTTTACAAAATGAACTATCAAGTCACAAAAAATAATAAAATAAAATAACAAACTCGTAATCGAAAGACTGACTTGATTTGGCTTTTTCTACCCTGGGTACCAGTGAGACGTTTTGGTTCACGTTTCATTTGTTTACGCAATGGCACAATTCAAGGTAGGGTTTCTCTCTCTCTCGGAGTCTGCTTCACTGCTGTTTTGTTCTGATGTGGCAGATTACATTCCTAAGAACAAGTAGATTTTTTTAGCATCTCATCCGCCAAACATGTTTGTACATTCCAGGTGACTCCTTTAGATGAACCCTAGTGTCTTTCACACCCGTTTCCTGTGTCATCACGCAAGGCTAAACTCCCTTGCGTCACGACACAGGAAACGGAGACTAGTAGGTGTAATCATTGTTAAAAATGTTATTTAAAAAAATCTATAATGCAATGGATTCTGAAGAAAACAAGTTAAGACGAGCCGAAATTAATAGAAATGAGTTGACAAATTTTAATAGTGAATGATTGTATTTAAAGTAATTTACCTGGATTTTTATATACCTTTATTATGTTTTGGAACCCAAATTTCACCCCGGCCCTCTTCTTGGGAGTGATGGGATATGCGCGCTTCTTATTTTCGCTTTGCTCTGAGAGCCTGGCACAGGCTAGAGTAGCTGCAACTTTACGAGCTAAAACGGAACGAAAAATTTGGATCACATATTCGGGTCTTCCCTCCCCGCCAAGGGACGTTACTGGTAAGAACGTTTTGATTCATTTTGCTGAAAAGAATTATCAAATATCATTATATAATGTTTTCTAATTCTTGCAACTGTAAACAGGTTAATAGCTGTATAAAATCAGGCTCTACAAGTGAGACACGTTCATACTAGACTAAAGGATTCTGCGGGACTACATACATTTGTGTGAAACTATTTCAGACATTTATACCCTGTTTTAGATGGTTTTAGATTGTTTGCGAGTGGTTGTAGATGTTTTTGAGGTGGTTGTAGATGGTTGTAGGTGGTTTTAGGTCGTTCCATGTTTTAGTAACTACGAAACTTTTAAGTCTTCGAAGGCAAACATTTCCACTGGGTCGAGAACAGAAATAAGCTTTTCCTTTTCCAGGATTACGTGTCGCTGATGTTAAAATTGATTCTAATGAATGATGTATCGAATTTGAAAATTCGATATTTCGGTATAAAAAGTTAAGCGAGGGTAGTGAACCCCGCACTGAACCAGAGTGTTGCGTGAAAACAAAAAACAATTAATATTTGTAAGAAACTACATTTATTGTCAGTCAATGTGGAAAATAAATCCACCAGAACAAGACCTCTGAAAGAAACATTTTGATATGACATATCTTATCAAAATAATCAGCTTACTGGCAACCTTAATAGTCCCACGTCTGCACGAATTGATTTTGACTTTGGCTTCTCAAACTCATTAATAATTCATAAAGAAAATATAAAGGAAATGTTAAATGTTTAAAGAGTGCTCATTTTTGCCAACCTTGTCCCTAGGGCGCTTTTTCCTGGCTTTGGAGCTTTTTGCATCCTTAAATTCTCTTTCTAAAATCATTTTGTTTGAGAAATATTATCAAGCATTTGACACAGTGTTTCATCACCAAATCTAATACTCCGCTGCGCGTCGTGTTTTCAACTCTCTTCTCCGTGCTTCATCTGGTGATGAACCACTACGTCTCATACTTGATATATTACGTCAGAATTGCAATAACAAACTTGAGTGCGATTGGCTTACGTGATCTCAACTCAATCGCAAGACAACAGGGGGAGGTTGCATATGTTGTAGGAAATTTTTATTTCAGGTAATTTTTGTTTGTTTTTTTTTTAGTATGTTAATTCATGTTAATGAAGCTGAAACAAAAAAAACAATTAACAGAGAAAAAATATTAACTGAAACACAATTATACATGGGCAAGCTTGCATCCTGGGAGCAGAGCCTCTTGTATCTTTGCCTTGAAGGTGAAGTAGAACAGTAAATAAATAGAAAATGGGCAAACAGTAAATGGGCTCTGCTCACAAGTCGGGCGGGGTGCTCCCAGCTCCCTCCTAGCGCTGTTTAGGGACTGTAGGGAGTTTTAGCATGGACGACGGCCACGGCAGCGAAAACATCACTTTTACAATGAATTAGGGTTTTTCAAACTTTATCGCATTTATTCCATTTTGCTGAGAATATTCAGTGTAGGCAAATTTCCCTGGAGTTGATTTCTTGGGGACCGCACTCTAGTTTAGAAAGCGAAAGAACATTTCGTTGTCGCTTGTTTACGTACTCCATAAAACGTGAAATCAGGCATTTTTACGTCGTAGTCGTGCAGCAACGGCAAAGAAATGTACAAAAAAGCGTGATGCACGTGCGAACTTGTTGTTTTTCTCAATAAACCTATTGCTGTTTTGACGTTCTCGTTGTCGTCGCCGTCGTCGGTGCTAAAACTCCCTTGTATTCCTAAGGGTATACCTTAACTTCCTTTTCTACAGATACTCACCCAGTCGGATGGATCTCCTTTTCAATTGATGTACTGACGTCTTTCAAGTATATTTCAGTACCTTAAAATGACCACGTTTTCTTCTGAACAACTTAACTTTTTCAAGTTTTCTACTGTTGTATTCGAAGAATTTCCAATCGCCCTCCGTCAGGTATTTGCGCGCCTCTGGGACACACTCGTCGCCCCCGTACCCGGCTTTAAAAAATGGGACGACTCACCCCTGGTTCGGAATTTGTTCCTGAATAAGGAGGGAGGAAAAACAAGATATGTTCCAACAAGCAAGTCATATCACGACTGGGACTGCACTGCTCTCTTTGAAGCAACGCTCTATTCTAAAAGTTGTTCTGTGTCAGATGGGAAAGGGGGTTTTGCTACTTTGGCCAAAATGTACGTCACACCCCGTGGAGTACCACATGGATTATTCCACCCGTCTGTTTTCAGCCCTTCAGGAAACAATGCTGAGACTTGCGCCTTGGCATTAGACCAGCTTCGCAGGCTAAGAAACACTCTCTGTCACCAGATCAGTACGAAAGAGATTGTAAAGGCAGACTTTGATAACTATATCCATCTAGCAAAGGAAGCATTTCGTGCACTTAAACTAAACAGCACAAAGATTGACGACGTGGGAAGGCTTGGTGAAAAAGACTTTCCCACAGCCAGGCTTCAACAGTTAGAAGATGAGCTGCGGGCTGAGAGGTTTAAGCCAATCGAAGATATACTCGACAAAATGCGGTTAGATGGGACAGAAATAAAGAGGGATGTAATAGACGTAAAGACAAAAGTAGAGGACGTCGAGACGGAAGTGAAAACGGTAGTAACAGTTTTAAAAGCGACAGTAACAGACGTGCAAACAAAACTGGAAGATGTCAGATCGGACGTGAAAACGGCAGTAACAGACGTGCAAACAAAAGTGGAAGATGTCGGATCGGACGTGAAAGCGGCAGTAACAGACGTGCAAACAAAAGTGGACGTTGTTGGATCGGACGTAAAAGCGGCAGTAACAGATGTGCAAACAAAAGTGGAAGATGTCGGATCGGACGTAAAAACGGCAGTAACAGATGTGCAAACAAAAGTGGAAGATGTCGGATCGGAGTTGAAAACGGCAGTAACAGAGGTGCAAACAAAAGTCGAAGAGTTCGGTTCGGACGTAAAAACGGCCGTAACAGATGTGCAAGCAAAAGTGGAAGATGTCGGATCGGACGTGAACGCGGCAGTAACAGATGTGCAAATAAAGGTGGAAGACCTCGGATCGGACGTGAAAACGGCAGTAACAGATGTAAAAACAAAAGTGGAAGATGTCGGATCGGACGTGAAAGCGGCAGTAACAGACGTGCAAACAAAAGTGGAAGTTGTTGGATCGGACGTAAAAACGGCCGTAACAGATGTGCAAACAAAAGTGGAAGATCTCGGATCGGACGTAAAAGCAGCAGTAACAGATGTGCAAAAAGAAGTGGAAGATGTCGGATCGGACTTGAAAACGGCAGTAACAGAGGTGCAAACAAAAGTCGAAGAGTTCGGTTCGGACGTAAAAACGGCCGTAACAGATGTGCAAGCAAAAGTGGAAGACCTCGGATCGGACGTGAAAACGGCAGTAACAGATGTGAAAACAAAAGTGGAAGACCTCGGATCGGACGTGAAAACGGCAGTAACAGATGTAAAAACAAAAGTGGAAGACCTCGGATCGGATGTGAAAGCGGCAGTAACAGACGTGCAAACAAAAGTGGAAGATGTCGGATCGGACGTGAAAGCGGCAGTAACAGACGTGCAAACAAAAGTGGACGTTGTTGGATCGGACGTAAAAGCGGCAGTAACAGATGTGCAAACAAAAGTGGAAGATGTCGGATCGGACGTAAAAACGGCAGTAACAGATGTGCAAACAAAAGTGGAAGATGTCGGATCGGACGTAAAAACGGCAGTAACAGAGGTGCAAACAAAAGTGGAAGATGTCGGATCGGACGTAAAAACGGCAGTAACAGAGGTGCAAGCAAAACTGGAAGATCTCGGATCGGACGTGAAAGCGGCAGTAACAGATGTGCAAACAAAAGTGGAAGATGTCGGATCGGACGTGAAAGCGGCAGTAACAGATGTGCAAACAAAAGTGGAAGATGTTGGATCGGACGTGAAAACGGCAGTAACAGATGTAAAAACAAAAGTGGAAGATGTCGGATCGGACGTAAAAACGGCAGTAACAGAGGTGCAAGCAAAACTGAAAGACCTCGGATCGGACGTAAAAACGGCAGTAACAGATGTAAAAACAAAAGTGGAAGACCTCGGATCGGACGTTAAAGCGGCAGTAACAGATGTGCAAACAAAAGTGGAAGATGCCGGATCGGACGTGAAAATGGCAGTAACAGATGTAAAAACAAAAGTGGAAGATGTCGGATCGGACGTGAAAACGGCAGTAACAGATGTGCAAACAAAAGTGGAAGATGTTGGATCGGACGTGAAAACGGCAGTAACAGATGTAAAAACAAAATTGGAATACCTCGGATCGGACGTGAAAGCGGCAGTAACAGATGTAAAAACAAAAGTGGAAGATGTCGGATCGGACGTGAAAACGGCAGTAACAGATGTAAAAACAAAATTGGAATACCTCGGATCGGACGTGAAAGCGGCAGTAACAGATGTGCAAAAAAAAGTGGAAGATGTCGGATCGGACGTGAAAACGGCAGTAACAGATGTGAAAACACAAGTGGAAGATGTCGGATCGGACGTCAAAGCGGCGGTAACAGATGTGAAAGCGGCAGTGAGAGATGTGCAAACAAAAGTGGAAGATGTCGGATGGGGCGTGAAAGCGGCAGTGACAGACCTGCAAACAAAAATGGAAGATGTCGGATCGGACGTGAAAGCGGCAGTAACAGAAGTGCAAACAAAAATGGAAGATGTCGGATCGGACGTGAAAAGGGCAGTAAGAGATGTCAGCTTAAATATTAACCTCATGAGACAAGCAGTGCAAGAAAGAGTCTTGGAAGGTAAGTTGCAAGTAGTCTGGGACTAGGTTGAAGCACAATTTTAACCAATTAGAAGCACTACTCAGATCTGGGTAGAGGCACGTCATCAGTTTGAATTTGGCTTTTACAACCAGTTTCCTCTAATAACTGTGCGCAGGTATAAGTATATGTGTCATCATCGTCACGAAAGCCGGAAAACTGGGATTGCTTGTTTGTGTGTATAATTTGTACCAATTTGAATTTGACATTGTATGATTTTTATTTTTAAACCCTGTCAAGAGCCATAATAGGTCCAATTGTGGCTCTTGACCCTGTACAGTAACGATGCATGCGTACTCAGAGGCGGATCTAGGTGAGGGGCCTACCTGGGGAGGCTGGTCCCCACACCTTATTTTTAGGCTAAACCTCGAAGCTTGGAGTGCCAAGAGAAACTATTTTCGATGCAGCGCCCTCTTATTTTAGGGAGTGGACGAGCAGATCTCTCACTTACTTAAAGTTACTTGTGGATTCAGTGAAGTGTGATGAGAAATGACAATGTAAGTTATGTACACATTTACTGATATTTGTACCGGTATTTTTCCCTTCAAGGCTTCAACGCTCCCCAGTCATGTATACCGGACCAAATACCAAACTTTGTTGGTCGTCAAGAAGAATGCAAAGAAATTCAGAATCATTTAACGCAAGGAAAAACTCGAATCGTAAACGTATGGGGTCCACCAGCATTCGGAAAGACATCAGTGGCGATAAATGTAGCACATCAATTAAGAGAAAATAACATTCCAGTTTACTTTTTACCCCTCCGCGGAATGACAAGTAAAGAAGAATTGGTCTCAAAGTTGATCAGTATGTTTGCAGACGATAATCAGGTACCTCATACTTCCCCATCTCACTGGCTTATCCGGAAATTACAGAAAGTGCAAAATCAGCAAAATCCTTTTATTCTTATCTGGGACAATGCCGATGACTTACTTGAATCGGAAGATAGCAAAGAACGTGTGGTTCAATTTATTCATGAAATTCTTGCACAGTGTTCTCATATCAAGTTTCTCCTTACCACTCGAGCTTCCTTAGACTTCTTGAGTCTTACGAATCGCGTTCATCTAACAAAAATTAATGTTTTGGACGAAGTTTCTTCGGCAAGTTTAATAAAGTTGCTATTACCAGATGTGACTGACGAGGACTGCAAATGCATAGTACAGGAATGCGGACAGGTTCCCCTAGCTATGCGATTGATGTGTATTATCATGAAAGAAGAACATATTTCCATAAATGAGCTTTCAGAAGAACTGAGGAACTCAACGCTCGTCAACGTTTTGGATGACGAAAGTTTCCCTGCTGATGTTCGTCTGAAAATACTCATTAACAAATCGTTCCAAAGACTTCCGATTCAAGAAAGAAGAGCCTTTGTTTCTCTTACGGTTTTTCGTGGTTGGTTTAACACAAAAGAAGCTACGGCAGTGTTAGATGTCAAGACAGAGCGAACCACCAAAGTTATTCGTTCCCTTGAGCGAAATTCTTTGATCAACTGTGGGGAAAGCTTTAGCCGTTTCACGATTCATTCACTTTTCCGGTCCTTTGTTGAAGAGCAGAGACGAAATAATAAAACAATTGAAGTCGTATTTCATTCAGCTCAGCGTCGGTTTAACGACTATTACATTTCCAGTCTTACAAATGCTAATGAAAAGTTTTTAATGGGTCCATCGAGTGAAGCGTGGGAAATTTTTGCAGGGCGTCGAGAGAATATCCTCTTGTCTATTACTGATGGAATCAAAGACGACGACCTTTACCCCAAGATTGTAAATGTATTGTCTACGGCGGAACTTTTTCTCTTTGCGGTATTGCCAGAGGAAGAAGTATTGTTTTCCCAGATTTACGACACAGCTTTGTTAGAAGCAAAGCGAAGGCATTTTGTTGAAGATGAACGGGTGCTGTTGGCGGCAAAGTCATTTCGTTACTGGGGCTGGTTCTCTTTGGATTGTACACCCTTGGAGGACTCCCTCAATTTTAACTTCTCCAACACATTCGCTTGTCCAGCGAAGCTCCTTTGTTACCAAGGCGTTTACCAGATACTACGTGGCAATCGTGACGTGGGATTAACGTCTATTTTCAGCGCTTTAGTTCGTCTCAATTACCGCAGCGATGAGGTCATGCTCAAAAATATTATTTTCATGTTTTTGGCTCTATCAGGTGCTGATGAAGAAGAAATGTTAAAAGACACTAGAATATCAGAACATTTGCCAGCGCTTTTGAACGAATGTTTCAGTTATCTTAAAGCCCGATTCTCAAGGTCTTTGTGCGATGAAGATCCGGCTTCTTCACCTGTTGACGCTTGGGAATCAATTATTTTCCTGGACGAAGACCTGTTGTTTTTAAACTTCATAACAAATTTATTTAAACGATACTTTTATGCGGAGCATATGGAGGAAGGCGACATGACTGCGTGGGAGGCAGTGGAGGCTAACTACTTTCTAAACGCAGTAAGCACATTCATTCCAACAGTATTCGAGCTAACGCACAAGGAGAACATTTCAAACGTACCAGTGGAGGTTATCTTGTTCAAAGCAGCGCTCAGCAACCCCTTGGAAACAGTGTTTTTAACGCTTTTGGATGAAGACATGTGCGATAGCGATACCGTTTTGAACTGTTTTTTATGGTTTACAAATCAGGCTGATTTTGTTCGCCTGTGTTTTCAAGAATTCACAGATCAAATTATGAACAATGGCGTCGATTCATTGGAGAGCTACAACGCAGCCAACCAGTTTATGAAATCACTTTTATTTTTTTGTGATGAAATCGATGATAACAGGGGCAAATCCGTTGACTTTAGTGATGGATCTCTTGTTAATTTGATTAAATATATCAGTGATGCCATTGACAATGTTCTAACCAGTTCTAGCCGAAGGGTTCCTGATACAGACGTTTTAGAACTTGCAAGAAGTTATGACAATCTAGGCAAGTTAAAGCACCATTTTGTAGACAACAGAGCCGCACTAGCGTCTTATCAGCAGGCCATGAGACTAAGGGAAGAGCACGCAGGCAATCATATTGACTCGGTGAAAAGTCAAACAGACATCGGATGCATTCACTTTGCAATGGGAAATGCGACCCAAGCTGACAGAGCATTTCAACGTGCTTTGGATGTGAGGAAACAGTTAAATGTTTATGATCATGAGGATACTGCAAGCATTTACATTTTACTCGCAGAAAAACATTACACCCTTGGTAACCTCAAGACCTCTCTAGATGCACAATTGAAGGCTCTAGAGATAAGAAAAGAACATTTAGGAAAGCACCGGCTTACAGCAAAAACCTTTCACGAGGCAGGAAAACTTTGCTTTGAACTACAAAGCTACCAAGAAGCTCTTCAATTTTGTGAGCAGGCTTTAAACATGAGGCTTGACCTTTTAGGAGAAGACGTGGACACAGCTGAAAGCTTCAATCTCCTGGGACAAATCCATTCTAATATGCATGAAAATGGATTAGCTGTTCTGTATTTCGAAAAAGCCGCACCAATGCGATCAATTCTGCTTGGTATTCACGAAGACACCGCCTGCAGCTACCACAACCTTGGTTTAGCACAGCATAGCAAGGGAGACCTCCACGGAGCTTTGGACTCCATAAAGAAAGCCGCAGACATGAGATCAAAATTGCTTGGTAAACACGAAGACACCGCGAGTAGTTACCATTGCCTCGGCGTAGTGCAGTGTGGTATAAGTGACCTCCAAGGATCTTTGGCATCCCTGCGGAAAGCGGCAGAGATGAGGGCAGAAAAACTTGGTGATCACAAAGACACTGCGAGCAGCTACCACTGGCTTGGTTTCGTATGTCATGAAATTGGAGATTTGCAAGGAGCTTTAGTATCTCTCCAGAAAGCAGCATACGTTAGATCAAGCCTACTTGGTGAACACAAACTCACCGCGCGGAGTTACCACTGGCTTGGTGTGGTGCAACATGGCCTGCGAGACTTTCAAGGAGCCTTGGCATCCCTGCAAAAAGCGGCAGACATGAGATCAACAAGGCTTGGTGATCATAAAGACACCGCCAGCAGTTACCATTTGCTCGGTATCATTCAGCGTGATATAGGAGAAGACTTTCATGCAGCTTCAGTAACTTTACAAAAAGCTGCAATCATGAGATTTAACCTGCTTGGAGTTCACGAAGACACGGCAAACAGTTACCACAACCTTGGTGCAGTGCAGTACTTGATGGGAGACCTCAAGAAATCTTTGGACTTTTTACAGAGAGCAGCGCATATGAGATCAGATCTGCCAGGCGATCACAAAAACACGGCGTCCACCTATCACTTGCTTGGTTCGGTTCAGTATGACATGAAAGACATCGACAACTCTGTGGAATCTCTACAGAAGGCATGGAAACTGAGAGATGAACTGCTAGGTGAACATCACCCCGACACAGTCGACACCTTACAGCTACTCAGTCGGGCGTGTGAAGCATCATTACTGCGCGGTTAGGTTAGATTGTGATTTGGCGTCGTCTTTGAGGTACGCTGGAGTCTGCATTACCTAGTACGTTACATTACTTAGGACCCATCGGATGGTTAAGGTGATAAGACTATAAAGATTGTCCTTCAAGCTGGAATCTCTGCTAAGAACCTTTCTTTGCTCGTAAGCTCCGACAGACCGAGAGCTATAAAAACTCGTTCGCTCAGTTGAACTTATCTTAACGATCCACCTCTGCACGTGGTTTGTTTGGATTGCAAAAGGGAATCAGGTCTAACATTGGCTAAAAAAGATAATAATGTACGGCAAAAAATATCGGCACCATGGTAGCAGTATTTCTGGATGACAACAAAACCAACGACGACGGCGACGGAAGGAGAACAGCAAAAAAATAAAAGGTTTTTATTGACAAAACAGCAAATTTGCACTAGCATCACGCTATTTTGTACGTCGTGGCACACCTGCGACATGAAACTTCCTAATTTCACACGCTCGCCTTATGAAGTAGCTGAACAGAAAAGTTGTCTTTTTCCTCTTCAAAAATTAGATACTGTCCTTTCGGATTCAACCCGAGAAAATTTCGTTAACATTTGCCAAATTAAATGAAATTGAATAAGATCGATGAAGTTTGAAGCAGTGTGAATTCTTTTTTCAAGTGACGTTTTCGGTTTGTTGTCCTCCAAAAATTTTGCTTTCATGGCAACGTTACGTAACGACTTCTCCTTCCTATTGCAAGGATGTACTATAGTTCAAGTTTTATTACGCGGTAGTTGGCCCTGAAATTTATATATTGTCTCCGTTATGTTTACTGACTTTGTACGTTCCTTTACTTGTTGGTAGATAGCCAGGTAAATCATTCATACTATCGGTAGTGAACTCGCGAGGCTAATGCGGTAAACGTCATTTACATGTAATATATTTGCATGTGAACAGATTTCCCGCTTTGACTGGTCTCTAGTGCCATTTCATTACAAAAAAAATATTCCTTCCGCGAGTTGAACCCTATCAAGAAGATGTCCGTGCTGGGTATCTGCCTTTGTTTCAGACACATTTACGCACTTAACCTGTCGCGTTTTGTTCGGTGGGAAAAAAGGGGTGCTTGTCGTTCTTTTAAATGGAATTTCCTCGAATGTAAATGGGACTAGGATGATGGTAACACTGAATGACGTTGTGACAACCTGTGCAGTAGGAGACTGTTCGAATCTTTTATCATCTGGGCGCAAACTGTACGCTTTTTCTCGCACGTTCAACGAATAAGAAACAGAGGGTTGTGTACAGTGTAGTACAGAAAGTCGTGATCAGAATGAGTGTTCCTCGTATGAAGGCTTCCGCACAGGTTGGCAAAACGTCTCTCACTGTTAGCTAAAAAAGAAAATAATATTCCACCTATTAAGACTTGGTTTCCAGTCATGGTTCCTCCAAACCATTCACAATACAGTGTAAACATTCAAATATAGGTTTTTTGAGAGAACTTTCAACCAGTACTATTTGTTTTTATTTTTTTACAAAACAAGGCATGCGATTTTGATGACCGGTCATCAAGAGACAAGGATGAGTGAAGATCATATCTATTTTCAGTATAATGAATATTACCATGACTGGATGACAAGGGCCGACTACAATTATTTGATCTGTGTTATATCAAAACAGCAAGATAGCGTCCACGTTTTGGCAAGGCATAGGACATAAAAAAAGCTTTTCAGGCAGGTGGGTAAAACCCGTTACCCGTAGAAATTGCGTCCCAGTGCTTCCCAGTGCTAAAGTTTCGAAGAGTCCAGTGCTTTAGTTAAAAGCGTATTCAGTCTTCCCACCATGCTACGCGGGTCATACAGCAGTCCTGCAGACATCATGGCATTATCAAAGAGCTGCCACAAAAAAAAAAATTAGTCGTCAGTTTTAATCACTTTGAAAGATAAAACCATAGTGCCTAAGCCCTAGGGAAAATTTAGGTTGCCTACTCGTTTACGTGCCAAATATCATGTTGTGCAAAACACGTTTTTCAGAAATAGTTATACATGATCTATCTCTATTGCTTGGCGAAAAAAAAACAACAAACACACAAACAAAAATCAAGTTCAATCGAGAAATCATATGCGGCAAGCCACTTCCATAAAATTATCTAGTGCGTAATCACTTCACGCGCCCTGACTGGACCCAGCCCGCCGTCTCACATTCCCTGAGTTTAGTTCTTTTAGCTTTCCGTTTGAGGAAAAGGTTAAGGGACAGTTTGTATTCAAACTCCAAAGTCACCCTAATCAAAAGAGTGTTACCATTAATACTGTAAGACTGACCTGATTAACAACCAGCACAGCTAAATCTGTATTGACTGACCGAACCTCTTCTAAATTTCTGATTAATTCATGGCTGAAATAGAAAACATCACCACATTGTTGTTTGGTCCTTACTAATCTTATGTGCTACTTAGACAGGGAGATCTCCATTCAATCTTTTTAAAGTCGTAATGTCGCTAAGTGACTGGAAAGAAGCCGCTAAAGGAACAATATTGAAATACGACATCAACGATTTGCTCGAATGTCAAAATAAGGACAATGGTTCCTCCTCTGCAGCGACTAAAAAACACAAATAATTTTGTCACCTATTAAACGTAAGAATATGAAAGCTGAATTTCTTCTGCACGTTTAAACGTACAGGACAGTATCCAACCGCACAAGATGAAGACGCTACTCAGTGGACAAGCATTAACTAAAGCAGCCAGGTATCAAGGCATGCAAAAAACGACAATCACTTCATTGCACGTAATAAAAAAAGAACAGTTCTACCAACTACCCAAGATAAATCAAAGCTGATGAAAATACCTTGGGTTTATTTCCAGCGTAGGTTGAAATATCTGATACTTTGCATTGTCAATGTCCTGGAACTGCTCAGCTCTCATGACTTTAAGCCAGTGTTTAGCGGCCACCATGTCTGGTACAGTCACCATCACTGGGTGGCTTGTCTGACTTAAGTGCTTGGAAACCTAACATATCAAATCAAAATGTTGACAATGAGCGCCCATGTTATGGTGGTATTCATCTGTGTTCTAAGAATTCTCTTTGCTTGCAATATTTCTGCCTTTTTGAGCTTTGCAACTGAATTTAAAAACCCTCGAATACTTTTTTGTTTCTTGGTGTTTCGGATTCGCTTCAAATCCCGATTGCTTCAGTTAATTTCGTTGTTAATTCTGTTGTTTTCCAACACATGTAAGAAAGAACAGTTTTTAATGCTCTCTTTTACTATACAATGTTCCTTCACATTAGTGATAATGACCATGGGATGGCAAGGCTTCATGTTCCCACCCGGGTGTTCCCATGGTTTCACCCTGCTACATACATCCTTAATCATACCAATACTAACCTTAACAGCTGAGACTTTCTGTTTCCCCAGTATAATACTGATCCAGTTGGACAATTCTGTAGCTTGTTCCTCCGTCAGAGATTCTGTTGAGGAATGAAATCAGTTCTCATAATACAAATGTGACCTATTTAAAACCCGACAGAAAAACGGTTATACAGCTGTAAGTCTATTTCTTTTACAAGACATGATACACACCTGATGCATCTTCTGTTTGAGTGGTATCGTCCGTTGGTTCAGTGGGTGAAGGTTCTCTGTCAACTGAGAAGTAATTCTCTGCAGCCATGATATTCTTCTTGTCAAAAGTCTTTAAATAATGCAGTGTTACGTCATCTTGTTCATTATACGTGAACAAAACCTAGAGTAACAATAAACAATGTATTGCTTAGAGGCCTTACAATGTAAGCAAAACACAAATCTTTGCATGTGCAGATCTCAGCAAAAATAAGTAATTGTAATAATTATTGTAATATTGTATGGACTCATATTCAAACCAACCTCTACATCATCTTTCTTCAAAGCTTCGTAATAAGGAGATGTTTCTGCGACTTCGCGACTGAAAGAGGGAGGGAGAAAAAAAATGATTGGCCGATTTAGCCCTAAAATATTCAGTGCAAGGCGCTGGCCAATATGTTTCAAAATTTTAAGAATCAAAAACGAGGTGCGGAATGTTGGGGAGAGCAACGAGAAGCTCTAACAAAGGACATCCCCCGATTGGAAAAACCTACTAAGTTATCCTGGCGCATATCTTACGGTCTCACCACTTAGATATAAAATCTTATTCACTGCCCAAAACCTTTGACTTTTGTAAGCTGTACAATAGAACCTTTCACATGTCGGTGTACCAAAACAATATGCAGCGTCTTTATGCTGGTGTCCCAAACCAGTACTGTGTAGCCTGTGTACAGACCCCCCTTCCTGGGGGGTCTGTACACAGGCTAGTACTATGGGAATTGAACTCTTTTTTAACCAAACTGCTTTCTTTTATCGCAATAAATTTGGGTAGGTTATGGCCACATGAGTGAAAACGCTCTATATTCAGACCTGGATGTTTCTGAAGTACAGTATTGTGCAATAACTGCAAAAATAGCAACATAGTAATGAACTCACAAGAAAGAGAGTTATACCTTGGAGCACACAAATAATAGATATTCTTCTGTGTAGGTTTCATTCTTGATACATATGATGGCAGTGACGTAAGCACACCAGACTTCTCGTTTGATGATTCAAACAGAAGAAGCTTTGCTATATCCTGTTTCTGCTCATCACTTTCAGCACTAACAATCCCTTCACGGAAGAAAATTCCACAATCTCTAAAAAACTTTTCATATTTAACTCTATCCTTCTTTTGTTGCTCCAGCAAAAATTTGATAATTCTTGCTGACAGTACATCACTAAGTTTCTTGATTAAAGCACTGTCTTGAAGCAGCTCCCGACTTAGGTTTAGTGGGATATCTTCACTGTCCACAACTCCTTTTACAAAACGAAGCCAGTTTGGCAGAACCTTGTGAGCTTTGGATTGGATTAGAACTTTCCTGCTGTAAAGAGACACGCCATGTTCCATGTGTTGCACTGTAAACAACTGTGGAAGAGTTTCTGGGATGTAAAATATACTGCGAATATTCAAAGGTGCATCCGTCTTGTAGTGTAGAATGTATCTTGGCTTGTCATATGTCTTGCCAATGAACTGATAAAATTCCTATTGAAAAAAATGGAATGAAAGACAGATCGAACTCATAAAAGCAAACATTTATCTTTCGCCTTGTGTAAACTAGTAAAGTTGTTGCGTTCAACTGTTGTATTTTGCCTTATTCTTTCAATATTATTTTGTGATTTCACATTGTAGTTCAGTGGCTATGGTACAGGGCCGGGTTGTTCAAAGCTGGGTTAAGATAACCAAGGGTTAGTGCAAAATTTGAATTAAGTTATGAAGGCTTAAAAAGCAAATTCAGTTCAATGCTATTTGTCTATAATTTGATTTGAGAATGCTCTAAATAGAATAGAGAAAATTATTGGAGAACATTCTCTCGAACAAAAGAAAAAGAAACCAAGATTAAGATTTCACCCCAGGTTGGCTCTAATCGGCCTTGGAACAACTGGGCCCTGACGTAAAGGCTATGAAAGAGGATGTGACTCTTGAAACATATCAGGTTTAGAATCCATGGCAAATCTTGTTTCTTCTTGTCAAAAACCTGATGTAAAGAGCCAAAGGGGTTGAATGAGAGGCTTAAACAAATTCAGTTCAAGTGAAAGTTTGATATGTTTCTATGGTAACATGTTACATTGTAACTGACCTCATGTTCCTCTTGAGTTATGCTTTTAGGTTCCAATAACCATAACGGCTGAATAAAAGGAAAATTACTGCCAGTAAGAAAAAGTAAACAAGCACTCTAGGAAAAAATAGTTCACAGAAAAAGAATATTTTTCTACAAATTTCAGTAGAGCTGCCATACAACTATATGATATCAACCTGAATTGTGTTTATACACATTCCATCCAAGTAAATTGGGAAGCCCACAAAGTTACTGTATTTCTTTATAGTATCTGCAAAAAATGAACCAACAAACACAATTTAGTCTCCTGTAGCACAGTTGTAGAGCACCTGGACTAGCAACCAGAAAATCAAAGATTTGACTCCTGTTGAGAAAACTCAGCTTTCTTTCTGGACTCCTGTGTCACTAACTGAAACAACAATGTTCTAATTTATTCACCAAAGGCTTAACTGAAACACACATTAATTACTATAAATTAAATTTAAAACATCAGAAGGAATTGTAGTATATAACTGACCTTCAACTGCTGTGTTGAGAGAAAAATTTCTGTGGTCTTCTTTCAGGTGTATAACAATCTTTGTTCCACGAGAAACATTTTCAGCCTCAGCAATCTCATATGAACCAGAGCTTAAGACAAAAATATTTTAAGAATGAGATGAACATCTTATTGCCATGGATAACCTTTGCCAAGTAAAACTGTAGAAGAAGATGTAGATTCTGTAGCTGTAGATGTAGATGTTACAGGTCAAATTTAAATTCTGGTGAAATTTTTTAACCTAGATTGATTATCTATTTCCTTTGTCTTCTAGCCCTAATTATTCATGAATTGGGGTTAAGACACAAAACATAGATGTAGAATGTATAAAAATAACAGCAATAAACTCAATGCAATTTCTACTTACATTAATTTTTATCTTTTTTTCTGAAAAACCACTCCTTTTCTCCCAAACCAACCTTTCCCTCTTCCATGTCAGGCCACAAATAATACTCAGCAAGAAAGTCTTGTTTTCGTTATTTCTCACTTGGCCCTACAGCTGCTCCCAACTGAGCCAAGAGTTTACCAAGAAAGCTTACTTACAGGTTAAAAACTTGTCATTACTAGTACATTGAAAATTAGGATTCTTACCCATCTGAAGTCCACAGAAGACCTTTGCTGCCAGGAATATAAGAACGTGTGTACACATCAACTCTATCAGCAACCATGAACGTGGAATAGAATCCTACACCAAACTGTCCAATGATGCTCTTTTCTCGTGAATCGCCTTTCCCTAGTTTGCTAAGTTCATCAAGGAAAGCTTTTGAGCCAGACCTGGCAATAGTACCTAAGTTATCAACTACCTCTTGCTCAGTCATTCCTATTCCATGATCTTTAATTGTTAGAGTTCCTTTCTCCTGATCTGTGGCAATATTGATTTCAAGAGGAAGCTCATTTTCTGCAACATCTTTTCCGGTCATGAACTGGTACTGTAGTTTTTCTAGGGCATCTGATGCATTAGATATCACCTCACGAATGAAAACCTGAGACAAGAATTGTGGAGATTATTAATTATTTACTCATGTTTTGGTAACACATGTAGGCGTTTAACATGTCCAACAACAACACAGAGCTTTCTCTGGTTTCTGTAAGCTTCTTTAGTATAAACCAGCTATAATGCAGAGGGATTCATTCTTAGAACAGAATGTTCCAAGTTGTTTAGCTGAACAACTGACAACTGAAGATTTAATTATCTGCACATCTGTCTATTAACAGTGAATGCAAAACTTACAAGTATGATCTCATCTTAATTGTGGTAGTTAAAGGTTACATGTACATGCATTCTTATCTTTTCCCAAATATTTTAATATTGCTGTGTACCTCTTTTTCGGAGTAAAGTGTTCTGGCTACAATGTCCAACAGCTGTCTTGTTTCTGCCTGAAATTCATGCTTTTGAGATTCACCTGATGGTAACATGAAGAAAAAAGGAACATGTGTTATTTTTTTCCTTGAAGACTATTTAAATGAGAATAGTAAGACAAAAACATCAACAAAAACAAGATTCATATAAGATGCATTCGTACAACATCATAATAAATTTTGTCATATTAACAAAAATAACTACCCTAACTCAAACACCCATTTAAACTTCTTATTGCTCCCTACTAGTACTCTATAATATCATTCAAACTAAGAGAATGCAAGAGTACTGCTATTTTTTTAAATATATCACTGAAGGTTATCCTTACTATTTATTTTTTAAAAAAATTATTAGATTTTCCAAAGGCAACCAGCAACAAAATTAAGTACAACTAAAAACCAATATCTTTTTTAATAACTAAACATACCAACAACTTTTTCCTTGTCTGTGATAACATGAACAGTGTCATCTTCTTCAAAACCCTCATCCTAAGATGATAAATAGATCAAACAGGAAAGCTAAGACCATCGATGCAAACAAGAGAAAAGCCGCCCCACTCAGCCACACCTTTTATCACATTAAGAGAATCACAGAAAAATAAAAACCTTTAAGTTCCAGGAGTCACCAACATTGAAATAATATTATTTTCTTCTAACAGAGCAATGCACAATTAAGATTAAAGGAAATGAGAAATACTCAAATGATTGCCGAGAAAATTGTTTTGATCTTTTAATAATTCATTCAATGTTATTTTTAAGTATTTGCCTGTGGGTTTAAAGAGTTAACACATTAATAGTTGATACATTTTTGCCCACAACAACATGCAGAGGTACCCTGTATAATTTCCAAGGGAAGTAAAAGCCTAAAATATGTCTTTCATTGCATACCAGATGATATTGGAATCACAAGGAAATAATAGTAAGTAGTCAACATAACAGTACATATTTGGACAGTTTAATGTTATTATTCAGTAGAGAGAGACAACCTGCAATATATTAATACCTTGGATAAATGATCCTTATCAGTTGAATTATCTGATAAGGCTCTACAAAAAATTCTTGGATAGCTTCTTGCTTCAAAATCTTGACGAGCTGTAAAAGTATAATTAAGCAAAATATCTAATGAATAAATATATAAGTAAATATGCATTTTATGAATAAATAAAAAACAAAAATAAATAAATAACAGTATAGTGGAAGCATATCTGTTAAGAGGGTTTTGACCTGTGTGTTCCTCTCTGGATCAACTATTGGAATTTCAAAATTCAAAATGTTGGTTTTAGAGCAGAGGGAAAACTCAGAGTACAACTCAGAGTAAAACTCTGAGAAAGGAAGAGAACCAAAAACAAACTCAACCCATATGTGGCACCATCTCAAAGATTCGAACCCAGGCCATCATGAGTGGAAGAAGGCAAGTTCTCTGAACGTAACTGTGTTGTACGTCAAAAGAAAATTTAGCCATAAATAATTTTACCTATTTTAATGGTCTGTTTTCTTTATCTGCTCATTGTCCATGTTAATGCATGCCATGATGATCGTGCATTTAGAGCAAAAATTAATTGCAAGAAAAAGAACACCACTAAAAAGATATTGCTAACAAATCATATAACTTCATGTAACTTGGCGTATTCTCCTATAAAATTCACACATTACACATTTTTCTGAGATGACAGGTTACCATCAGAATAACATGCAGAAAGATTAAGATTCAAGCACCACTGGATGTGATAAGCTTGATTTTTCCACGTGCACGCTTACCTTTTTGAAAATTTGGTTGAATTGTACGCGCCTTCAGAGGTGATCGAGGAGTACAAAATTTATGCAGTAAGCGCTCACTATGCAAGTACCTGATTTGTGACAAGCGACGAGGTAAAGCACAAGAAGAAATTCGATTAAACTGTCGCATTAAACCCAGGGCAGCCGCCATTTTGGATTCTCGATAATTTCGTGTTACATTACATCAACTACCTACCTGCATTTAGCACCGTCCGCTGATTTACCAGCCTGAAGTCTCAAGATACTACTCGAGATTTATGTCCTCTGGTCCTGGTCTGTCATCTGTGTCGTCTATTTGCAGTACAAAATCGCCATTATGTCCTTTAACAAATCATCAATCAAAACTGTTGACTGCAAAGGAAAGCGCGTTTTGATGCGGTAAGCCATACTTTTGTTTTATGTCGGTTTAGTCCAAATAACATTTTTGAATTCACCTTAGATATATCGGTCATATTTTAGAGTCTTTATAAGTTTACTTGGGTAATCTTACAGTTATTAAGAAAATGCCATGTCTTGTTTTCAGTGTTGACTTCAATGTACCACTGAAGGGGAAAGAGATCACAAACAACCAAAGGTATCGTGTAAAATATTGCAGACGTGCGTTTAGTCGCGTACCTGTGTAAACAGTACCTCACCCAACTACCCGTCCCCCAGGGCACTGTCCTGTCCCCCATGCCACCTCAAATAGTGGGCCAATATTGGTTCTAGATAATGTGAACGCTCAAAGAAGCCGCGTTTTTATTTCATAAAAAAGTAGTTATTTCTCCAGGTGTAGGGAAATTATTTTCCTTTGTTTTTCAATTGTGTTTTTTGTTTTTGTTTGTTTATATGTTTTTAAAAATTGCTGAAATCTCAATTCTCAACATTTAACTTTTCTGTTATAGTGAATGTAAATGGTATATAGTGGACTATAAAACAATGTACAAATGACCAAATTAATGGAGTGCATATTTTCTCTTCTTGGAAAATAATTTCCAACAAGTGTTCCAATTAGGTTTTTGTTTGTAGACCCCCGGGGTACTGCAGAAAAAAATTGGGTAGGGGTGTGCGGCCCGCTTCCCAAAACCCTTACCCTATTTATGACCAAAATCTGCGATTTTCCCTACCCTATTTATGACCTAACCAAAAATTTGATACCCTATTTATGACCTGACCCTTAAAGCAATACCCTGTTTCAGACCTGCCTTATAATTATTTCCCTAGTTCAGACCAATGTTAAAGGCAATGTTTATCTGCTTTTATTAGGTTAGGGGGACATGATAAGGAAGTAGCTTCTTCTAAAAAAGTGCATTCAAGACTACAGTGTAAAAATCGTTACCCTATTTATGACTAAAATGGCGGCAAAATAGCCAAAATCGATACCCAATTTATGACCAAAACGGCTGAAAAACCCTACCCTTTGGGGCCGCACATACCTATATAGCCCATATTAGGGAGTACCCCCCCCGGGGTAGACCCCTTGTAGGGGTCAGATATTTGTAAGGCTGGTTTTACATTTGTACTATTGGCAAGTGTACAACTGAGAATAAATGAGTGAAAAAAGATTACAACAATCATTCTGCCTATTTTCTATTTTTCTAAGGATTGTAGCTGCCTTGCCGAGTGTCCGTCATTGTTTGGATAATGGTGCTCAAAGTGTGGTGTTGATGAGCCATTTAGGAAGACCTGACGGCAAAGTAGTCGAGAAATATTCTCTGGCTCCTGTTGCTGATGAGGTGAAGAAATTATTACAAAGGTAAAAACCAAAAATTTTGACCCAATTATTTGTATGTACGCTTCCTTTAATTTTTACTTTTTCTGCTGATGAATTACAGGGTTCTCAATAGAAGGCGGCACCCGGCGATTGATCGCCGCTTACTTTGGGATTTATAGCCGCTTACTTTGTGTTTAGGTCGCTTTTCTTTGCTTTGTTTTGACACCTCTGGCTTTGCTGAAGAGCCTCCTACTTTATCAGTGATCATCTCCTACTTAAAAATCTATTGAGAACCCTGGAATTATGTAACATTAGTTTTCTACATATACAGGGATGTGACCTTTCTTCCTGACTGTGTGGGTCCTGAAGTGGAGGAAGCATGTAAAAACCCAAAGGCTGGTATGATACTTTTAACTTAGAAGAGGGTGGATGCAATTTTCAGAAACCCTGTGCAGTGATAGTCAGGTTGAAAATAGAATTCTACTTGGTTTCCTTGTGGGTCAGTTATTTCCAGTTGGTATATTGCTTTATCTAATGCTGATAGCTGAAAGAAATGCAGCCATGCTATTAGAATCCAAAGTTACAACAGCTTCTGGTTGACAGTTTATGGGGGTTTTGCTTTATACCTTCTGTCATTATCCAAGTGCCACTCTCTCAGTGAAGGTGGACCCTCAACTCTGATGGCAATTGAAGGGTTGCATTGACTAATTGACTCCTTTTGTAATGGCAAATTCTTCCTTTGATTTACAAAGGTGTACATGAAAATTAGAAGGAGAATTTAGTGGTTTATTAGAAGCCCTTTGGAAAAACGTCCAGCCACTACTTCAATATGCATGCTAACATAATTTGCCATTTACACTTTGTGTTGTTTATATTAATTTTATCAAGGCTCAGTGATCTTGCTGGAAAACCTACGTTTCCACATTGAAGAGGAAGGCAAAGGAGTCGACAGTGAAGGAAACAAGGTGCTACATAGCAATAACTTTGGTTATATTTATAAAATTTTCTTGTTTGATTACTTTGTTCAGGATTTTTCACACTTTCGTCTTAATACTTTCAGTGTGGGCACTGTGCTTTTGCCTCTTGTAGGCCAGTTAATACTATCAACTTGAGGTTCTTGACAATTTACTTAGGGGGGAAATTGGATTGAAATACATGGTAGCATTCCATCTAGATTATTTTAAGTAATGCACTCCCAGGTGCTTACTTTAACAGAAACCATGTTGCGGGTGTATTCATCCATAGTTACCAATATCAGAACTTCAAGTTTTTATCATAAAATTGATAAAATGGCCATTGGGATTAGATGCCTTGGAACTGAAGGAAAGTGCCATTTGGCATGGTGTAGTTTGACAGATTATCTACCAGTAATAACATGAGCTAGCAACAGTTTCTTGGTTGTGTGACAGGTTAAAGCAAGCAAAGAGGATGTGCAAAAATTCCGTGATTCTTTAGCAAAGTTAGGAGACATTTATGTTAACGATGCTTTTGGCACTGCTCATCGAGCTCACAGGTAGAGAAACAACATTTTTATTCCATTTACCACTCTTTTACTCCAGCAAGTTTTTGATTGATTCTGCTGTGTGTTCTGTGTAACCACTTGAACAAACAAAAGTGAAATTGATATTTCTTTGCAAAATTTGACTTTGCTTGGTACACAGAGATGCAAGCTTTTATATTCCTTTGACTTTTTTTGTATTAATGTTTTTGTAGCTCTATGGTGGGTGTTCAGCTGCCTCAGAGGGTTGCTGGATTTTTGATGGAGAAAGAGCTGGTCTACTTCTCCAAGGCAATGGAGAAACCTGACAGACCGTATCTGGCTATCTTAGGAGGGTGAGTGTAAAATGGCATTGAATATAATAACCTCCTCAACTCAAATTGCTTGCCAGTATCAACAAAATTCACTTTGCTACAACATGGTTTATTATGGTTATCACTTATTTTTGCGTGCATTTTTTTCACTTCATATTTCATATTTACAATTATTTTTGGCCAAAATAATGGACTCTACAGCACGGCCTTACTCTGTCCCACAAAAAATGTATTAATATTATAATATTAAACCTTCATTAAAAATAATATTTTATAAAGCTTCGCTTTCACTTTTTTTCTTTAATACTCTAGTGCCAAAGTAGCTGATAAAATTTTACTTATTGAGAATTTACTGGATAAAGTGAATGACATGATCATTGGTGGTGGAATGGCTTACACATTTGTCAAAGTTCTTCATAACATGGAGGTGAGTTGCAGTTTTGAGCTTTAACTTTAGAAAGGTATGAAAAGATGTAATCGTTGAGAAGAATATCATGGCTCTTAATCGCCCATGCTTAGATCAGTAAAGTTCTAATTGATAATCTTATCCTTGCTAATGAAATTTAAGGTAACATTTAAGATCGTCCAAAAAGCATATTAAAAAGCCTAGTTATAGCCTGATGCTAACTTTACACTAAACGCAAAGGTCCCATTGGTAATTTGTAACAGTCATCATATGACTGACAAAATTCAGGCCAATGGTGCAGTAATCCTCCTCCCCTTCTCTTTTCAGTGTTCGGTTTCATGGCTATTTAAGGCTACGTAGGGCAGCACAGAAAGAAAAGAATCAAACGTGGAACCTCTTACGCAGAAGGCTGTGCACTAACCTCTGCAATGATGGATTCCAATGAAGCACTGACTTTCAGTTATAATCATTTCAAACAACTTCTTTCATTGTTGCTGTTCGTACTTGTGGTTTCCACCCATTTATAGTGTCTGTAGTTGATTTACCAGTACAAACAAGCTGGCTGCAATAATTTCTTTTTCAGATTGGAAAGTCACTGTTTGATGAAGAAGGATCAAAAATAATCCAGAAGATTTGTGATAAAGCCAAAGAAAAGGGAGTGAATCTCCATCTACCAACAGATTTTGTCACTGCTAGTAAATTTGCTGAGGATGCTGAGGTGAAAGTTTAGTTTGGTTTTTATAGCATAGTGTTTATGCTTGAAATAGCCGAGGACGCTGCAGGAAACCATTTTTTCTTGATTTTTGTTTCTCTAATCAGACAATAGTGCTTAATGTTTTGTTGATTATTTTACAGACTAAGCCAGCTAATCTTGAAACTGGAATTCCTGCGGACTGGATGGTAATTAGAAACATTTGTGTAGTTTATTGTTTTCATCTGGCATCTACTTGTACATTTACAGTTTATGTAATCTGTTTCTTGTATGTTTGTAGTGGGTAATATTTTAGCTTTGAGAACGCTTTTTGTGATAGTCTATTTGTATTTTTATTTGGTCATAACTTTGCTGTTTGCTATTCTATGCAAGTATTACTGACTGAATTTTGAGTGAGTAAAAATAGTCCAATATGCATTTTTTTTTCCTGAATAAGTCTAAGTACACAATGATAACCATTTCTGTGAATAATTCTCTATAGGGGCTGGATATTGGGCTTGAAAGTGTCAAGAAATTCAAGGAAGTGGTGATGCAAGCTAAAACTATTGTTTGGAATGGGTAAAGCTGAGTTTTTTTTTCTATTCAATCTAAATAACTAATTAAGACAGCAAAATAACTTTGACTTTTACAGAAGTCATTTACTAAAAGTTGTATGTGTATGTATATTGCAGTCCAATGGGTGTGTTTGAAATGGCTAAATTTGAAGTAGGAACCAAAGGTATTATGGATGCAGTTGTGGCAGCAACAAAGGCTGGTGCCTCGTCTATTATAGGTAAGTTAACATTCAGAGGCCTGTGTCTTGCAATTCCCAATGGTTTAAAAGTGGCCCAGAAAGCTGTTGTTTACATTCGAGACACGTTTCAACAGTTTTGTAAATATTATGATAAAAATGTCATTTACTTCATTTACTTCCTATTATTCACCCTTTTACCCTAAATTATACAGCAAGAATAAACCAAACCCTGAAAATTGGCGTGGGTGTTCTTGTGTGTGGCTACACTGGGCAGTGTTTTCTTGAATAAGTGTACTGAGTGAATGAGCAAATGAATAGACCAAAACACTGTTTTTTGAAACTAAAAATAAGATATTGGGTCAGGTTATTAGGATGTGTCTGTTTCTTTCTCCTATTTCTTTTACTTATACCACAACCACTGTACATTAATTCAGTGGTTACTGAACATTATTGTTAGGTGGAGGTGATACTGCAACATGCTGTGCTAAGTATGGTACAGAAGAACTGGTCAGTCATGTCAGCACTGGGGGAGGTGCTTCCCTTGAGCTCTTGGAAGGTAAATATCTTTGATTTTCTAGATCTAGGGAAATATTATTAAGAAACTAAATTTTGCATGTTTTATGTTGGTTGTGTGAAATTTTTTATGTCGTCTGTTTTAAATGACGATTTTTATGCCGTTTAGCACACATGGTAATCTTCTGTGGCCATATGAATTCCACAAAATAAAACACATAAGATCATAGAACACTATTGCAACTCCTGTTAGTATCCTTGCCTTTATAATGTACTCTATAATGATGGTTCGTCCATCTCAAAGTGTCTGCAGTATGTAGTGTTCAATTATGCAGGAAATAATATGATAAACTGTATGTTAATAATAATTATTTACATATTATAGTAATACTTTATTCCATTCCTTGGGATCGAAGCTGAAGAATAATATGTGCTGTTTTATTTGTAGGTAAGACTCTCCCAGGAGTGGCTGCTCTTTCGGACGCATGACTAGATAAATTAAGCCACCTTTAAACCAGAGCCTCATTGGCGACTGAAGAATGTAAAATAAATTTAGGGCCTGTTTACATGGAGTGGGGGACCCTGGTCTAGTGGGGTTGGTTTCTTTTGTTTTCACGCTCTGTGGGACACAAAACAAAAGAAACTTACCCCACTAGACCGGGGTCCCCCACTTCATGTAAACAGGGTCTTAGTTAGTAGATGATACAATGTATGAAATGTAACTAGAACTCGACAAGATTCTCTGTTGGTGAGTGCAACATATTGCCCATGAAACCTCAAAATGCTTTCAGCAAGGTAGTCACCTTGCCAGGCAATTCTTATTTGTGTGCAAAGTTCTCTGACACTAATTAATGGGTACTATGATTGGTTGCTGCACACATTAATAATTCATTCAACAGTATTCATCGATGCCTGAGATGTTGATTATATATGTATGTTATTAAACCTGACTGACAGCAGTATATTTGATGGTCAAACAAAATAATTTTAAATGCAAGTGAGGCAATGAAGAATTAAGTCTGCACTGACTTAGTACGTTTACTAGTTACCTCTGTCATGTGTGCAAAGTTATGGGTTGTCCATATGTTGAAAATTAGGCCAGTTACACAGCAGTGGGTCTAAAATACACGTATTTTTACACGGGTAAGAGTACAGCACCAAGTGTCTCCCAGTCTTAATCTCTACAAAAATGTTGTTTTAGATCGAGGGGAAACTGTTTCGCTTAGTAATTTATCCACAGAGCAGTGACTTCTACTCTCACCTGTGGAATGTGACCTGTACTTCAGACCCAGCAGGCAGGGGAATGTTTAATAAGTTTAAAACGGGAGGCGCATACAATCGTTTTAAAACTTGGAAAAAAAGTCATGAACTGTTCGGGTGTCTTCGGGTATGCTCGTTAAAGTTTGACATGGGCGTGGTGTGGCTTTTCGTCCTGAACACGCTTTATGAGCAAGGGGACAAGCATCCACCTCACTTCCATATCATATGCTTCCCTCGCCAGTGGTCACCTGTTTTATTTCCTTTGTGAGCATGCACATGAATTTGGGCAAGAGCAAAAAGAGTAAGGAAGATAGAGGAAGGGAGGGAAAATATTTACAGAAAAACCCCAGCTTTTATGAAATAACTTTATTTACAAGCATTGGATATTACTTCTATAATTTTACATTTAGTCAACTTACATTTTAATGAATAAAAAAACAAGCATAGGAGACTTCAATACTGCCTTGACCCTCCGCATTCAGAAGAGTTTACCTTAAATAAGCTAAGTCATGGAGTACCCTAAGCCTCAGTTTCAAAGTGAGGCTAAGTGCGAAACTTTTGATATGAAAACGATTTTTTATTCTTATGCAAATAAAAGTCATTTTCACAAGAAAGGTTTTGCACTTAGTCTCGTTTTAAAAGTGAGAGCTTTTGAAACTCAGAAATGGCCTGTTTTCTGAGCACAAACCAAAAAAAGCTTAGCAGTTGCGAGGAAACAGAACAATATAATACCAACAATATAAATCACTTCTTCATGGGGGCTGGAATCGGAGAGGAACAACAGTCTTGCCCTTTTAAAGAAAATCAAGAAGTTTAAAAGCAATCTCTGATAAGCACTACCAAAAATATGTATTAGGAGCACCATCGGCTCATGCCACTTTTAGGGAAAGCATGGTCTTTTAAAAAAGAAATGCATAAACTTTTAGACAACTCAACAAGCTTCTTTCTGGAAAGGTATAAAAAAGAACTAAACACTACACACAGGTAATTAAACCAAAGAGTTATACTTGACCAGCTACACTGTTCCCTTGAGTTACAAGACTACGCTCTTGATATAGGTACGTTGATTGCAAAAGTCTGTCCCTAAAAAAAGTATGACTGAATTAAATAAATGGTAGAGTCTATATTCGGAGAACCAACCAACACAGTCGAGATTCAGACGCTTAGCATAATCGTTTTCCTGTCTTTGAGATAAAAATGTTTGTACCCGGCACTACAATGGCGTACAACTGCTGGCTTAGCTGACTGTCTGACAGCTGCTTCCATGGCAAGGTCCCCCGGAAATTATGTTCCCTCATTCAAACAGGTAGCACTTTTACAACTCTCCTGTGAGTTTTAAACTTAGCACCGACCAGGTGCAGCAAATATTAGGATAGCGGCCAGGATGATAATTGCATGGTTATAATCTCAATAAGGACAAATAAACTGGGCAGCAATTTAAATGTAAGATCAAGAACCGCATTCATCAACCATGCGAGCAGGTCGAGTTCCATCAATCAGTCATCTGAGATGGTAGCAATCACGTGCTCAAGCTTAGAGGCTAATGACGACAGCCCAGACTCCTCCAGGGCATCTTGAAGCTAAAAACGAAAAAAAAAAAAGAATTTAAGACAATATACTGCCTGGAAGACATGTGTAAAAGGGATTGACATGCACCCACTAACATCTATCGAGAGAAGTGCGAGAGATGCCAGGGTATTAAGAAGGAAAAGAGAGGACTCTTTCCTCTTTCCTTACATCTCCTTCCATACCCCAAGTGTCGCACTGTCCTGCTTGTCTTCCGCGACTTTCATCCACAGAGCAGTACAAGGTGTAGGAGGGAGACTGGGGATGAGTAACTTCCAGGGTATTTGAACAACGCACACATCTTGGTCCGTCACGCACATAATAATATGGTGCCTACCTGATCTTGATACTTTCTGACGTAATCATAAAGCTCTGAGAGGGCTTGGTCAGAATTGAACTCCTGTCCATGGGCCTAAAATGACAAACAAAGGTTGTATTTAGCCCACAGGTCTGCTAGGGCCACATACCCATGAATATCCTGTACACCTGGCAGTTTTGGGGAGGGGCAAAAGAGGGGAGCGCCAGCAAGCGGCAAAATCGAGAGGAGAATAGGGCGGAAACAACGATCTTAATTCTCGCAGCGTCGCGCATTTGCGTGATCGCCAGATAAAACCTCCAGCTAAGTAGAAAAACTCCTGAATATAATTTGGTTATGAAAAGACCGCAAATAACAAATTAACAACTGCATCGCTTAGTGAAGGTGGGTGCCCAGGATGTTCAGGGGGTTCTACCTTTGGCACAGCCAGCCCTGAGACAGAGTTACGCCCCCATGGCTGGCAAACCAGCCACGAGCCCTCCAGCCATGAGCCCCCAGGCCAATGGCACCATGCACCTGTCACACTGATTTAATCAGTGGAAAAATAAAGGGGGGGTAGGGATGGGGGGTAAAAGAATGATCCAAAGGCTAAAAGAAGAGAATGGCCGCCAAGAAAACACTGTACTGAGCACATGGAGGTGATGCAAGCAAGGCTGATCGCGCTTGAGCCAAACGACAGACTGCTGACCACACCCGCGCTCCTTGTGGTTAACTGTGTTAAATAAATATTTATTTAACTACATTTGAACGTTTTTCACATAGCGCATTCGTCCATGGATTGGATAGCCTCTGTACAGCCTCCCCCTCCGTTCAAAAAATAAAAGCGGGAGAGGGGAGGGGTGGCTTTACACATGCCTCCAGTGATAAGCAAGTTCGTCCAACCCAAGTAAAACACGTGACATGTAAAGCGGGCTGTTGAAAACACTAACCGCTGACAGGTCATTCAGGAACTTGGATAATTCCTGTGGAGTGAGTGCGCGAGCTGCTTGTATGTCAGAATAAAACCTAGAAATAACAAAAGAAAATGGCGCCCTTTGTGATTAGACCAAAAATGTCACACCACTTTTTGACCAGAAAAAAAGTAAAAAACAACAAAGCTAAAGCCATGTGACAAGACTCAACGAAGTTCTTGCAAAATCAGATGAGTGAAAATAATATATACGCAAACTCACCTTTCAACTTCTTGACGATAACCAGGAATTTCTCGCGCATAAAGCAGCTTATTTGATGGAGAATCCTATATACACAAAGGAAATTTGGATTAAGAAAATATGCTGAAACGTTTGGCAAATCTGAACACAGTAAATTGGCACATGTCTCTTACCTTGCCAAGAACATGCTCAGACACAGAACAGGAATCCATGAACAGCTTTAAGGAAGAGAAAACACGATTAAATTTCATCTTTCTCCGTGGGAAAAACATTACTGGACAAGGGTCGTTTCACAGGAATATATTCAGTATAAACGAATAAGAAATCTAGAGGAGATATTTAGCCAAGTGGGTTTAGAACTAAAACAAGAAAGTGTGAAATTCAGGGTTTGTAGTACTGAGAAAGTAAAAAAAAATGGAGTCTTGACGGATTTTTTCATGGAACAAATGTTTTAGTTCCATGACAAGAATGTGGAAACCAAGTAAGAGAAACTGACCTGTGCCACAACAGACAAGCAAGAATCTACAATGCCTGACTTTGATACATCAAATATGAAGTTTGGATTCTTTATTATATTTATCCAGAACCTCAGTGGCAAACTGAAAATAAAAAAATAGTCATAATAATAACACTCGGATGAATTAACTGGGCAAACAGCTTCCGGTGCCAATGATCTAAGTGTACTTTGTATGCATTCCACTAAAAGAGCTATGTGGTAAAGAGGAGTGGACTTCCCTTTTTTGCACAAGTGCAGTGTATCATTCCCAAGTAGCCTGCATGGCAGGTGAAAAAAGGGGAGGGGGAGAGGGAGGGGGAGAACGCAAAGGCGAGGTAAGAGAAAGGAGGACGACAATTAGGACGAGGTAGGTGTTTGATCTGAGTAGATATTCTGGTTACCTGTTGTTTTTCCAGGTATGTAAGACTTCCGCATCTGATAGATTTAGTTCTTTGGCTTGTGTATCAAGAAGGTCAAATAGAAACTTGACCACCAGAGGCAAACTTGATCCGTGCTTATAACGCATAAACACAGTGCGAAATAAACGGTCGACAAATTTCTGTAGAGTTCCCTATAAATAAGAATACAAAACTCTCTTGAACTTCAAAAGTATCTCATGCATCAAACACAAAAGGGGAAGGTCACCGAACTGAACTATTAATAATAAGCGAGTGAACGAGGGATAATCTTCCCCAAAAAATAGTGTAGCGAGAAGCGAAGCTTCCAGAACAGCAGTAAAAGTTGGAGGGAAGCTTTTGGAACATAGGTAACAAGAGACGAAAACACACCTTTGTTTTTAAGAGTCTTGTCAAATAAATCTCCGATAAGAATTTGCTGTTGCGGTCATCCTCCGCCCTGTCGGTGGGGTAATCCATTTGTTTAACCTGAAATTAAGGCAATGGACAGTAAGAAAGTTTAGCACTACAGAGAATTCATGAATGGGATGTAAAGATACCCACCAAATGCCACAGTCTTCCACGCTCATCTGGTCCATCTGTGTTAGAAACTGCTAATGGGCTATAGCTTCCTCCTGGACTGAAGCCTACACGCAGAATATTTCTTTTGTTTAACTCTGCAGACATAGAAACAGTTGTCATCAGTTAGGTACGCAAACTTTGTTGCTTGTATAATTGACAATTTCTTTTGGCATAGTAAGCTGAAAAAAGCTTTTCTTACACCAGGAGGGGGTGGTGGTGGTGGTGGTGGTGGTGGTGGTGGGGGTGCAGATGGTGTTATCGGCAAATGGCATGAAAAAAAGACAATAAACAATACCCACAACCACACCACCGAGGTATGGCCACAGGTCACCCGTTCCTTCAAGGTTCTCACCCACCTACCCTAAACTTTCACTCATTTTTACATCCATTCAGGTTGTTGGTGTGAATTCTCTCATTACTGTATAAACAAAGGTCAGGTAGCCTTTTATTGCAAATACACAGTTATTAATCACCAACAGAGGAAATATTCTCCAACGGATTTTGCCAGAGAGTGTCCATAAACAGTTTGTGCGTATTGTGACAAAGGTGACATAATGGGGCAATTAAGTAGTATCCTCACCAGAATCTGTCGAACTGTAGAAGTACGTGTGGCCTGTTACAAGTCTAAATGAAGCATTGTCTGTAACCTAAAATTGGAAAGAGGGGTAATAAAAAATATATCGCTGACTCGTCCAAAGTTATTCTGGTACCAGCAAAAATTGTTCAGCCAAATTTTTAAACAGAAACAACTGAAATACTGTCGGTAAGAAGAAAAACAACAAACTGCCCGACCCCTTGTAGCCTAAACCCAACCCCACGCACTAATACTAATGAAAATGAAGGAAACAAACAAAGCCTATTTACTTTTACATAAAATCAGCAGGGGTGGTTGTTTTCCCTTTTCCTCTTCTGAAATATTATTCAATGTAGATTTGTCCACTACTGTTACCTAATATTTACCTTATAATGACTTAATGTGTTAATTTTTCTCCACTCTCCATCTATAACTGATTGAGAATCATCATCTCGTAAAGCCAGTACTCTTCCAGAACTCTGCTCCCATTCTACAATCAAGAAATACACTTTAAGTTTGTAACTACTGTACGTCTCCTTTACCCCACCCCTCCCTGACCAGCCAAAAATTTAGAACACCACATATAGACATATTACGGTCACTTTAGTTGCTGTATGACACCATGGAAATGCAAAATGCGTGACATCAATTGTTTCCTAACTATCATAATATTTCTTAATAACGGATGTGATACATACTACTACAATTATTTACGTAAATGTAATTTCTCACCAAGCTGAAGGGAATCTCTTTCAGGTCGGCTGGAATACATAGAGTTCTACAAACAGAGTGTTTTGCATTAGTACAATTAACACAGTAGTGGATCCAGGCAACTACTGTCATACTTTAAAATGTAGTTCACCATATCATGTCCTGGTGTTTATAGAAAGAAGGGTTCTTAATACTGCTATTTATAAAACATGCATTAATTTGAAAGACATTTCTTACTGATGTTAACCTGTGCTTAGGATTTATCTATCTTCAAACCCCTCACACAATTCTTCCCTTAACCCCTTATACAACTGCCATTTAAAGCACTCTCTTTTATTGTCAAATTCCTTCTAGTCTGTCAGGTTCTTCTAACTTCATTTTCAAATGAAACCAAACTGTCTGAGTTATTAATTCCATGGCTATTGACGCTAGGAAAGTGATATGATTGATAATGATGGCTGAATGGTTTTTAGGTACCTTGAATATGACATCTAACATCTTCTCCTTTGCTTGAGAGATGGTATCACAGTCAAGCAGAAGAACAGTCACTGGAGGATTGCTTTCATAAGTCACACTCACATTCAGCATCTGAAAATATTCACAAAAAATACTTCATCTTCACTTACAAAAAACGTTGAACTAGCTTAAACTGCAAGCACTTTTATTAATATCGATAAAAAGATCTGGCCTAGGATTGAAAGGTTAAAATCGCAAAAACCCGGAAGGAACACACTCCTCAGTGACCTATAACTGTCACACAATGGCTCTCGTAATGAACATCGCAAAACAACTTTATCATGATGATGGTATCGAGTATCGATGCAATGTAAGTACCTTGAATTCCACAGCCTGTCTTAGAAGTTTGTCTTCACTGAGCGAGTACCTGGCCTCTCCTGTAACAGCATCTACCGGGCCTTTCTCAGTTTGTTGTTTTACGGCTTTGAATAACATAAATAACGCTTCACCAGCATCATTCTAAAAAAGATAGAAGACATGTGTAACCTGTTGTAAAATGAGAAGATGATCCCCTCTTCTTCCCTTCTAAAGTGTAGTCCTTAAATTAACCGGCAAAAGGCATTATTGCTCCTCTGAGTCAAGCCTTGATAGTATTCAAACTTTCCCCACTAGGTGTTTAAGATGATCATCATCCTTGGGAGACCCACGGGCAGTTAGTCGGGTCGATAAAATGTTCGTGGTGAAAGTTTACTGTAAGAGCTCGTCTCGATCTTACAGTAAACTTTCACCACGAACATTTTATCGACCCGACTAACTGCCCCTGGGTCTCCGAGGATGGATGATCATATGAAATATGGTTCTAACTTGAGTCTGTTCTTCTAAACTTCGTGAATAATTTAACAGCCGTGAATATCTGATGGAAAACAGTTTGTAGCACTATGAATTTCTTTTTCAAACTCTTTTTGGTTGAGAAGTTACATCAAACACTAGAAACAGTGCTCCTTCAAAATATTTAATATCTTAAAGATACTCCGCAGCATGTCGTATTTCAATTCTCCATGTTTGATAAGTCAAGACACACTGTGTTTGATGTGTTACATGAAATCCTTACGTGTGATTCTTCACTTCTAAGCTGGAGTTGTTTACGTTACTGTTTGAGAAAAGAAGTTTCACTTCCCCTTTTGAATCATGTTGGGAAATTTTACGACGTCCCAGGATTTACTTACTTACTTAACTGCATCCGAGAAAATCGGTGACATGACGAAATTCTTCCTCTAACTCACTCTGCCCAACATAACAGTTTGGCTTTACTCACCTTTAGAAAATTGTACATACAGAATGCCAGCCAGTTGGTGAGCATTTTTTCGGCAACAGACTCTGTTCTGTAGGAGAAAATATGGCACAAAACTATTAGCATTTCATGTGGTTTCATCAATGTTACGTCTACTAGTAGCACGACTAACCTTCGTAGCAAAAGCTTTGGGTGACTTTTTGCTACTGACTTGCGTATTAGCTCACAAAGCAAGTCCTTTAATATTCTGAAAAACAAAGAATACACTTCAGTTAACATTATAGCAACATAATCTGTTTTCCATAAATCTATTAACTGTTCCTACGATTCTTATCAAGTACAAGGAACTATTTACTCTGAGGGAGAATTACTTACTCTGTAGCATATTCCATTTTGGCTTGAAAAGCAACCATCAAAAGAGACGCAACATTGCACCTGTAACAAGAAACATTCTCATAAGATGAGTAAATTCCTCTGCGCCTTACGAGAAAGCCATACACAGTGAGAGCCTTAAACCTCCCCGTTAAGGAAGAATATCAGATCACGATTTCACTGAAAATATACATTCTAACTATTTCTGTTTTTCCTTCGAACAGTAACTTTTATTATAGGCCGAACAAACGTTATTCTAATAGAGGTAAAATGGCATCATAAGGTCTCTGAGTTCCCTTGATGCCGATTAACTTTATAACCAACCTGTCTTTCATTTGAAATGTATTTTGTGCTTCCAAGGTGCGAATAAAGACCAAAAGGAACTTCTTATTGTGGAGCAATTGCGAAAACTGCCGTAGACCAGTCTCCCAGTTCTCTGTGAGCATCAGCTAACAAAAGAAAAATAAGCCCAATAATTAGTCACAATCCAGCTAATTTTCTGAATTTCCCAGTTCTGCATCAGTTATTACCTTGCTCTTGTGTAAAACAGGGTGATCGTCCAAACCTGGAAACAGCACATGCAAAGCGTACGTCTGGAAATCTAAGAATGGCATTCCAGAAATTGACAGGTCGCTGGTCAAATCTGTTACATCGGTCTGCAGTTCAGCAAAAGCTAAAAAATAACCAGGACTTGATTTAAATGATTTGGCCACTAATTAGTCTTGTAGTAAGTACCTTATTATGCTAAGCCGATTCTATGAAGTGAATATCTAAAACAAGGTTGGCTTTATTACAGACATTAAGAAAGAGAAAGTTACAACATGGTTACAATTGGGCCTTGTCCGTGAATGATTAAGAAAGTGGCGCAAAAATTCATCACCAATCAAAATACCTTCTCGGCATTCACGAGCGACCTTGGACTCTAGGTTGTTCATCTGAACTTCAAGACTCTTAAAGTCTTTCTTCTGTTTTCGACGACTGCGCCGACACCAGCAAAGAATAATGATGACTAAAATGATAAGAAAGAGAGCACCACCTCCCACGCCAATCCAAACGTAAAGTGGTATATCTTTGGACACGGGTTTAAAATACTGCAGCTTGCCAACAGGAAAGCGCAAGTTACGACCAATTTCAACCTGTAAAAAGAGAAACGTTTATTTTTCATACGTGTTAGTACTGAATAACCACAGGAATTGGGGCTCCTCTGATCATTCGCATCCAAGTGCATGAGTAGTTGAACTCAAACAGACTGAGGCACAATTGTATGTATTCCTTGCTTTGTTGAAATTATTTATTACTAACAAGAGTGGCATGCAGTTTTTTAATTATTTAGGAATTCGCTTGAAAAGAAAACTATCAAACCTTAACAGCATAGAGTCCATCAGGAGGGTTTGAACTGTGACTTTCTTCAGTCGGTGCCAAACAAACCAACTGCTCCTAAAAAACAATCACCAAACAATTAAATGGAAGAAACTGCTCGTCTTGATAAAGCAGTTCTCAATTTAGAAGCTCAGCCGTGTTCATGCAGTTAATGAGATTTACAATCGTACCTTATCAACACTGGTTATCTTGCATGACTGTTTTCCAACGGTAACAACTATCTGTGATTTCAATGCATTTTCTAAATTTTTGGCCTGAGGATAAAACATATTTTACAGTCAATTTGAGAACAATGAGGAGAAAAGCGACATTGGATTTCTAATTTAATCCCAGCATTGTATGCATGTGATTTGAAAGACTTGTTTAAAAAGTTGGGTCTGAAGAAAATTAGCCATCTCCCAGAGGCCAAAAACCTTCCACAACCCATAATGAGGACAAGCAATAAAGTTCTAAGGGGTCACATTTCAAATGACACCTCTTTCCGAGCTGGAAATAATAGCTGGTTGCTGGACATTGTTCAACTAAAATTGACCCATGTCTTGACTGTGATTGGAAAAGATGTCTGGACAAAATTAATATCAAAGACCATTAAAATCCACCTTTAGCACATGTGAATTCTTGTACCAACAAATTAACATTACTGGAAGAATATACAGCAGCAATCATTCTTCCTGCAAATCCTGCATCTACCAGGCACAAAGTTTTGTTTACCACACGGTATGCATCAGTCTCTGGGCATCACCCATCACTATTATATGTTGTCCAGTCAAATTAGAGACATATTTACTTAAAAGAAAGAAAAGTGATTCGTAAAAGCTGTCTTTGGCAGGACATTCTTTTCATGCATTTGAATAAAACCAATTTTTTTTATATACATGTGGATTTGAAAACAGGATTTAACCAAGCAATAAAATCTGACTTAATACCTCCAGTATAAGGTTGCCTTCCTTCAATTCATATACATCCTCAAAAGGTATGAACTTAGGATCTGGAATCATTGTGACAGTTGTTAAGTTTGACTGTATTTTTACAGCATCCAAGATGAATGCAGCCACTACTTGCGAAACATTTCCTGTAAGATCTGGCACTTCTGGAGAGTGACATATCATTGATGAACTGCTCTCTGGTTTTTTACAGTCCTGAAACAGCATTTTCAAGAATATACTTCTTATAAAGCAAATGTTGACTGATAAAGACATTCAAAAACATTCCACTTAGGTGTAGAAGGGTAACTTTCCACTGGATAAGGGTAACAAAATAAGTGGAAATTGTTTTTCTCACAAACCACTGGGGGCCCGGGCATAGGTCATGTGACCGAAAGGCAGGCAATTGCTTTTGTTGCGTCTGCCATTACTGACCTTCCCACCCACCCACCCTAAGATTCCAGTTTTGTAAACTGTTTAAATGTTATGTGCAGCTTAGTAATTTTGTTACTGTCCCACCTAGTTTCTAAGGGGTATGTTATGTGTACATTACTCCAAATTCATAAAATTTTTTTATGAATTTGGAGTAAAGGTCAGGCCGGCTGCAGCGGTCGGCTTGGCATGGCTACAAGTAGAGTGTGAGAAAAGGAGGTCAGAGAAGGACTATGAAATGGAAATGCTGGAAGCAAGAAAGATTCACTCAAGACTCTCAGTGAATGATAGAGAGGAAACAGCAAAGATCAGTTAGACCTGGTATATAGCTGCTGTTTGTATAAAATGGAAAAAAGGAGGGTTTGATTTTTGCCACTCCCTCAAGTCCAGTCAGGAGCGTGCAAATAAGCAGTTTAAAAGCATCACACAGTAATAACATACCGTAAAATTCTGAAAATAAGCCCCGCGGTCTATATTTTTCAAAGGCCCTTTTTGAGGGGGTTATTTTTGGAGGGGCTTATATTCGGAGGAGCTTCTCTATGGAGGGAAATTTGCGTTTACAAATCGATTGGACTAGCCTTATAGCTCTGCTTTGTTTTACTTTGTATTTGAGGGCAATTTTCCAAGTACAAGCCCCCGGGGGGCTTATATTTAGAGGGTTTTTCAGTCACCAGTTTGGGGGGCTTATACATGGAGGGGCTTATTTTCAGAGTTTTATGGTATGTATCAAATTAATTTGCTTCATATCTACCGCGAAACTAATAGCATTTCTTCTGAAAATAAATTCCACGATAATGTTTAAACAGTCTCATCGAAAATGAATTTCAAAAAAATAGCGAAATGACCAAAATCTTTATAAAAGGAAACAAAATTAATAATAAAGACTGAAAAAAGAAAGCAACATGGGATAATATAAGACAGATCAGGACCTTACCTGGATGTCAGTATCAACAACTGTGCCATTTTTCAAAGTATATTTGAAGAATATCTTGGGGTTTTGTATAGAATCCAAATCGGTTCCAGTCACGCTTAACTCAAGGCCCCCACTAAAAAGCAAAATTTTTCAGCAAAGGAGTTGGACATAAAGTCAAAGGAGAAGGGATAGTTTCTGTAAGTTACATAGGTTACCAGTAATTAAACAACTGTCAGTTTGACTTTAACATTTTGTTTTGTTCTGTGACTAACACCACTAGTTCACACCCATACCCAGCACAAATCACAAAATTATGACAACAAACTTTCATGCAATGGTTATTCCTTCCCAGGCTTGTTATTGGTTCCCTTTCAAAAAGTTGAAGCTGAAAAAATTCCTTGAGCATACAAGTTCAAAAAATCTCAAACCCTGGATGATAATTAAGCCATGATCATTATTTCAAACTTTCTCTCTCTTCTCCCCATTTCAAATAAAGTGTTGCAATCGTAGCTACTTGAACATTATCATTACCTCTTTATGCACCTTTTTGCTATATGATATTGACTCAAAGTCCCATAATTATCGTTAAACTGAGTACTAAATGTTTCACAATGTAACTCACCCATAGTATAGTTTGTCCGGCTTGATAGCAGTGATTGTAGGATCTGCTGTAAATATAAAACTTCCACTGGGTCCAGCAGGGCTAAAGCCATCAAAAGTGATAATCACCTTTGTGCTGTTATTTAAAGATCTTCTTCTTCTGTTTAAAGCAGGACTGATGATACATGGAACATTCGTATTTGTGACCCTGAGAAAAATCCGAGCCAAAGGTAAATGGTAATAGTGAAAACATGAAAAAATGGCAGTAGGCTTTTTACACACAACAAATAGTACAACAATAAACATAGACACTAACTTGTTCCTGTCCACCAAACATTGTCGCCCAGCAACTTGAACGGTGATGTATCTTCCTGTATTCATATTGTTTCCTGTTATGTTGACATTTGTTCCTCCAGATCTTGGACCTTTCTTTGGATTGAACTCCCGTGGATCAGGGTCCTGAAAATGAGTGAAAATTTTCCTTTTTTAAAAACATTGTCATCTGATAAAGACAGGAAACAAAAAACCCAAGATTTTTAAAGGAAAGCACTAAGTAATGTGACAGATCCAATCAAATATGTTTTGAGCAGACACAGAAGTAGTCAGTTAGGTCAAGCAGGACTCAGGTTAAATCAAAGTTTAAAAGTTGTGTCTTTCACAGCTCCAAGCAAGTCTTTGCTTCATACCTATATTTATTAATTCATAACTATATTCATTTACCTATATTTATAAATGATATGTCATGTTATGTTTTACTCACCGTGTAGTAAATAAACTGACCTGGTAATAAAACTGTTGTGCTGACTGTCCCGAGAGCTTATTAACTGTGACTTCTACTGGTCCACTCACAGGGCCGCTTGTGCTAGCTGATGTATTACAAAAGATCCTGCCAAACACACAGACACCAAAACTGTCCTTTAAAGAAACTGATAACTGATGTCAAGTGATGTAAACAAGGATGTTTGTTAGTCAACAGCACTGTCTTTTATAATTCAATGATAGATCATTGATAAAAATTTTATGATGAGCAACATGAGCACAACACAGGCCAGTTGCTAAGATTTTAGGTGGCCAGGTATATGCAATTGTAAGGCCTGGAATTGTACAGCTAGAAACTTCAATTAGTACCATAATTTTGTTTCCTACGAAAATAGTCAGGGGACAAGTTCATAGAAGCTGTGGGAGCCCTTAATAACATGAACAAAATGCGATGTATTTCCATAGACAATAAAACATTTGCAGTTTTTCTATGAGGTTGAAGGTTAGAAGAGGTACATTGCAAATAAAACAGCTTTGAGACAAGTTTTCAGTTTAAAGAGGCATAACAGTACTAATGATCAGCAGTATTAACTAACCTTCTAGATGGCAGATATTTTTTGGGATTAACAAAACATGGATAACCTGCTACTGAAACAGTATTGGCAATATCACGAAATGATTTTCCAAGATCAGAACCGTGAATTTCAACTTCTGTTCCACCACGTAAAGGACCAGCCAGAGGCCAAACCTAAAATATTGTTACTGCACATTAGATCATAGGTCCAACCAGCATGGCTACCCCAAGGTAAACATGACGTAAGTTTTAAATATCAACATCATAAATTATTATGCTTTTCACTGGACTTATAACAGTCCCCAATGTTCCAGTTCGACTGTACAATCAGACAACTTTATTTCAAATGTGCAAAGGAGGTAAATAATAGAATGTGTAGCACCAGGGAGGCAGCCAAAACATGAACACAAGGGGGCACCTGGGAGAGAGCCAAAAAATGAGTACAAGGGGGCACCAGTGAGGCAGCCAAAAACCAGCACAAGGGGACACCAGGGAGGGAGCGAAAACATGAACACAAGGGAGGCCTGTCTATCCCAATGCTTAACCACTATACACCACAACGCACATCCCTTTGGTAAGTTGTAGTAAGAGCTTAATCAAAACGGTCATAGTGGAAAATAAGTGACATGAACAGCAAAGCTTTTCACAACATAATGTTTGTTTTGTTTCCTTGCTAAATAAAATTAGTTCATACAATAATACACAGTCACAGGACTTAAAAGTATTCAAAAGGTATTTCCACAATATTGACTGGTTGTTCATATTAATAAGGACATTGCACTTTTCCCATTATGGCAGTGATTAAAATACCACTTTGTTTCCTTAGAATCTAACAATGGCTACAAATTTATTTTTTATTTTTTTAGTCATAAATAATAATAAATTTCTGGCATTCACAGTCAAATACCTTTGTAATGTTGGGTTTAGTGTCACAATTTGATGTAAAAGGAAACCACCTGCCTCCTTCAATACAAGCCTCTTGAACAACACACTTGTTGGTGACTGCTTTACACCAACCACACTTTAGATACGGTTCAGCAGCTGAGTCATAATGGCAGGTACTACAGTCTGTTCGAGACACCCAGCACTTGTACAAATACACTGTAATAAAAAATAATCAACATGACTGCAAATACTCAAAGATAAAACAATGATTAAAAAATTGCACAGCGGCAGCCAGGATAGATCATATCAAAATATATATCAAGAGATGTTCTTTGGCTGAAAAGTTTTTAAAAAAAATGACCTTTCAAATGGCTGTCCTGTGGTTTTCCAGCAGGCAAAATTATTTCAAAACAAAAAATTCTAAGATATAATGTGATAAACAACAGAAAAATGAGTACATAAGAATTTTTGGTCAAAAGAATGCTTTTTTGTCTTGGGAAAAGCCGAGGGTTGATTAATAATATCAATAATTTGTCCATGCAATTATCACGTTAGAAAGTTTCTGGAATCCTACAAGCACCATGATTACTCCTGATGTGGAGTGTCACTATTCTAGCTGGTAGTAACAGACAATGCATGTGGCCATAACACAGGTAACTTAATGGGGTACATGAAAACCAGGCTTTAGTCTTGGTCGTTGCATTAACTTTAGTATGTGCTTCTATACTACCTGAGTCACTTTGACTCTGAAGACGACTACTCAAACAACAAACCTTGAAAGGTACTGGGTACAAAAAGCTGATCCGAATTCCTGAATGTAACAGTAAGCTTCACAGTTTGTTTCTTCATATCTGCGTTGTATGAATACTGGATGACAAAGAATTAGACAAGTTGACAGGGTAAGTTGCTAACATTACACATCCTTTGTAACTTTATTACTGTAGAGTGAGTCAGCTACTATATCTTTGCTCACCTCTAAGTAATGTGGTAAATGCTTTCAACACAAGAGGGGAGGTGGAATCAAAATCTAATATTGCTAACAAATTAACACACTTTTTGACAAGTATACCTTAGTGGGGGAACACACTAACTGTGTGTCACTGACTCGAACTGCGCCTGCTGGTTGTTTCTTTCCATCAACTTCTACAGTGCACTTGTAAGAAGCACCAGACTAATAAAATTAAAAACAGCAGATTATAATTATATCAGTCACATATTGCTGGCAGAGCTCAATGAAAATTTTCTACATAAACAATGCACTTATTATCCAAATATCAACGAGGACATCTTAACATCCCAACTGATAACAAGAACAAAAGTTTGAATTTATTAGAGGTGAAGCCACTTACAAACCAATGAAGAACTACTCAAAAGACCAAAGGGAATCTTACAACAAATTCAGTTGACATGGAAGTTAAAAAACATCAAAGGCATTTGGTCAAAAGAACCACACAACTTTTTCTTGACACTAAAAAAAATACCTTTGTGGCAGGAAGATCATATGCAGGAAGTGTGATGTTTGTGTTTATTCCAACTGGGATATGTAATGTTGTATGGCTCTTTAATCTCGGACAGCCCTTAGAGCCAGCAGTGCGATCCTGTCAATATAAAAATCACTAATAATCACTTGTAAATTATACTAAATGCAACTGCATAAAATCAACTCTCTTTCTTGCAGAAATTTCAAGAAAAAATTTATAAAATTTGTAATTTTTAAAGGGATAGGCAATTTACTGGAAAAAATTTTGACTGTCCTGTATAAATGCATTATAATTATTATTGCTCTACGATGCTGACAAACATTGATCTCAACACTGACTGCAAAATATATTAGGTTTAATAATTAAACAATAATGAATAATTAGTTCATGTACCATATATTATAAGTTATTATTCCTAGTGAGCAAAAATTAACACTAAATCCTTGTAAACAGAACCTCTATTAAGAGGCCAACCTTAATTAACCAGCAGTGTGCAAAGAAAGTTGTGTCTGATGGCCCAGGGCTGGTGGATTTTACTATCAGGCTGGTGATTTTTGTTCTCAACTTGCCTGATGGGCAAGTGCTGTTTTTTTGGGGAAATTCAAATTACAGAAGGATTGTAATCAATCCTGCTAATCAAAAAAGGTTTTGGGGCTAGTTGAAATGACTTGTAGGCTAGTACATGCTATAAGCTACAACTTGCCCAAATGGCAGGTTGTAAAACTGATTTTCTTTGCACCCTGACCAGCCACTGCTCCTTTCTCTTGGGGTAAACCACTTAATAGAGCTTCAACTGCACAAAACATCTTGCCACAGACCTGTATGGGTGGGATAAACTCTCCTGGACATTCAGTATTTACATCATTAGTACATATCCCACGATAAGTACACCAATTACATCTGTAACCTGCTTCTGCACAGTTTTGACACCTAAAAGCAAAATGACATAGCACATCTTTAGTGACAATTTGAACATGCAGGGCTGTTGTGGCTATAAAGGTGAGGTGGACAGTAGCTTGTAAACAGGCTCTCTGTTTGGGGAAAGCTAGGATGAAAAAATTGCAAGGACAGGGAAGGAAAAGGGTGAGAGCCTGTAGACAAACATTTGGGACCGTCGTTCCATGGAACCAGCTGTGCATCAGACCCTGAAGCAAGCTCCTTTTGGCGAGAACACTGACTGTTGACAGGTTTGATTTACATTGCTTTTTTGGCTGCATGGCATGATCTTAAACATGGCATCTTCTGGTGCTTGACTGATGAGCTTTTTTAGCCACAATGAATGTTCTTGCATCAGAGGGCAAATCACGCGAACCAGAAAAAATAACCGAAGAAAATCAATATGCCTGTCACAACCACTCAGTATGAAACAAGTGGCAAAAGTCACATTTTCTCAGTTAAAACTAAACCCTCCAGAGCATATTCTACCCGCCAGAGAAAAAAACTCATTGGAAAAAGCAGCATTTTTAAATAAAGGATATTCATATATTCATTCATTCATTCATTCATTCATTCATTCACTCCACCCTTAAACTGATGTCCAGTCTTCATTGCTGCTGGTCAGTAGAACCCCATTGCTCCACCCTCATTTTATACAACAGAAGCTGACATCTGCACCTCACATAAGTAAAACATCATCATGAGACTACAATGACGATGTAGGTTAAAGAAAGAAAGAGGGAAGAAATCAAAACTGGAATGTACTCTGGTATTATTTCAAACTCACCCTTTGATTGCAGAACAACTATAAAATCCTACTTTTTTGCTCACAAAAACCTTCTTTGACTCAGTAGAATAAAGACCAAGATCGACATAAACATCACCTGAAAAACAATTCAAGATCATTCACCTAATGAGTCAGCCACTTACATTCGCATAAGAGGACAAAAACTGCTATTTCTTTGCCTAATAATAATAATGTAACTTAATCATTAAAATGGGGTGATGGATGGAAGACTGGAAATCAACAGAGTGTGTTGTAGTTAATTTTTCATCTCACTTAATTATTATTTTTCCATTGTTTTGGGGTATGATAATGTATGCTGATGAATACAAATTTTAATTGATATAATAAAATTAACTGCAACATGTGCACCATGCCAGTAAAATATTTAAACCTGACAAATCAGGATGGGATAAATATAGGAGCTTTTAAAAGGGATACTGCATTGCACTGTTAAGTAATAATATTTACACTTCCTCATCGCTGGACATGAGAATGAGTGCTAATATTTACTACAATTTCAATATTACAGAGGCTATAAACAACTGAAAATGTCCCACTGTCTTAACAGTCCCTTTGATTAGGGAGAAGGGGATCTAGAGCCACTAATAATTATTAACCCTCATCCCTTGAGAGGTAGAAGAGGCTGCAGCTTACTGATAAGTACACTGACCTGTTTCACTTGTGATCGTAGGCAGCTGATCGCTTGGTGGAGTCTCACAGGCCAGTCGACCATCACGTAATTTATGAGTTGGTCTTTCCTTTCCATGTATATAACACTTATAGCTGTCATTCTCTTGCCAGGGCAGATTAGTTACATTCAGTGTTATCTATAAAAAGGACAATAACAAACGCCAGTCAAGTAAAACTGCTGGAAAATAAGAAATTTTGTTACATATTTTTGAAACTAAATGTTAATGGTGACAGCAAAACGTTATGAGTAGAAAACTTTCTTCTTCATGGTCCACAAGTGAGCTACCTTTCCGACGCCTAACATGACAAAAACAGTTCAGCTATTTGGCAGTTGGCAATCTCCAAACAATGCACATCTTTTAAACAACATGAAAAAACACAGCATCAGAATAGTTGTCACAGTTCTATTAGACCTGTCACAAATAAAAGTTTGGGTCCGTAATTTATTATTGAAACAGCCAGGGAGCTAAAAATTGACATGACTTTGTATCTTTGATATAGCTGCCCCCTTCAAACTAACGTTTGCAATGGACCTCCTATACTATTGCTATCATTTTCTAATATAAGAAAAAAAGAAAGTTCAGTTACATACCCTGGTTACATACTTCGTTTTTATTTGCAAACAAACTCTAAATAAATGCCATATGTTTCTTTGAGAAATTGTAAGAAAAAGGCAAGAAAGACTGTAGTAATCGTATCATCACAGCCATCTTAAATTGTTACAGCTAAAAGAATTGTCTGAATCTCGGTAAGATCACGGCCTGAACTTACATTAACATTTGCTCCAAGAGGGATCTTGTCAGGCTTAATTGATGCAATCTGCAGACATTTAGACAAACTTGTCACAAACCGTAATGGATGATCATCAGCTTTAGAGCATTCTTCCTTTTGGGTGCAGCTGAAATATTATGCCACAAAGAACAAATTAATGAGGAATACCATTGGTGCACATAAGAAGAATCTCATAGACAAGTAAAAAGGCACATTTGGCCACCAACAAGCCAGCTGTTAGAAGGGTAGGTGATTGTAAGTCTTGTTAAATACAACAATGCACCACATCCATTTAGGACCACTCATCTGTGGCCACTTGTGCTTGTTTTGAAAAGCTTACATTGCTTAGTTAATGTTGTTTGACTGACTGGTTCTCTAGAACTGGCTGCATTTTCATATACAGTGTATAGCAACAGTGCTCCTTTGAGTGATTTTTTGAAAGTAGGCATCTTGGTGAATGTAGCTCAACCTCACATGCACAGTTTTATGATAAAAAATAAAGCTGGGACCAAAATATCTGAAAGGTCGCTCACCATACATCAATACAATTTGAACAGAAAATTGAAATAAACAATAAAAACTTCACAAGTCATCACTATAAACTGAATGTTCTTTACTAACTTCCCACACTCAGAATTGTCATAATAAAATTGAACTCCAATATCTCATTTAGCGGTTCTTTGGGTTTCTACTTTGCATTTTGTCCTTCAAGGAACAAAGCTCTTGTATCAAATGTGAGGTTTAACAGTGCATATAACGCTTTAATACAAGAGTGTTACTGTTACAAAAATTCGAAGACATATTATGCTTTACCTCTTAAATAAAGTACACCAACCACAGAATGGATCACCAGGTCTGACACAGTCTCCACAGGATGAAAAGGAACTGCATTCTTCAACTGGTATCTTTGTCACCTTATGGCAAAAAAAAGTGGCATTAAAAACCATCCATTATAATAATTTATTATTATTTATTCAAAATATTTCTACATTTCTAATTGGATCAAATCCTGCAGTTTATTCTTACACATTACTAGCTAGAATTGACCAAATTTGGAAGCAGTTTGTGATGTATGGATAATAACTTCAATACTACAGCATGACTGCCAGAAAATTGGACTGAAATCTGAGATGAGATGCATTTTTTTGGTAGAGTAGTACAATTTAATGACAGAACATTTCATGCATTTTGTGAAGAAAAAATAGGTGAACTAATGCCTAAAAATATAGCAAGAGCAGCAAGAATACAACTTGATGGACAACAACTGCTATTTGGAGAATAACTGCAGAACCAAACATCCCTTAATCTCCTGAACTTACCAAGAAACAGGCAATTGAAGACGGGAAAATTAACATTGATTGAGGCAGCCATGTTTTAGCTTGCTTTTCAACAAGGAATAAATTTTGAATGATTAACGAAATAATTATAGGATTTGGTTTTGATATGATGAGAAGAATTGGAGGTCTTAAAGATCTCATTCAATAATTGTTATACCAGCCATTATAAAAAATATTAATATTAACAATTATTAATAGATTATGGATTAGCAGTATCAGCCTCTTACAAAGGAAAGTATTTTGAACATACCTTGTGTTTGCTCAGAACAACCAAGTACTTTTTATCACTTGTGAACTTCATCTGCCGAACTTCATCAGAGCTTATGTTCAAAACAGTGTATGGTTTCACCTTGTTTTTGCCATCTCCTACTGATACCTAAAACACACAATGCTGTATAAAAATTATTGATTTAAAATATTGAGGGTACCGTAAAATTCCGAAAATAAGCCCCTCCATGTATAAGCCCCTCCAAATAAAAGCCCCCCCAAACCAGTAACACAAAAAACCCTCCGTTAAATCGCCCCTCCAATATAAGCCCCCCAGGGGCTTGTACCTGGAAAATTGCCCTAAATTTCAAAGTAAAAAAAAGCAAAAACGGTAAATTTACTTCCAACTATAAGGCTAGCCTAATCGATTTTGAAACGCAAATTTCCGTCCATAGATAAGCCCCTCCGAATATAGGCCCCTCCAAAAATAAGCCCCTCAAAAAGGGCCTTTGAAAAATGTATGCCCCGGGGCTTATTTTTGGAATTTTACGGTATTTTGCAAGAAATTCAGATTTTTCCTCCTGGGCTGAGTTATTCAAGGCTTCCAACTATTGCAGGCAACAATAATCCCAGGTTGACTACAAAAAGAGCATCTGTTATCAATGTAACTCTCCTTGGATTTGCAGTAATAGTCACAAATGAGCCCTGGAGTCAAAAATGGAGACATTTATTTATATAGGTGTTAGTAACAGTCACACCAGGTCAAGCATACCCCCATCATTACAGAATTGATGAATCAGTTATTAGAAAAATGATCCATTAATCCTTGCCGTAACCGGTAGCAAATTCAAATCTGTATTCCTGCATGTGTACAGTAATGAAATTTTCACCATAACTTCTCTGTGATTGGATAGAAGGGGGTATCTTGCGTGCTTGTATTTTGCAAGAAAAAGAAGATTCAAATACAGATTAATATGGACCACAAAACAGATCCTCAGGTTGCATGTTCAAGTAAAGAGAAACTAGATTTGATCGAAGCATACAGAGCTACATACTTTGTCTCAGCAAACAAACAGCAGTTGCAAGACATGATGGAAACCTACTTGGAGGACTTATAATCAGCAAACTAAATTAATATACATGTACCTTGAGCAGCTGGCCTTGACTTGTACCAATAAACAACACTGTGTGATTGAAGTAAGGCATAGCAGCTACAGCAGCAGTCGATAGTATTTCCTGATCATATTCTACTATGGCATTTTTTGCTGCAGATAGTTTAATTGAACGATATTTAACATATTCGAATGCTAAGATTGAAACAGGACAGAAGTTAGGAAGGATTGTTGGAGAACTTGAACCCTGTCAACAATAAAAGACAAAATGATTATTCATGATTGTGTTACATGATTGAGCTACACGCACTTGCAAGTAAATTACACAAGTTAAACCAGACTTTCTTTGTCTCAGAAGAAAAAAACTCATGGTTGATGAGTGTATTAAATATTACCTTCGAAGCACACTTCTTATCATCACCAAGCCAGGGTAATCCATATTTCTGTGTTGAATACGAGCCATCTGCACATTTCTTCTGGTCAGCAGCCAGCTTTTCGTTTATCTCTTTGACTGGATAAAAACAAACACCTGACTTTGAAGCAAGATCATCCCAGCCTCCATTAGTCTGGACAAATGTTACGACTAACACTTCATCTGAAGCTTGAATTCCAGAAGACTTAGCAAAAAAGTTTCCAGGTTTTGTTAGGTAGGCGGATGTTCCTATATTAAAATTTGTTCCATTAGTTCCTTTGCACTCCAGTGGTAACTCTAAATATGAAATGTAATTCTTGTCTTGCTGGCATATACGAGTTATGAAAGTACTGAAAACTTTTGGGTTCTTGTCTCGGTTGTAAGACTCCCTTGTCTCTTGTACAGAAACAAAGTAGGTAAAGTCACCCAATGTAAATCCATAAACATAATTCACTAAATAATTTAAGTTCTTAAATTGTAGAAAGGAACTTCCATCAAAAGGTGAATTAGCAGAAACTGCAAAAATATTGGAGCCATCAATGTTCCGAGTTGATACAGAAGGTTTTAGATTAATTAAAACATTTAAAATTTTTGATCCATATCTTTTTCCATCCCATGACGTTGCAACATACAAAGCACGTTTCCCATCCCATCTTGGACCAATAACGGCAACTGAAGGTAGCTCAGAATTTGACACCACATATTCATATTTGTTTGAAATTTCCACTGACAGTGTTTCTAGATTTCTTCCTTGACAAACTCCATGTGTAAGACTCCCACAAGTGATGAGCTTTTTATTTCCAGTGTCTATCAGTAGAATTTTATTTCTGTTGTCAGTATTTTCCTGAGGACAAACTGGTTGTGATTCGAGACATTCTTTATAATCCAGTAAAGGACCAGTGGTGATTCTCTTCAGTTCATTTAAGGTTGATGAAGCTTTCAACAGCAGATTTTTGCCTCCAATGAAAATGATGTTTGTTTCATTGTCAATGTCGATGTTATAGAGTTCTTCACTCAATTGTAACTCTGGATAATAGCCATAACTTGGACAGAACAAAGACAAAAGGATAAGAATGATCATTTTTTGTACGTGCATCATGGTAGTAGCCTAGTGGTACACTGCTCATACCACAATAACGCTTTATGTTAACAGGAGCAACCTGACAGGGAAAATAAAAAAAACAATAGTTATTGAATCACCCAATGAACATTCTCAGCACTGTAATAATTTGAAGGATTGGACACTGGCGTAAGGACATTGCCAAAGAAGAGGCAGCTGAGTTCAGACTGAAGAACATTAAGTTCACTTCACCCACGCCATCAAGTGCATTTCTTTTTTGTCTGCGCAGTTAAGTAAAGGTGGGTGCCCAGGATGTCCAATGGCTTTCACTTTTGACAAAGCCAGCCTGTGGATAGAGTTATGCCCCCATGGCTTGTAAAACTGCACCTTCCAGCCATGAGCCCCCAAGCCAAAAGAAACAGCACCCATCACACTGATTAATCAGTAGAAAAAAAGGGGTCATTGCGGTAAATGCATCACTAAAAGGCTGAACAAGGAAGGAAACCCGGACACCAGAAAATGCTGTACTAGACACATAGACCTGATGCAAACAAGACTGATAGTGCTCAAGGCTGTGCTCTAGCAGTGCCCTGTGGCCCCTGGCGTCTAACTTTTGTAACTAGAAAACTAAAAAATCGTCTAGTTTTTTTGTATAGAAATCATATGTAGGCACCCTGGATTTCACAGGTTCAATACATTGGACTCCCTCCAATTTTTCTACGAGCACAGCCTTAACGCTTGAGCTGAACTGACCGAGACCAGCAACAACACTAACTCTGGGAGTGTACCTTATGAATATTTGTCTTGCAATGTGCTGCAATGTATCAGTTTTACCTTAATGATACCCCATACCTTATCCCAGAATAAACTATTTAAAAACACTATCCAACACAGTGACATGTAGCTGGGAAATTTGTAAAATCCATTCTCAGAATTCAACCCTGCTTGCTTCAGAATTTTCTTTTTTTCTACGCCTAATTATTAATAGGAGACAGAGAAAATTCTTATTTAAGCTGAGAGCACATTGTACATAGATGGATACACAATGGCCCATTTTTAGCTCATGGATGACGTAGTCATGCCATGGGCTTTTGGAGGCACTTGAATGGCACTCGATCACTCACTCACTCACTCACTCGATTCTCATTAATTTATTCATTAAAGTCAGCTTAAACACTTAACTCTTCCCTCCCTTACTTGGTATTACTTTTGTTCCAAGTGCCTTAGGCATATGTTTGAAATATTCTAGAGGGTACTAGTAAGGTTCATTTTTTTTTCCCGACACATCAGTTATAGAGATGGGTTTTGTATAAATGGAAATATTCTAAAGAATACTAATAATATCATCCGCAAGAAATGGACTTAGAATTGTTAAAACGTATTTTAGTATTTAAGCGGCAGATATAGGCATATTTTTATCCCCTAACAATTTTTCATCTGTTCGGATTTCCTAGCTGAAAGTCTAGTGTTCCGAAAATTATAGGGATCAAAACTTACCTTTTTGAAAATTTCAGCCAGAAAAAAAGGCTCCCGAAAACTCTAGGTGCCCTTTTAAGGGTAAAATCCGTTAAAAATGGGCAATTACACCATTCAGATGTTCGAAAATCTTAGGAGAAGCAGCATGTTCCGAAAATTCTAGATCTCAAATCGTCTTCCAAACAGATATTTTCCGAAAACTGACGTTGGGTGCCCCTGTATTTTGGCAAGTCCATACACAATGAACCGTCCAAAAAGATTTATATGTTTTTCTTTGATTATTGAACTGTCTTTTCTACACTAATTCAATTCATCCATGAGCTCGCTCCTAGGAGCCTTTGATTCTTGTTATGGTCTGTTTACCTCTCTCTCCAGGTGGAGAAATATGAAACTTTACAGCAAAATAATATGAGAGACAGCTTTTTCAATACAATTTCTTTGCACTGTCCATCTTATTTTGGCATCAAGACAAAATTACACTAATTATGTACTGAGCTAAAAGTTGTATGTGTAAGTGACTTAAGTAACAAGCAACTGAAATTTTCAACGGCCAATTACCAAAAAAAAGATTAGAATCACAACATAATATGAAAAAGGATCGTTATTTTTGACAAATAATGTGTATCCAAATTAGGCAGCAGCACGCTGTCATCGCGTGTTTACTGAAGTAAAGGACGTATGTAGACAACACAGAAAAATAAAGCGGCAGTGGAATTTTAACCGCTGAAACGCACACCGTTGAGAGAAAAACTAACTATTTTGCAAATCAAAGTTAGTTCTATTAAAGCAATGTTAATTTAAAGGCTCAGTCTAATTTAAAGGCTCAGTCTTTAAAACAGGTGAAAAAGAGATTTCACGCAGTGTGGATTGTTCAGCTATAAACCTCTAGTTTAGTTTACAACAATTCACACTGTTCATTTCATTTACAGAAGTAAATAATTAAGCTTACTACAGTTGTACATAAATAAAATGTACAGCGCTTCATTAGATACTGATCATATAGAAGCTGGTATTAAAAGAGCTTTACATTTACTTTGTTTCGAGACGATTAATGCCAAACTTCACAAGTGAAGAGCGTCAAAGCAAAAAAATCTTCACGCGCCTTAGCCTCAACGTCA